GACCTCGGCGGTGCGAAAGAAACGAAGCTCCGCGCTGAGACATCGCACAATCTCGTCGCTCAACATGAAGAAGCCTGCGACAACGCTGTCAATACTCGTCGTATGTATGATGACCTCGAACACGTCGGTCTCTACTACGGTCCTTCATTCCAGAACATCTCCAACCTTGGAAGCGCCAAGAAGCAACCTCTCGTGTACGCCAACGTTACAGTCCCCGGCACAGCAGAACTCATGCCTCACAAGTTTGAGTTCCCTCATCTTCTGCACCCTGTCACTCTCGACTCTGTGCTGCAGACAATCTTCCCCGCTCTGGCATCTGGCGACAAGGATTTGTCCAGTCCTCTTGTACCTACGTTCATCAAGCGAATGATGGTTGCCAACAGGCCCTGCAGTTCGCCCGGACAGGTCCTTAAGGTTGCCTCATCAGCGTTATGGAAGGGCTTCAGACACGCAGATGCTGACATCACTGCGCTGGATACTAGTGATGGCCTGGCGATGATTGAGATTCAGGGCTTGCGATGCTCTTCAATCGCGCACATGGTCGCTGCCGACACTAACACCGACAGTCGTAAGCTCTGCTTCAATATGATCTGGGATGACGACCTCAGTCTTTTGGAGGCCAAAAACCTCAACAAGGTCCTTCCATCAACGGCTGCGACCGACGAGATCTCAGCTGAGATTCGCGACATGGAGACTGCAGCGTTCTTATACATGAAGCAGGCTGTTGAGACTCTCAAGCCAGAGGAACGCGCTAACATGTCCTCGCACCACCGTTTGTTCTACGATCAAATGGTCGGGGTCTGTCAGCGTGCTGAGAAGAAGGACTTTGCTCTTCAGTCCTCATCTTGGGAGTCTCTCTCTGATGATGAACGTCAAGACTTGGCGAAGAAGGTTGCTTCATTCAGCGCTGAGGGTGAAATGATCTGTCGCATGGGCGAGAATCTCGTTCCAATTCTTCGTCAAGAAGCCGATCCTCTCACTCTTATGCTAGAGAACGATCTTCTTTACGATCTCTATCGTACTGCCCTGGGTACCGACCGCTGCTACGAGCAGATGTCAAAGGTCATCCAGAAACTCTCCCACAAACAGCCCGATCTCAAGATCCTCGAGATTGGAGCTGGTACAGGCGGTGCGACGAAGCCTATCCTCCAGACGCTTGGTGGCCATGAGCCTGGATCGTACCCTCGTTTTGCACAGTATGACTTCACCGACATCTCGAGTGGGTTCTTCGAGAAGGCTCAAGAGAACTTCAAAGCCTGGGCTCCATTCGTAAACTTCAAACGTCTCGACGTTGAGGGTAACTTGCAAGATCAGGGCTTTGCATTTGGGTCTTACGACGTCATCATCGCAGCCAACGTTCTTCACGCCACGGGCACCATGAAGAAGACGATGCAGAACGTGCGAAACCTTCTGAAACCAGGTGGCAAGCTCATCCTCATGGAAGTAACGCATCTTCTTCTCCGTGGTTCCGTCATCTTTGGCAACCTGCCCGGCTGGTGGCTCGGCGCAGGTGAAGGCCGTACTCATGGACCTACTCTGACTGAAGAGTCGTGGTCTGACCTCTTGCGCGACACTGGGTTCTCGGGACTGGATATTTGTCTGAGAGACTTCCCTGACTATGAGGAGTGTATGTACAGTGTCATCGTCACTACTGCTGAACGGGAGGAGAAGAGCACTTACCCGTCTGCTGTCATTGTGGACTCTTTTGGCTGTGATGGTGTAGCGACGAAGCAATTGATTCAAGGCTTGAAGAACCTGACTGGTGTTCAGCCGGAGATCTGTAGTCTGGATGAGTACGCTTCGACTGATGTTTCTGACAAGGTCTGCGTCTGTCTCGATGAGATTGTCCAGCCAATTGTCCACCAGATTGACGAAGCCAAGTTTCTCAAGGTCCGCAGCATTGTTTCATCCAGCAAAGGTCTTCTTTGGGTTTCGCGCAACGGTACAACTGGCGAAACTCTCCCTGAAGTCAGTCTTATGACCGGGCTCGCTCGATCCATCCGCTCAGAGGATCAGACCAAGCGCCTCGTCACTCTCGACCTCGACAACTGTACCTCTCAAACAGCCTCAGACGCTGCCAGCACCATCCTTGAAGTTTTTCAGGGTCTTTTCCGTCGCGAGGATGACATTTCCAAGAATGACTGGGAGTTTCGCGAGCGCGATGGTCGGCTTATGATTCCCCGCGTTATTGAGGACGTTCCAGCGAACCAGTACATCGCTCACGAGACTCAGGAGCCTGTACCTGAACTACAATCCTTCCATCAGCCCGGCAGGCCCCTGAAGCTCGAGATTGGTATCCCCGGATTGCTCGATACACTCCGCTTCAAGGATGACCCAACCTTTGAGGCGCCAATCGGCGATGATGAGGTCGACATTCGCGTCGCTGCATCTGGTGTCAACTTCCGCGATATCATGGTCGCCATGGGTCAGCTTGTCGACAACTTCCTCGGCTGTGAATGCAGTGGTACCATCACTCAAGTCGGTTCCAACGTCACGCACCTCAAACCGGGCGATCGCGTCTGTACCTGGACCCTTGGCTGTTACAGCACATACGTCCGTAACCCCGCCACCCTCGTGCAGAAGATCCCCGACGAAATGGCCTTTGAGGTCGCTGCCTCTCTCCCTATCGTGTACTGCACAGCTTACTTCGCCATCATCGACACTGCAAGGCTTCAGAAGGGTGAGAGAATTCTCATCCACGCTGCGGCAGGTGGTGTAGGTCAAGCTGCTATCATGCTGGCCAAGATGGTCGGCGCAGAGATTTACGCGACTGTTGGAACAGCTGATAAGCGGAGGTTCTTGATCGAGACGTATGGCATTCCTGATGATCATATCTTCTCTAGTCGCGATAGCTCTTTTGCTGATGGCATCCGACGCATGACGAATGGGAAGGGTGTTGAAGTTGTACTTAATTCGCTTGCGGGTGAGTTACTTCGTGAGACGTGGCATTGTATCTCAATGTTTGGGCGCTTCATTGAGATTGGCAAGCGGGATATCGAGATTAACACGAAGCTCGAGATGACGCCCTTCATTCGCAACGTCACTTTTGCCTCTGTTGATCTCACAGTCATCTTCCGTCATCGCAAGCCTCTCGGTGCCGCTGCCCTCAACTCAGTGATGGATCTTCTCCGAGAGAACAAGGTTCATGAGATCAGTCCCATCACTACATACCCGGTCTCCCAAATTGAGGATGCCTTCCGAGTGATGCAAGCTGGTAAGCATCTAGGCAAACTCATCATCACAGCAGGCGCAGACGATCTTGTCAAGGTTCTTCCCAAGAGTGAAGAGACTCTTCAATTGCCCGCTGACGCCTCATACCTTCTCGTGGGTGGTCTTGGAGGTTTGGGTCGAGCCACCTCTGCTTGGCTTGCTGAGCATGGTGCCAAGAACCTTATCTTCGTCTCGCGATCGGGAACTTCCAAGCCTGAAGCAGCCGCACTAGTTGAACGTCTTGAGAAGAATGCCGTCAATGTCGCTGTTCTTCGCTGTGATGTGTCAGACTATGAGAAGCTCTCTGCTGGTGTTCACGATGCTCTCAAGACGATGCCTCCAATTCGAGGTCTCATCCATGGTGGAATGGTTCTCAACGTAAGTTCATCCCAAGCATTCGCATCAAAAATGTTTCACTGACAATTACAGGACTCCATCTTCGAAGCCATGTCCTATGCTCAATACCAAGATGCAATCCGTCCCAAGGTCACTGGAACCATCAACCTCCACAACCTCACCAAACATATGCCCCTTGACTTTTTCATCATGCTCTCCTCAGCCGCCGGTGTCGTCGGTAACTCGAGTCAAGCCAACTACGCAGCCGGCGGTGCATTCCAAGATGCCTTTGCTCACTTCCGCACCGAACAAGGTCTTCCAGCTGTGACTCTAGATCTCGGTGGCATTGACGACGTTGGCTTCGTCGCTGAGAATGCAGATTACGTCGTCAACCTTGAGAGATGGGGTTACTTGACCATTTCTCAGGCCGAGTTCTTCTCCATGATCAAGCAGGCTATTCTTCAGCCCCAGCGCTCTGCCACGAACTGTCAAGTTGTTACTGGCCTTGGTACTCAGGGCATGGCTGAAGAAGGTAGCGACGCAAGTCCCGATGAACTACCATTCTGGTTCCGCGATGCCAAGTTCTCTCATCTTCTCCAAATGGGCAGAAAGCAAGTCCACGAGACAGACTCAGAAAATGGCCTACGCCTCACCGAGTCAATCCCTGCAGCTGAGTCTCTCGCTGAAGCTACTAATCTCATCTGCGACGCCATCATTGAGAAGATGGCCAAGATGCTGGGCATGCCTGCTGAAAGCATTGATGCGTCTCAGTCTATGGCTGCTTATGGACTGGACTCGCTTGTGGCAGTTGAGTTGAGAAATTGGCTGTTTAGAGAAGCCAAGGCGGATGTAGCAGTGTTTGAAGTCCTTGGTAAGGGCTCGCTGAATGCACTGGCGGGTGATATTGCGCTCAAGAGTAAGATTCTTCCTGCTGCACTGCGCAAGGAGGCACATGATGGCGATGCTTGATTAAGGTCTTGTGATAGTTACTTGGGTAATTGATTGGCGTTATCGGTGTTGGCGTGTTGTTGTACCTTTAGATTCAGTTGACAAATTCATCATCATGGAGTTTCCATAGTATCTTTGACATTGGCTATCATGAATAATCTCCTCTTATCACATTTCTATTGCTTACTGGCTGTGATAATCTTGTCTGCCATTGCAGGTAGCGTTTCAGCCACCACATCCAGCTCTCCGTGTATCTCGGAGAGGTATTCGCCTTCCAATACCGTACTGTAAGCAGTATCGAACCCACAGCATCGCATGTTAATTATGTCCCATACTTAGCCCTTTGAGATACGACTTACCCAACTGACTGCGCCCCAGACGCGTCCCAAAGATGCGCAGCCGCGAACCAAGACTGTGACTCAAAAGTAGAAAGCCTGTTTATAATAAGCTCATACGCTTCAGGGCATGGCTTCGCCACTCCAACCATATCGCAAGACAGTAGGTTCTCAGCCGGCAACCTTCGAGAAATATCCCCCTACACGGGAGATATCCCCAGTCGTGAAGCACCAGACAGTAAACCCCGCATCGCGAGGCTTCTGAATACACTCTGCAGCTCCATCCGTAAGCTTCAATTCCTTGAACTCATGCATTAAGGAGTCAACATCCTCTGCAGTTGCAAAGGAGCGGGGATTTTCAATGCCAGCATAATGAAGACAGCGGTAGAACAGAGCTTCAAAAAGCTTGAGGAACTGCACATATTGGCCGTGGAGCGAGAGGTATGTGTATTCGCGCTCTGCCATCTCTAGCCAGCATATGCCGAGGAGCGTGGGCTGAATGCCTTGGGGGATGAGCTTATGGCCCAGGCGCTTTTTAATGGCTTCATAAAGATGATCATAGCTAACAAGTGTGCCAACCACGTCGAAGACAACGTTCTTGTTGGGAGCAGCCATTATATTTGAGATATCTTGATAGTGCTATTGATACAACGAGATAGATAATGGTCAATTTGGTTCCTGCACAGTGTTTGGCTGATATTGTGAAGGGGGTTAAATAGTAGGTTTGTCGCTAGCAATCAGGGCATGTGGATGTATCATTCCCGTATTAGAATGTAACACGGAAGCGTTCATGCGACATCAAGGTACTTTGGAACTTCATCAAACAGTCGTTTGCTTGCCGGCTTTGGATGGCCAGGTCAGAGGAGTCAGCACCGGTTGCATAATCCTTTCATTGACAATTGAACCGGACTGCTCTCACCGGACCGATCACTTCTTGGACTTGATGCCTTGTTAGTAACACATGAACGGCTATCACGGACCGGAAGTCGAATTTCTACAAGGCATATTCCGGATTGACAAGCTCTTTATATTATATATAACTTCTAAGTCGTTAGGACATCCGTTGAGAAGTCTTCTACAGCAAGTACAGCGAGGTGAGGATACCAGTGATATCATGTACCAAATTCATGGCAATACTTCCAACGCTGTTTGCAAGTCATACCGTTTATGTTCTTTATCTTAGTGTTGAGGCTGAAGCCTCTTTTAACTTCATAACCTTATAAGAGCAAATCATATCATAAACTCCATAGCTATTGTAGACTCAAAAACGAACCCTTACGATCTCTTAAACGGTCGCTAAATCTTCAGGAATTTATGTATATCTTCGAAGTAGTAATGGAAGATTGTCTGTCACAGGTACCTTCAGACGTCTCTCACGACTTGGCATTTTGGCCTATATAGAGCTAGTGTCCATAATTGTAGCTACCCATCATGATCGATATTGGGATCTTGAAACGCTTAGCCCACGTATGTATACGCCAGCTCATGTGTTCCAGGACCAACCTTGCAGTTAGCTATGAATGCTAGTAAGTGCAACGATCAGACCAGCCGGGCCCGCCGAGTCCCGGTAAGCTCAGAAATGTTGGGGTTTTAGGACGGAATAATGATAGATGATGATTTGTTTTAAAGCATTGACCGTGAAAGCTTTACGGCCTTCCTCAGATAAGCGTTCCATGTATCAAGCCGGATTGACGATGCCGGCCCTGTTCTCATCTTATCGGTTGCTGCTACCATGTTAAAAGAGGGCGCGCTTTTGGCTATATTACTTCCGTAGTAGCAGAATCAACAGCGGGGAACAGATTGCAATATGGGATTCAGTAACATTTACTAAGATGGATTGGGATCTGATGCAACATACTAGTCTATTGCGAGCTAAAGGGTCTGCCGGTCGAACCCACCGGATCAAAATTACTGCTTCGGGTTTAGCCCTGTCATGAGGGATAGTTGAGAGGTATTTGTGCGCTAGCCGAGGACCTCTTTGGTAGGTTTGTACAGGCGACATTAGCAATGTAACCTCGCAGGGTGAGGAGTAAATACCAGACGTTCGGTAAATATTTTGACTTTGAGGGGTAAAAGAGTCGAATGAACAATGGTATTGAGCAACGAGTAGTTCAGTCAGGATCAGGATGTAGTCCCCAAGATCGGCATTTGTATGTCTGCAATAGATCCTGGTTACAAAGCACTATCTACAATTTTGCTCCTTCCCTCCTCTGTACGGTCTTCCAAGTGTCCATTATAGCGTTGTTGGGACTATCTAGCCTCTCTTGGGTGGCCTTGTAGAGTTTCGGTATACCTGTCTTTTCGTAGCTCAAGCCCTCCATCACCATAGATGCCACGCCTTTCGCTGACAGGAAGATCTGCGGCATACCGTGTCCATTGAAGCCAGCAAGCATATACTGATTCTGTCTTCCCGGGACAGCACCGATATGGGGTAAGCCATCGGAAGAGTAGCCCATAACTGGTCCAAGTGTTAGTAACTCTTCAAACAAGAGAGGTATGTCAACTCACCTCCAGTCCAAACCGTGGATGTATACGCGCCACTATCCTCCCACCCGTGAAATACGCGCTGCATATATCCATCGAAATAATTCTTGGCAGACTCAATTAACTGGTCATCGTTGACATTGTTGTACCAGCTGTCAAGATCATGGTAGTACACTGATCGTGCCCCTCCAACTATGATACTTCCGTCAAGCCTCGGGATGAGGTACTCGTACTTGGTATCAGACCAGCGAATAATATAGGAGTTTGGCAGTAAGGGTCCTGGGGTCTTGCCGGGCTTGATGTGACTGCAGATTCCCCGCACTGGGACGATTCTTTCCGCGAACTCGGGTAAGATGGACGATGTGTAGGCGTTGGTTGCATAGATGATCTTTGCAGCGCGTATCATGCCGCGAGGAGTCGTCAGTTCCAGATAGCCCTCCTGATCAGGCTTTTCAGTAACTACAGTGACTGGCGTGTTGGTCTGCAGATTGACATTGGCATCAACAGCCTTGGACAGCAGTTGGAGAATGAGCTTGTATGGCCAGCAGTGGCCTGCCGTGTAAGAAAAGCAGCCTTTGGCTCCCTTGACACCTGATAACTAAGATACTGACTGTGAGTACGATTTAAAGTACTCAGTGGGAATCAGATATTGCTTACCCTTTCAGCTTCAGTACCTTGCGCAAAGTAGACATCTTGCATAACGGAAACCCCGTTCTGTCCGAGAGCATCTACTCCCGCTTTTATCTTGTCCAGTATGGCATCTGACATGAGCGCATCGACAGCACGGGTATATACAAAGTCGCAGTCAACGCCCTCTTGCTCAATGGTCTTTTTGACAGCAGCAAGATTCTTGGCCTCAAACTCTGCAGCCTCAGCTGCAGCTTCGACACCGTAAGTAGCCAGAAGATTCGCTGGTCTGTTGTATGGATCGGGCTTGAGATGGCCGCCTGCATTAAACAACAATATTAACGGTGAATTATACATTGAAGATCGAGGATCACGTACCATTACGTCCGGTAGCTCCCGAGCAAGCTTGACGAGCTTCAAGAATCACAATCTTTGGCGCAGGAACTCCTCGAGCTTTGCATCGCTCCAGAATATGATAAACTGTCGCGACGCCTGCGTATCCCGCACCGATGATGGCAATGTCGACTTGGGAAGGGAGTTCAGGTGTTGAACGATGCTTATCGAGAGGATGCGGCTCTGACCTCCAAAAGGAGGTTGTGGCGTTGTCAACAGGAAGAGGAGAAGGTGACATGGTAGGTGATTGTGGCTGAATGGATTGCGGACTGGTATCTTGGTTTAGTTGTTATCTGTCTGTTGAAGAACAAGGTAGTGAGACGTTCAGTAAAATAGGTATAAGCAGTCGATAACCCCTGCTTTAATGACCAAGTGCTGCCTTTCATAAACAATGTAGATATAACCCACCGTGGTAGCAAGACAAGGAGATTACAAGCAACGAAAGGTAAACTCTATTATACGCATTGAAAGCCCAATAACGTGCTATCAGTTGACCGGCCCGGTTGTTTGGGCGGCAAAGGCGTTCAACTGAAGAGCATATTAACGTAGTATCAATCTCTCGCACATATTACCTTCGGTTATTCTAAGATAAAACAAGATCTAAACCTAGATAATTACTAAAGAATTGTCCAGTCATCACCGGCCCGGTCTAAATGCAGGGCTACGCTCTGTGGTAACAAGGCTATCTACTGTTACATACCCTATGCGGCCGATCAGCATGTGACAGGATAACACGGCAATTTAGTGCCTGATAGCTGAACCTAATCTGGGCATACCCCGCGATTAAGCAGTTAAACCGACCAATGAGGGGCAGCCCTCCCACTGCTGCCCTACGCCATGAGCAGTGAGGTTGTACTCCTAAGCTGGTAGGATGGTAGCCAATGATATATATGCTATTACTGTCCTTTGCCAGAAGAAAGATTACATTCGAGTTTAAGCCTTCCATGCTTGTGGTAGCATATCTCATCATATAAACGGAATAGTAATCCATAACATGGCGACTTCAGTCCCCAAGGACGACACCAAGATTAGCGGACATAACGATCTTGCTCCAACAACTAGCTACATTGATGGCGAAGTCCTCGACACAGGAATTGATTATGGGTATCTCAACGCTCCAAAGTTCACAAAGTTCTACAGGAGTGTTTTGTTCCAGATGATTCTCCTTGGACTGTGAGCCGTCCGTCACTTCCCCAAAATCACCAATTACTAATTTTTGTATACTCCCAGTCTCTCATGTGTTGGTCCAGCCATGTCTGATGCCATTTCCAACCTTGGAGGCGGAGGTCTCTCCACTCCGTATCTGGCAAACTTGGCGACATCATTGAACTATACGGCTGGGTGTCTGCTTACCCTCTTCGGAGGCCCTTTGATCAACAAGTTTGGTATCAAGTGGTCCTGCATCATAGCAGCGGTGGGGATGCCTCTTTCCGGTTCTGCGTACTATGTATGCGCAAAGTACCGTGTAAATTGGTATCTCATTTTTGCAAAGGTAAATTTAGCAACCTATATCTAAATTCGGTCTGCCGTCGCTGATGGGCTTTATAGATACTGACAGGATTCACCTATGGCTTTTTATACGTCGCAGAGTCTACGGCCATGTTGTCATATCCCCTCGCAAACGACAGGGGCTTCTATCTAGGCGAGCAACATTTAACCTCTATATGAAGTATCTACTAACAGCTTCGATCAGGTGTTTGGTCGGCCATGAGAAACTCAGGTAGCGTCATTGGAGGCGCCATCAACCTTTCCAACAATCACAGCGACTCCAAAGCAGGTGGCGTTGCGTGGTCTACCTATCTCGTCTTCATTGCTTTCGGTAAGTCGCACTCATAGAGCTTCTGAGAAATATGTTGAAAAGCCGGCTGACGAGGGACTAATAGAATGTACCGGTCTGATTTGGGCTTTCCTGCTATCGCCTACCAGAAGAGTACGACGCCGTGATAGCAGCAAGGTTCCCATATCCGAGAGAGCCAGCTGGAAACATGAGTTTACCGCATTATGGAGGCACTTGCAGCGCCGAAAGGTAGGTTCTTGTCTATTTCCAGTTATGAGCACTGACTGGCACTGAGTCAAGACTTGGCTCATGGCATTACCCGCCTTCTACTCCTTCTTCTGTGGTGGAACTATGGGCACTTATCTATCGTTGCACTTTTCCGTTAGAGCTCGCGCATTATCTTCTCTACTTCTCCGTATGTATTTGCATCCGTTCAAGTCACGCTTAAAATGTTAATCTCGTATCATCCACTAGCGACCCTGTCCATCGTCATGGTGATGGCTTACGGGAAGGTCTTGGACAGGACCCGCTGGTCTCAGGCCAAGCGAGCATGGATCTCTTTTGCCTGTTGGTTGATTCCCCAAACAGCATGCTTCATATGGATTGGTATCGAATATTCAAAGTTTGGCGGAGGCAAACTTGAAAGCGCTCTGGACTATGAAAGGTAGGCTCCTCCTTGGCCCCGTATCTTCTCTTGCCTGGATTACTAATGGATATTTTCTCAAAGCAATACCAGGAGATGGGCTGAAGCCTACCTCCCATGTTTGATAATGCAGTCCACTAGCTACGTATGCCAGTTATCTCTATACTGGATCCTCGGCACTTTCTCCACTGACACCGGATCTTCTGCCCGCTCGGGCGGTTTGCTCAGGGCTTTTGAGACGGCTGGACAAACGGTCTCCTACGCGCTCAACTCTCACAGCGGCTCCGACGCCAGAATCCCCTTCTATGTCCACGCTGTGATCTTGTGCCTTACTGTGCCCTGCATGGTGTTCCTGATTAGGCTTGTTCCAGAAGCCCCCGCTGCAACGGATATAGATGTGGAGCCAGTGATCGAGGGTTTACCTGATAACAAGCAGGTCACTTAGGAGCTTAGAAATGGAGGACAGGAGTGGACAATGTTGTTGGGTTCATGCGTAGGACAGAATTGCAATTGTGTATTGCTATCGGGGTTTGGTCATTAGATTTCGCTCACCAGAATGGGATTTGTTTATTTACTTAGCTATTACGTGCATGACTTTGAGAATCAATGACTCGACGGCATTAATGTTGGTATTTTGGAAAGGTGCCTTAATTCTGGCATAGAAATCATTCACGAATTAGCAGTACGGCCATACGGAGTACATCGCAAACACCGTAGTCGATAAAGCGGCGTCTAGAGTATTACTACATTTGTGTCGCGGATGAACACGGCAGTTAATGTGGTATCAACAGATTTCTTGATTACGTCTTGTCACCTTGATGCAAAATCACCTTCAGTAAGACTTTATGGGCATTGATGCTGAAAACGGTGAGACATGCAGGTTCGCAGTTTTTTTCCCCACTGAAAGCAGACTCTCAGAGAACAAGGACATCAGAGTTTGTTTCAAAATGCATCAAAGTACGAAAAGTAACTAAACCTTCGACTAACCTAGCATCGACTTTCATATTTTTCAACAAGGCTCCCCTAACTGCACATCAATCAGCTCACAACTTGGGTCCATCCTCAACAGTCAAAGTGCCTGTCTTTTGGATGAGGTATTCCTCAATAGCCACATCCTTGCCTGCTTCTTTGCCATAGCCTGACATCTTAATTCCACCAAATGGAGACTCGGCACAAGAGGCGTTACCTGTAGAGTTGTTAGTCTCAATGGACAACTCAGTGACAGAAATAAACATACCAGTATTCATTCCGATCATTCCAGCTTCTAGGCTTTCCAAAAGCCTCCAGGTTCGGGAGACGTCTTTGGTGAAGAAGTAGGATGCCAAGCCCATTGACGTATTATTTGCTTTCTGCACAACCTCCTCTTCGGTTTTGAACTTGTACAGGCCCAGTATAGGTCCAAAAATCTCTTCTTGAGTTATGAGCATATCCGAGGTCATGTCCGAGATAATAGTTGGCTCAAAAAAGTATCCATCCAGATTCTCTGGCTGTTTGCCGCCGCACAGAATCTTTCCTCCTTTGCTGACAGCATCTTGGACATGTTTCTTGACCTTGTCAACACCGCGAGCAGTAGTTAGTGGCCCCATAGTGGAGCAGGACTCAGCTCCATGTCCCAAGCGAATCTTGCTGGTGGCCTTGAGCATCATCTGCGAAAACCTGTCGTAAACGCCGCTTTGGACATAGACTCGATTGGCGTGGGTGCATGCTTGGCCTGCGGTTCGCCACTTGAGTATCATAAGAGCTGCGACTGCTTGTTCAAGATCGCCGTCATCAAAAATAATGAAAGGACAATTTCCACCCAACTCCATAGTGACCTTCTTCAACCCGCCACTGCAATGCCTTGCGATGATACTGCCTACAGAAGTACTACCCGTAAAGGTGACCTTGCGGACGAGCGAATGCTTGCAGAGTGTCTCGCTGACCGATGGGGTATTAGCGTTATCAGTTGAGATAACGTTCAGCACTCCAGGAGGCAGACCCGCGCGAAGAGCCAGGTCTGCCAGAGCCATAACGCTAAATGGTGTTTCGGGCGATGGTTTGACGATCATGGTACATCCTGCGGCTAGTGCGGCCGAAACTTTGCGGATAATCATGGCAACAGGGAAGTTCCAGGGGACGAGGGCAACACATACACCGATCGGCTGCTTGATGACAAAAGTACGACGGTCAGATACAGCGGGTTGAGCAATGGAGCCTCTGATACGCTCAGCCTCACCGGCGAACCACCAAGCGAAGCCAAGGGCATAATCAACCTCACCTACAGCCTCTGCCATCGGTTTTCCGGTTTCGAAGACGACGATCTTGGCGATGTCTTGTCTTGCATTTGTAATTAGCTCATGCCACTTGAGAAGGATCTTGGCTCGTTGGCGAGGATTGACATGGCGGTAGCTTTGGAAGGCAGCGTGTGACGATTCAACATATTTGTCAACATCGGAGACTTTGTTGGTGGGACTGGCCGCCCAGATGTGACCAGAGCCAGGATCTGCAAAACATTGTATGAGCTTGTGTTCTTTCTTTCTCTTTCTGCTCATGCTGGCCTAAGCTTACCTTCAACGTCAAAACGTTCTCCAGACTGAGATTGGACCCATTGGCCGTTTAACAGCGATTCTTCGTGAAGAAGAGACGGATCGTCAAGCTGCAAGGCATTTGTTAGTCTTGGGCCAGGATGTATCGGCTTTTGAAAAGGGACAAGACCTTGAAAGGTAAGTTTCGTGTCATGTTGCTATTGTGAATTGTGAGTACTCGAATGTTGAAGTCGATGAGGGTATACACAAGATTACTTTGGACATCAAACGGACTTATATAATCTACCCATAGTCTAAGCTGAGGCCGTATTAAGGACATGAAAAGTGCGACCGGCTCTGTCACAATGTACGGTAACAGCCTTCTGTCACAGTCTGTGGACGACCGGATACAACAACGAAGATCCTTCGCGCCATGAAACTCTTGTCCTCTATCTAAGCCGGTGGTTAGTCAGTGAAAGGTTTGTCATGAATCTTGAGTAGTCACCTAGCCTACACTCCATGCGAGATCTATCAAGGAGCTACGACCTAAAGTAAATTGCCGATCATCCGATAACACGGATCGCAGCAGAACAGAGGATTTCCCCACTTCGGTGAGGGGAGCGTCACCAGCCGGTCCCGGTCCGGTCTTCGCTAGCCTATCAGTCCCCAGCAGTTTTTATAATGTTGGATTCCGGGCTACAAGCCGGCTGCTTGGTTCTGGCTGCGCGAATGATCTTCTATCGATGGTTCTGCTTGCTTGAGAGCTCTTTGGCAACGGTCAGCCTATTAGCAACGTTTGGAGACAGTTCAGGCAGATATGTGTACGTATTCACATAACACTATGTAATGAGATAAGGATGCTGCTTGGAAAGGGAAAACGGGTAAGTTCATTGGGAATTCTTCAGTTACGGTCGAGCGCCGATAAGGCCTATTTATCGCATTAGAAAGGACTGTGCACAACACTACTCGTCTACTTGGTGCTTGTCCTCTTATGCATCACCATACACAACCGCTATCTATTCCAGGTTTTATATAATCGTCAACTTCTAACCTTTGTCGGTATTTAATCTATGTCTCTTGTGATTGCTGCAATGTACTTCTCGTCACCGCCAGCAGCGACCGAATGGTAGATTGAACCTCAGCCATAGTCGACGACGACATGCAATCCGCTATTCCCAGATTCCCTGAATGCATATACTTGGACTGAAATGTCCTCACTGTGTGATACAGATGTTTCAATTGGTAGTCTACCACCGTCGCCAGCAAGATCAATCTCAACGGCGGATCAAGCTTCAGACCTGCGACGCGGCAGTCTACCGAGTCGAACAGCGTACAATCTTGGCGCGATACAGATGATGATACCGCGTTGCGGATCTCGTGTAATATTTGATCGTATGTAGATAGTAGAAGAGACAAGGGAGTGAGAACCAGGTGAAGAACTGTTTGCCAATTGGAACAAACTGAGTCGGTCGCATCGCCATTGCTTTTCACGCATTGATGTAATAGCTCGGTTACGACGCCCAGGGTCTCTTGGACAGGTCGCATGGCTGCCTCTATGTATTTCGCCGGTCGAGGTTGAGTGCTAACGCCTCTCGTATGAGCGGGCGGTAGTCTCGTGCGTAAAAGCTCTTGCTGGAGGCTCGATAATCTCTCGAGCGGGCTGGATGCATTTGCTGTTTCATTTGCTGGACATAGACGTGGATCGATATTGGGATCGTGCGAAGAGACAGGTGGGCTTGTCGCGACAGACCACGGGTCTTCATCCATGGGTATATCGAGGAACGGATGCGTGGCGTTAAAGTTGCCGAGGCTGTTGGTCAAGTCGAAAGAGCCAAAGAGCACTGTATGATCTGAAAGGAGATCAGCAGCGATGCATACAAGATTGGCGAAAGACGGAGACTTACCTGTAATGCAACTATCGCCGAGCTGTGGAGGTGACGGCGGCATGGATATCCCCGAATCAGCAGTCAATGCATCTCCATCTGAAATGCCATAAAACGGGGCATCACAAATAGATTGTGTCTGCTGTATCTCTCTGCCAGCCATCGACGCTTTGCTAGGTCGTCCAACCTTCAGAGCAGGGCTATAAGTGCAGGCCGAATCGTCACCAAGACATCGTGAACAACCATCCAAGTCACCAGAGCAGCGTAATTTACGAGAGTGACACCTGTCGCAGGCAAGTCTCTTCTTGGGTCGTGTTCCGGATGGACTGTGCATTATTGCGGAGAAGGAGAATGCAATAACTAATTGGGGTTTCACTCACGGAAATGAGAAGGCAGAAGAAATTACCAGCGGATTTTGTTGTTCTGTTGCATGGTAATGTAGCAATTGAGTATCCCAAATGGAAGGATTCGGGATCACCGTTCCTTTTTAGGACATGCTTTTACGAATGTCCAAGTCGAGAATAAGATTCAACGTTTGTCCCTTGTAGGAAGATGATTATTGCTTTTGGCAAACAGGCCCCTGCAACCCCCCTGTTTCACTGTTGGATGGATCTTTAGTGGGCGCTTGAAAACCTACGCATTGGGCAGTTGTGACAATAAAGGACATATTCTTGTGATAACGCACTCATCGTACCACCCACAGCAAAGGATCCAAACCCCTGGGCGGCACAGAAGTTCGGCATCTTCCATCATTGCAGTTGTGCAAAAGTCCAGGCGGAAGGAGATTATTCTTATCCGATGAATCACCTCACAAGTCATGCAGCGCATCTACGCGACGTTGCATTCATATCTGACCCCCAAAACATCAAAAACAGAACAAGAATCCTTCCATTCGCTGCAGACATCACGGTAGGTAGGTCCTTAGCTTCGGGTAATTTTGTGCCATTCCCGCTTACCCGTCAGACTAGTACAGCATGGGAAGCTCAATCGGTAATTGAGGGCTTTAGAAAAAAATCGTACCGCCAAGAGAAGATGTACCTTTCCTAGTGGCCCGCCAATCTCACCTAAGGATACGCCGCGGCGAAACATGTTCAGTTGCAAGCGTCAGCCCTGTAGTCGGAGCTGGGCGATCAAATCTTGGCGTGCAGCGGAAGAGGAGGGAATTCGCCAGCGTTAGAAAGGTTCTCTCGAGAAAAGAAGATTTCTTGTGATTATTGACGTGAACTTGCGAGTGGCTTTGTATCATATCATGCTGCACAATGCGTAGACGTCACTGTGAACGCCCTTCTGTCCCTTCGACGGTACCCTACTCCACGTTGTAGCGCAGGTGTCAAGCAGATTCGCGATCATCTCCAATAACTCCGACAGTCCAGGAACAACCCCAACAAAACAAAAGGAGTCCTAAACCCACCGCAATCACGAGCTTTACATCCCGAGATCGTACGTTAAGTCATCGAAGGAACCGTCAGTGGGGCACTCTCAAGTTCGACCCATTGTAAGCAATCTATTTTCGTTTGTGTTGAGCATTTTACGTATTCTGGCTCCTGCGCCTCAATCTTATCTAAACGGAGTAAACCTTCCTCCTGTCCTCCGTTCGCCTACCCTGCAGGGACAGGTGTGGCGATTTGTGCACCAATTACAGGCGCAAGAACGCGAGGTGCGTGCTTTAGCCGTTGGGTAAAACGTGTCTTCACCTGCATGGTGGTTGCACTGAGGTTGCAGGGATAGCCTCTCTTGGTGACAAACGGGGAGTTATTGACACGTGTAAGACCGTATATCCGGATGTCAGACGCCTGATTTGGCCTTCGGAGACTGACGAGTCTGTAAGTTTGGCAGTTGTCTGTCAGCTACGCGGCCCCCCTTTCCAGTTTGATCACATTACATCGTCGAGATTTATCCAATCGTACTGAGGTAACTTCTGCGAATCACAGTATCTTCCAATAAGCGTAACCATCTATGATGATTCCCATCTAGGCTGTCACTCTCGTTTAGTCGTTCTGAGATGTCATCCCAGTAAATTTGGACAAGATCTTCACGGTTGGTGTTTGAAATTGTTCTTATTAGCTATAGAATACAACTTCCAGTCCTATCTTGGGATTACAGAAGCATAGCACGGGTAGCTTGAAACAGGTGAGCAGACATCATATTGCAAAGATAACCAGGAACCTTGAATTGCTACCTAATCATGCGACCGATCTAGAGTAGAGTCCACTGTTACTTGCAGTTTTCAGTATCCTCCACAAATATTAGTACACGCGCCGACAACTTCAAACCACCCCACCCCGGAAAGCAAGTGACAAGCCCATAAAGGGCCTAAGCAGAAACACCAACAGGCTTCTGGCAGAAAGCACCGAGCTCAAGCTGCATTCCAGTCAGTCTCCTTATCATTATTAGTTCTATAGAAGCAGCTTACAATCTCAGAGAGGCCACAGCAGCGGGCCTTCTGGCCAGACTCGGCGCAGATAGCCTGAAATTCCTTGGCGCTGTTGGGAGTCTTGGTAGCTATTATCACCGTTAGCAACTGTCGATATTGAACGTATTGGGGGTGAACTTACGAGCGCGGCAGTCACCAGAGAGGACTCCGACGAGGTTGAGACTACAGCACTGGGGGTTGCCGAAGAGACCGCCGCTGGGGCAAGCCTCATAGCCGTTGGCGGAGGTAGCCGGCAGGGCGTAGGCGGTGCCAGCGAGGAATAGAGAGACGATGGTGTAGAACTGCATGTTTGCGGTATTGAAAGGTTGGACTGGAAAGATTGAAAAGAGTTGTGAGGGGTCGTTTAGATGCTGAGTGATGATGGTGAAATATCTGGAAAGCTGGCGCAAGATGCAGTCTTTATAGAGAAAGATGCTCAAGAGTGGTGAGACAAGTCATCTCTCCGAGGTATTCTGGATATTATTTTCCAACCTCCCGTTCCTCAAGGGCCCTGAGTTGTTCAAGATGACTTCTGTTTCCGGCGCTTTTGACGAGGGAGGTTGAAGCTTGGAATGCTTCTCAGCTCTGCATCGTCCTCTATTGATGCATGAGCATGGACCGTGGCCTTGCTAAGGTAAACCAGGTTGTCAAGCTACGTGACACTAACTTGATTCATTTGCAGATCATCATGTCCCAATGTCTACAAAGTGGCCTACCCCAGAGTATTAGATTTTAACAAGATAATGGACGAGTTTACTCTCCCTGTAGCCTAGGTCGTCGATAGATCTTCCGCGTCTCTGGTAAGGCAGCTGTATGTCACTTAATTATTACACACATTTTGCTGATATCTTTCTTCTAATAACCTTGAGTTTTCAGTCTTCAAATCGGATAGATGTAGGAGATGGAAAACAACAATAACTAAATAAAGTTGTTTACCAACAGCTATGCTATCCACTCTGAGACACGGTATAGTAGTGACGGGAATCGAATTCATTTTTGATTGAACCAAGAAAGAGAAATGCAAGGAGCATCCCTTGGATTTAATTTCGAAACTCGCTGTCACAAGCAACTAATTGCCGAAGCTGCGGGGGATATATCATGAATCAGCTGCCACTTACTCGGTCGCAACTAACATGCAACTACCGTGCCGATGTCTTAGACAAAACCAGGAACCAGCCGCCGATCTTGTCTCTGTATGCGGAGAATTCCCATAATTAGTTGGAGTCACAGAGATCCCCACGCCGCGATGTTACCAGCAACACGGCTGACAGCTTCTCCCTTGACAATGTCTCAGACGTCAGAGAATAGCTGTTGATCTCTACTTGTTTCAATATGGCAACCCCGCATAGACATGATTTAGTGACAGCAAGGAAATACTAGTTGATGATCACTGCTATATTCAAAAAGAATATTCCCTGCTATGCATCACTTAGTGCGTACAGAAAATTACCAACAGAGCTGAACTGAATGCTGTTACAACGCATTGCATATGAAGGCCAGTAAAAAATCCCATACTTAGCAATACTGACAAAGTCTTTTCGATTCGATGATTTAAATATGAAGCTAACATGCGATTATGTACAAGAAGGGAAATTATTAAGTCCTTAGATCAAGTAGCCAAGCTCGGAACTAAGCACATGCAGTCAGAAGCATGTTCCCGAACCTAACAGAGCAACTAAAGCTACCTCCACCTTCACACTTTAGACAACATAACTCAGCTAGTCAAGGTATACTAAGATGATCTAGAGAGGAATCCCGAACAGAATGAATCCAAATCCAAAGAATCCAAGAAGACCCAACTCAACGTAAGAGGCTTTGGTGGCCCCAGCAGTGATGGCAGATGGTTCTCCCGGAGCAGGACCACTGGTAGGGCTAGGAACAGGATTCTCTACAGAGGGGTTGGGTATGATAGAAGTTGCCAGTGATGCAGGGGGTCTAGGAGCTTCTCCTCCAGAACCACAAGTCGTGCATGCAGCAGGAGGGTTGGGCTGAACAGAGGGTTGAGACTGCTGTCCTGCAGGGGAATTGGGGCTCTCTGGATTGCCCTCACCCGGTTTGTTGGTTGTCTTGGGGGGCTGAGGAGGAGCAGGAGATGGAGGTTTGGGACCGCCGGACGTGGTGCATTTTTCTGGCTGAGGGCCCGTAGGGACTGGCTTCACAGCAGGGGCAGATGAAACAGGTTGTGGCTGAACTGGAGGCTTGCCAGACGGTTTGCCCTGATCATGGCATGTCTCACAGTGCTCGGGCTGCGGTTTCGGAGGCTTGCCAGGGCCCTTGGTAGGAGTCGCCTCAGGGCACGGGACAGTGAGCGTCGCAGTGATAGGCTTCTCACCACAAAAGTTACAAACAGTAACAATTGAGGTAAAACCAGGCGGAACACCAGTCGTGCGAGGCTGACACTTTTCCTTGTGGCAACCTTCGGTGATGGTGTACGTATGCAGACGCAGACCCGTGGAGCAGAACTCTTGATACTCAGTTGTATACACGGTACGAGGACCACCTGTGCCGTTGCCGGACCAAGTACTGGTCGGCTCGACTATGATGGAGGTGATGGTGGGAAAGGTCTTGGTTGAGGTAACGCAGGAAGTTGTTTCTGCGTTGACTGCAAGACTGGCAGTCAAGAGGAAGGGGATGAGGGACTTGAAAGTTTGCATTGTTGAGGTGAGTGATGAAGCGAGTGACAGGATGTGTGAACGAGTGAAAGTTGTCAAATGACTTGTATGTCTGCAGTTGCGAAAAAATCCCTTCGTTCAAGTATTATATATCGCCGACGTCTCAGTAACCAAACTCTTCTAAAATTACCTTCGCACCTCCATACCTCCCGATATTCCACAATAGTCCGCGCACTTCCAACTTTGAAACCAAATCATGCACAACGCAGCTGAAGCAAAAACTCAATGCTTGTTGATCCGTCCCAAGGAGGCAATATTGATATCGCTACCTTGCATACAAGTTCCCACGTCAAAGCTGTTTCGGGAAGTTGATCGACGGCTAATATCTCCGGTGTAGCCTCGCTTAGCGGAGAGAATGTGAGACAAGCAGGAGATAGTGTCAATAGTTGGGTTTTCAAGAGACAAAGTTTTGCGATGGGAGCTGAAAGGCTTCACTTTTGCGGTGCAAGTCGGGTCATGGAGGTCGCGTCGGCATTTCTGAACTCAAACATCAGAAATTACCTCAAAGTCGTGACTTGTTATTATTCAAGAATAAACATCTACATTTGCTCAGTTGGGCATGTATATACAGCTACTCCTCAGCCCGAGTTCAATGTCAGCGATATCCTTCTCATCAGTTTCTGATTACACTCGTTTGCTTCCAATCACTTGCTTATTGCTCTTCCCCTGAACACTCATTGATCACCATGAAGTCCAAGAGTATCATGGCCGCTTCAACAGTGATGGAGCTTGCTCTTGCCCAAGCTTCTGCTGATCCTCTTTGCTCTACCATCATCAATCTTCAGCCTATTGAATATCGATTCCAGCAGCCTGTTCTCATCGACTCCTACTTCCCTGCCAACACTGACATTGTCCTCGATGATGGCCACGTTGTACATGTCACCAATGCTCCAACCTCTTTGAGCACTGTTCTGACGGATGTCTCGACAAGCTCGACTACACTGACCAGGTTCGTTCGCCATTTTTTCTACAGTTGGGTTGGCTTTTGACTAATCATTTCGAAGTAGTGCTTCCAACGGCAACGGCAATCCGCCAGACGGAGGCTATCTCACCTTCACCGTTCCTGCGAACCCTGATGATATTGGCAATCATCCTGTCACCAAGACATATCCCCCAACTGAGCCCGGCCAGCCGGGCATTGTGGTCATTCAGGTTCCAACATCTCCTCCTGGAGCTGATGGCATCCCTACCTCTTCTGTCCCATACGTGACGGTCACTACCACTGGAGACTTCCCTTCTCTTACCGGCCCTGTCACGACTACTATCACTCCTGATGAGCCAGGAGCAACCGGTAGTGTTATTATTGAGATCCCCAACACCAAGATTGCTTCTCCCTCAGCACCTTATGTTACCGTCACTACTCCAGGAAGCCTTGCCCCAACTGACGCCCCTCGCACAAGCACTATTCCTCCCAGTAACCCTACGGATCCTGGCACGGTTATTGTTGTGGTTCCAAGCTCCCAGGCTTCATCTGTTTCCTCGATCCCATTTGTTACTGTTACCACCACTGGTAGTACCCTCAACCCAACGGATGATCCCATCACGTCGACTATTTCCCCATCTGGGTCAACAGGTTCCGGCACTGTCATAGTGGAGGTTCCGCCTTCCAGTTCCCCTAGCGGCTCTGGCGCATCCTCCTCCCCTGTCTCTTTCGTTACCCGCACTGTTACTGGAGACGATGGTAATGGTGAGCCCTCTACGACTACTATCACCCCCACCGCAAGCTCTGGTCCCGGGACCGTTATTGTTGAAGTCCCGCCCCCCACCAACAGCCCCTCGGCTACATCACCTGGAAGCAGCAGGCCTGGAGGTCCTGATTCCTCTGGAACTAGCAGCTCTGCTAGTCAGGGGCCTAGCGATAGCGCCGCTCCATCTAGTAGCACTGGCGATGCTGGACCATCCTCATCTGTGCCGGAGTATTCTAGTCGCAGTCGAGCGACTACAGATGATGCTGCTTCGAGCACTTCCGCCAGCGCACCTGCAAGTAGTTCAGCTGCATCATCAATCACGCAGTCTGAGACACCATCCAGTGCTGGCGCAGAGACGAGCACCCCTGCCACTTCTCCTGCTTCATCTTCTGCCCCTTCAACGAGCGATGCAGATACCAGCTCTCCTGTCAACCCTACCACCTCCAGCCCTGCTTCGTCAGCAGCTACCTCTGCCCCTGGTTCTTCCACAGAGTCCGCTCCTAGCTCATCCACCAGTGCAGCGGCCGCGAACTTTGATCCTTGCCCCGACAGTCTCTATGGAAACCCTCAGTGTTGTTCCGTCGACGTTCTTGGGGTTGCAGACGTTGAATGCGATTCACGTAAGTACCTCCTTCATAGCCCAAGACATATCATAGCTAACATGACCAATAGCCACCGAGTCTCCTACCGATGCCGATAACTTCCAAGCCATCTGCGCAGCTAGTGGTCAGCGAGCTCGATGCTGTGTCCTCCCTGTGGTAAGTCCTTTTCTTGAACCGGAAAACACTAGATACTGACTCATTTCGCACTATAGCTTGGCCAAGCTCTTGTTTGTTTGACTCCAGTTGGCGTATCGAACTAAACTCAGCTTTATATTTTCTTTTGGGAGAAGATCTGGACTTGTGGTAATGGGAGAACTGTAAGATGATATTCTGGAGGGACTGGGCTGGTGGCTTACGAGAGGCTTTTTGGAAGCCATGCTTGGAATGGACACAGACCTCGCAATATGGAATGTTTTCTATGCTCTAAGTGTGCTTTTTTGACTTATACAGTAATTGTAATACGGAGAGCCGACCTCGTTCTTCAACTCTGAATGGCTCTGAGCATTTTCGTTTCCTCATGAAACATTTTTCAAGGTACCGCTTCCCAGGTAATGAAGATTGGTTTCGCTGGATTATTGAGTGTCAACACTGATTAGCAATCGCTGGCAAGAAACTGTATAGGAATTCCATGGGTAATTTTGAGGCTGTGCGCATAGATTTCGCTGAGGTCAGACGAGCTGCTACTGGTAGTTACGCGCTAAGGTCTCTATTTATGTCCGGGATTGTAAGCGGCAATATTCCTTCCACGTACTCCGCCTCATGCGCGGTCACTAACCCCACGATTTTCACAACCTTTCTCATGGTAATTATTAAGCATAACTCTTCATTAACCCTTCCCGTCGGCATCTAGTTGTGCCGTGTTTAAGGGCATCTCTGCAAGACTCTACAGCGCTTCTCTTTGGCCCCCAGTGAAATCTCACCAATACTGCTATAACAGCTCAATGACGATGGCTGCATATAAATTGGTCTTACGCGCTAAGTGATAAATACAAGAACAGCCCTGCTCCAGCTTAGATTGCTTACTCAAGTTACCCACAAGTCGCCAAAACTCACCATGCATGCTTCATACTTCTCATACAACCTTAGCAGACCATACCCTTATGTATGGTTTACTCCTGTTGTTCTTGTTGGTGGATTGATCGCGACAGCACTTATCGCATTTCTGAGCGTCGCGACACAAGGTTACGAGACTATTTCCATGGCTACCTCCAATCCCAACACGACCAGCGAAAATCGTAATCCTTTCTCGGACTGGCCTTCCTTCCTGACCGCAAACACAAAGTCGCTCTGCTCCACCACGACGATCCCCATCGGCACTGAGTTCTACACCAACAATACCGCCCTCAAGTATACAGTTACCAAGATTTGGCGCGGCGACAATCCAAAAGAGCCAGATGCACTGCTGGGATCATTGCCCTATCTCAACAACCCCTTCCAATCATGTGCAGTAAACGGTATCACGATTGAGTTTGAGGGCATCGATCGCAGTGCCTCTCAGATTGCGCTTCAGCAATGGGGCGCCAAGCTACGAGCTTCGCTATCCTGTGAGGTAGACACGCCTGGCGGCAGAACGACCGTGAACATGACAACAACCTACGACGTCAACGGCATCGATAACGATGTGGGCACAGCGTTCCCAGGTCGGAACGACACAGATAAGGCAAGCTTATGGTGGGGAGAGTCACTTCTTGCTTGGTACTCAATAGCCTTGACCAACGACATGCACGTTGCTAACGAGAAGTTCTTCCGGGGAGAGAATGACAAAGATGTTCCTCCAATTTACAAGGGTCATATTTCCTTCACGAAAAGAAAGACAGTCGTGCCATCAACGCAGGATATCAAGGCGCTGGATTTCTTCCAAGTCAGCTGCTTCTTCGTCCCTTTCAGCAATAATGGCGTATCTCCCAACGTTTATTACTGCAGCCATGAGAAAATGAAAAACTCACATTTGATCGAGAAGCTATCCAAAGCGGACGACAGCGACCAGTTGATGCCTCTCCCTGGTATTTGGATCTCGGCAGATAGCCTGGCTAAAGCCTTCTATTTCACCATTCTCGCCGATCTTGGACAGACAGACTCGGGACTGAATATTCTGGACAACGTTGAGCTTCTGACCCATTACACCAAAGACTATGAAGCTATCCAGAATCGCACGCCTATTTGGGGCGACAATCTCAGAGTCAACACCACGGAAGGGTTAGCTCATCGCGCATTCACATCCAAAGACGCCCCTGTAGAGGAGTTAGGAATCAAGCCTTCTGTCATCTCAACTACATTTCTTTGTCAGATCCCTCGTCTGAAAAGCAAGCCAACGCTCATTGTCTCTGTCATCATCAATACAATAGTCATCCTATCAGCTCTTTGGAGATCATACCAATTCCTTATCGATGCAATTCTGTCAAAGAACGATCCGGAAATGATGAATTGTGCTGCATGCATTGCAACGACGGCAAAGGAGGAAGAATATGAAGTCGGGTATTCTTCTGGACAATCATCGCAGAGCGTAGGAATACCGAGTAGGGTCAAAGCACGCTATTCTTCTATACAACAAGATGAGGATCTCTAAGACCATACTAGGGATTTCAGTATGAAGATTAACGCTAGGACTACACTCTTCTATTATCATAAGTGGTAGGTCATATGGGACGAGGCGGGTCCCTAATGTGAATGAGAAGGTTGTGAATTGCCTAGTGGGTAGTGTAATAGTCCATGAGATATATGTAGTCAAGGTGCTCAATGGCCCGGGTATGCCATGTTGAAGCAAGCATAAGCAGCAACAGCCAGTGCAACGATCCCCAAATAGAAATCGCCGGTGTCCGAGATACCGCTCGCAGATGACTGACCCTTTTCTACATCACGCGGAATGAGATTAAAGGTCTTAGAAATGGAAGACCACGCTGTGACTGCCGGCGCCACAACCGTATCCGCCATACCGAAGCAGTACTCAAACGGCAGTCCAGTACTCCATGACAACAAATACGTCAGACCAAGAGAATACACCTCCATGAGCCGGTGACGTCTCCCAGATCCAAAGCATGGGAGCGTGAGCAGAATAAACCTGTAAACTGCGTGCGTAAAAATCCAGCTCTTGGAAGCAGCGGTGAAGACGAAGAGGTCATCGTGTAGCATGATAGTTTTCCACTGCACACTATACCCTTGCAGGACAATCCAGGCAGACAGAGAAATACAAGCGGCCTTGCAGCAAATGCCACGGAAGGACCCTCCAGAAGGCGTCGCGACCATCATGAGAATATTGCCATAGACTGCAAAGTTGACGTAAATGGTGAAAGCGTGAAGCCATTGCGCTTTCGTCGGCCTGCTAGCGACGATAAACAGAAGGACGGAGCCGAGGCCTAAGGGCAGTTCGGCCATAGTCTTGGCCATTTCACCTTTGGTGGAGGTTCGATCAAAGAGGACGATGATGGCGCTGGTGGTGTAGACGATGGTGAGGAGAAGGCCCGGTTTGGAGATGAGGCAGCGGTAAGCGAGAAAGAGGATCCCACTGAGGGATGCGTTGAATGGAATGTCGAGATACGGCTCTAATGCCGCGTATACTGATAAGAGACTCATGGTGATGCGCCACTATATTGTTGCCTTTGAACGGTTGAGAAGAGAGTGGCTTGAAATAGTCGTGAAAAATGGATGTCGCTTCCCGGCTGTTCCGTGGGGTGCGTGCTACGTGCTCGTTGCTAACCCACAAATACAGGGGTCTGAGGTCTGTGATTGGTCAGCCAAATATCAGCACACAAACTCTAGGGTAAGGTGTTTCCAATCATGTTTATGGTTTACATATGAACGAACAGTGATTTGAGATGCGAAAGTCTCTATTAGACTCTCGTTTCAGACTACAAATAAAAGCTGGCAGACCTCCAGCTGCAGTTGGAAAAGGAATTTCTGTACAGCGATACCAATGAAGCGCGATACACTTTACCAGGAACAAGAATATAAGCATTGAAAATTGCAACGTCGACGATTAACTGTACGGGTCAACTCTTAGGAGTTCAGATGCAGGGAAAAAGTATACACTTCAGATTCTATCTTGCGCCACGAAGATCTACTTAGACTCCATAGTGTATATACGGCACCCAGAGCGGAGTTTTACGTGTCTCGTCGTCACACGAGATGATATCCCGCTCACTTCTGCTCCTAACTCTCGTCCTTTCTTCAGCCAGCCATTTATCCCTGAGTATACAAGTAGCTCGATGGAGTGCTTGGCTGACGGATCCATCATGAAATCCACTCTCCCCCAGAACCTTGTATGTCATCTGCGCCATGTCAACGCACAAAGCATCGTCCACCTCCCACAACGTTCCAATGACATGTCGGAAGCCGGTCAGCTGGAATGCGCTTGTGAGATGAAGACTCTCGTCGGCTAGCTTCTCATCCAAGCTTTCACCCGTCTTGCAGGCGGAGAGGTAGGCGAGGAAGGGTGCGCCGGAGCGGAGATTGGTCTCAAGCAGACTCTCTACTGTCAGCGGTTGATCTTGCCAGTCTTCAAGGTAGATTAAACTGTTCAAGGGGTCTGATTTCGTGCTGCCGTGACCTGCAAAGTGAAACACACGGCATTTCTGGAGGGCCGCCAAAGTCTCAGCCTTCCGTGGCTGCGGATGTTTAACTGGTAGTCCCACCAAATCGAACATTGACTTCACAGCCCGAACTTCGGCATCTGCATATTTCAAACGGCTTTGCCCTTTGGTCTCATTCATCGCCAAAAGTACGACATCGCTATCAGAATCGACATCTATAGTCTTATTGCGTTCCTGGCGGGTGTCGATGATAGCTTTGATGGATGAACTGTAGGACGACATCACCTTATCGAGTGTCGTCCTGCCGCTAGATTCAAGGTGATAACCAGCTGCGTGGAAAGGAAATTTGCTCAGCGCCCCTGTAGGAATCCACCATATGCGTGGCAAGGGATCTTCTGGTGAGGGCCGATTGAGACCAAGAGCTTTGAGAACCGGTTCGACCACAACGTCCCAGAGCCACTCTAATGTTTCAAGAGATTGGAGACTCTGCGCTCGTCTAGAAATTTCGTCCTCGGACAGGGCTGTGAGGGATAAAGCTCGGGTACTACTTAACTCAACAAGAAGGGCATCGCATCTGTGAGAGCTCACATTAACCATGACAATAGGGCCTTGCTCAGCCGCCAAACGCATCTCGGTGTCGGTAGCCGGTAGCAGGAAGCGTTCATGACCGGGGATGGTCCGAATCTCGCTCAAGAGAGTGGCCATCTCACTATTCGCCCAGTGCCTTCGGTCAACTCCGAAAGAACCAGAGGCGGCATCGGCAGTCATCATGACATTCGTCTGCGTTGGGGAGTCGAGTATACGACGAAGATCGTGAAACGACTGAACTAGATCAGGACGTTTGTCCTGAATGGAGGATAGATCGGTGCGAAGGTCACGAAGTGCGCCAGCTAGCAGACCGCGTCCTGACTCGAGAAGTTGAATGGCAGCTGAGGCTCCTTGACCTGTGTGCAAGGCCACTGCAGCAGCATCAGAGGCAAGACCAGCAGTTTGAGAAAGAATAACCTTCTTGTCAACCGAGGCTAATGAGTTCGGTGCTGACAACGGAATCAAGTCAATAGTAGTTTTTGCGATCTGATACGCTCTTTGACCGTACTGAAGGATTTCTGGAGTCGAGAGGAGGTAGCGACCTGCAAAGATTCTATAGGTAGGAAGAGACACTGTTGACACCAAGGCCTCTTCATAACAGCGCTGAGACTCTATCTTGTCCTCTTTCAAATCTTTGCGTATGAATCGAGAGTTCAGCTGGTGTCCTAGGTTATTCAATAACCCTGCTCTGCCGGGATAGTCAACGGAGGTGGCCTCTACCGCTTCTCTGGCAGCCGTTGTGGCCTTCTCCAAGTCTTCTATCTTATGCGTGCTCATATACCAATGGTCTAGAGAACGGCTGAGGTTAAACAACCATGCCGCTCGCTCAGAGTGACCCATGTCGGCCATCTTGACAGCTTCCCCACCCAAGTCAATGGATTCTTTTAGATCTTTCATGTCCCCTGTCTTCAAGAAACGGCTTGTAAGTTGGACAGCAAGATTGCTGAGCAGGTTGGGTCGCTCAGAATGGCCATCGAGGCATGCTTTTATGGCTTTTCTTGCAGTATCAATGGCCTTATCAAGGTCAGTTAATCCCGTCGCCAAGTCGGACGATCGACTAAAACGATAGTAAAGATGAGCACTGAAGTTGTTCAGCCGTAAGGACCGATTGGCATTACCGTCAGATGTCGCGTTCACAGAATCTCTCGAAGCATTGATAGCTTCATGAAGATCTGCTATCGCTCCAAACTGCTGGTATCGAGTGCAAACGATCACTGCGAGGGTATTCAAATGTGCTGCGCTATCGGGGTGGCTGTCGGAAGTTATATCGACAACTTTCCTAGCAAGGTTTATGGCTTCCTCCAAGATTCCGGTGGCGCCTGTACGGGAGAATTGTGTACCGAGCTGCAAAGCAAGATTATGCAGTAATATTGGCCGTTCCGGACGGTCTTCAGGTGTGAGTTCAACGGCCTCTCTGGCGACTTGAATAGACTCATCTAAGTCCGTCATGTCTCCAATGGTTGCAAACCGCCTTCCCAATTGAAGACTGAGGTTTTTCAGGAACTTGGCTCTGTTGGGGTGGCTAACAGGGGTCGTCTTTATTGCTCGCTTGGCGACTATGACAGACTCTTCCAAATCGGCTACGCTTCCCCGAGCTGAATACCTATCACCGAGTCGAACACTGAGAGAGTTCAAAAGGACCGCCAAGTCTGGACTACCATCGGAAGTGATTAGGATGGCCATTCGGATTACCTGGACCGCCGCTTCTAAATCCGTCGCGTCTCCAAGAGCAGCGTATCGGTCGCCAAGCAGAACGCAAAGGTTGTTCAATCTTGTGGCATGTTCAGGATGGCCATATGATGTTGTCTTGATCGCTTCCCGACTAACTTCGATGGCTTCTTCCAAGTCTTCAAAGGTCCCAACATGAGAAAATCGATTCCCTAAATGCACACTGAGAGTGTCCAAATATTGTAGATGGTCGGGGTGAATACAAGAGGCCATTTCGCTAGCTTCTTTCGCAGCTGCAATAGCCTCATCCAGATCTGGTAATATACCTTGTTGTAAGAATCGATCGCCCAGATATATACCGAGGGCATTGAGCATTGAAGCTATATCAAACTCTCCATCAGAAACATGGGTTGAGACCTCTTGAAGTGCTTGTTTCGCAAATTTGATAGCTTCGTCTATATCATTTTTCTCTCCTAGAATAGAGTATCGGGTTGCTAATAGCGAAGCAAGAGTCTCCAATATTTCTGCCATGATGGGATTTGAACTTGTGGTTATCTCCAGAGCCTTCTTTGTGCTAGTGATAGCAACATCTAGGTCTGGGATCTCCCGGGTGTTTGAGAATCTTTTCCCTAGAAGGTTTGCTAACTGGTATGAGTATTCGACGAGGTTGGGATCATCGCTGAGTGTCAAATAGATGGCTTCCCGGATACTCTGAATTGCAAAACCCAAGTCTGTTTTGTCTGCTGTAACTGAGAATCGCCTGTCGAGTCTGAGAGCAAGGTTTTGCAAGAGGGTTGATCGATCGGGGTCTGAGTTTGGAAGCATATCCACAACTTCCTGAGCAAGATCGATGGCTTCATCCAGGTCAGGCCTCGACTCCGTAAGCAAAAATCGATGATAGAGAAAGGCTCCAAGGTTACTCAGCCACTCCATTCGGTCCGGATGATTCTTGCTAGGAGAATCCATCGATTGCCTAGTGTTGGCAATAGCCTCGTCTAGATCTGCCAGTTCTTCTGTAACTGCAAACCGGTCGTTTAATAAAAGAGCAAGATTGTATAATCGCTCTGAATGCTTGGGATCATGGTCGGGAGTCTCATGAACAGCCTGTTTTGAAACAACGATCGCCTCCTCTAGGGTCTTCATTCCTTCTGTACGCGTATATCTCTCGCTCAAAAGGGTTCCAAGAAAGCTCAGCCATTCTGGCCTGTCAGGGTGCTGATGAGAAGGAGCTTGGATAGCTTGCTTGACCATGTCAATAGCGTTGTTTTGATCATCCGTCACCTCAGTGACGGAGTAACGATCATTCAGTAGAGTTGCAAGATAATATAGTTGTGAAGCACGGTCCGCATGGTCATCAGCAAGCGCCTTGAGACGTGCTTGGGCTTCCGCGATTCTGCTAGAAAGTTCCTGCATTTTAGATTACCAAACTCCTAGGGGTACTTAAAAATGAGATAGTCTTTTTCGCTGTTGAATCCAGAAAATGGGTGATTGCTGCAATATTTGATCTTTCAAGAACCGCGCGGTGAATGAAGGAAATCAGGCTGGGCACAGTGGCCTGTTTCCCTTCACGTGGGCTGAGGAGAGTAAGCATGCCAAGCCACGTTTGCTATTATTAGATAACATGAATTTGGCATACATTATTTTTAGCTGAATCTCTCGTTATATATTAAATCAGGCTTTGGTGGATTAATATAGTAGTAGCGTAAATAGAACATAATAGTAAGAAATTAATAAATTTAAAGAAATTAAAAGAGATAATATTTTTTAACTTCTTTATTTTTAAAGTTTATGAAACATTAATTCTTTTTAAATATAAATTCTAAGCTCTTTAGAAATATCAAGACCTCCCTATTACACTATTATAGAAGTTATATTATACCTTTTTCAGCTGCAGGCTCCAGCGCTATGATTTAGGTTATGTCTTCGTGACTTAACGACTATGTGTTTTAATTCGATTGGAACCACCGTGTGCTGATGGCTTCACTTGATCAACCTTCCGAACTGCTCCTTCAGGAACATCCCTTCGCACTAATGAACACCGAGGTTCAGATATGATGCAGCTTGAAGATCTTGATGTTTGCTCCTACCAACGTTGGCACATGGGTAGTTAGACTTTTGAGCGCCTCGGGTTACACTCTACCTGTTTTAGACTAGCAAGGATGCTCATCTCTCTCCCCCACGCAATGTTAAGGGACTTAAAATGTAATAGTAGCGGGCTGATGGGCGAGCTAGGCGAGGCAGCCATTTGGTATCAGTGGGGTGAGTGGGAAACTTGGAGAACACAGCTGAAATAATTACCAATAGTACAGGATGCGCCGGCCCGGATAAACATTCCGGGCGCCCTTGTGAGCAAAACGCTGGAAAATGGGAATGCAACCAACTATAACTCAACAACTTCATTATCCACCAGTCTCTAGCAAAATCCATTATCTCTTCCATCACATTTCAAAATGGCTCGAGGTGTACGCAATAAGGCACAGCTGGGAACCTACTATCGGACTGCAACAGGTCCTCGGTCTGTCCCATTGACCGACCCTCAAGGTCATCGTCTTCGGTGGCCGATAGATATTGGGGGCGTCCACGTTTATTCAAGGGATGTTGAATCTGTCATATTTGTACCCAGCTCCCGATTCTGGATCGAAAACGAAGCCGACGACCCAGATGCTTTGTGGCGAGAAGACACAGAGGCTTTCGACTGCTTTAAAACGTCTTATGCTTATAACATGATTGGCCAAGAGCATCCAAGAATCGTACCGTAGGTCATCAAGAGCAACCATCCCCACGGCTCCTGGTAACTGAATATACCAGTATTATCGGTCAAGATGCCTGGACAGGTCTTCCTATACTAAAGAAACCGTCTTATGGCTCTCTTTGGACCTTTATACAGAACCATGACTCTCAGGTTTACACGGCTGAAGCAGATACTGCACCTCCCACATCCCGGATCAAGCCAGAGTTCCGACCTTTGGCCTACCAGTGGAGCTTACAACTACTATCAGGTCTCTCATTAATCCACTCTCGCGGTATCGCTTACGGAGAGCTCATCGAGACAAACTGCTGGATCAGTGCAGGCTCTCTATCGATGGCGGTAGCAGGCTTCCTCGGTTCTGACTTTATCGACCCAAGCAATGGTTGGAACTTCCCCGGCTCTTTCTTCAGCGGTATCGAGTTTTCGCAAGAATACCTTCCTCTTTCGCGGGCGGTGCGAGTGCCAACATCCAAAACCGATATGTTCATGTTTGGTAGATTAGTGTACCAGATCATGACCTCTGAACTGCCAGGGGACGGAATAGGAAGGGATTGGGGCGAGACTGAACGCTTGATGGCCGAGGAGGACTGGATGCCTGATCTTGAAGATGAGTTCATGGGAAAGATTGTTCATAAGTGCTGGAGGCTTGAGTACGAGGATGTTGAAGAATTACAGAGCGAGGTGCAAGCGTTCGTTGAAGCACACGGGTGGTCTATTAGAGGGGACGAACTTGAGGGTTTCGACGCCCACAATATTCAACGCGAATTCGAGGCCAACTTTGTTCCGGAAGATGACGAATAGACCTCGATTCGCTATTACTGGTGGGAGCTATCTATAAGATACAGATTCTCTATGTAGCAGTCTCATTCTGGCGTAATACGGTCCCTTTGCCCCTTATACGCTTCCCTGATTTAAAGTCTACCAGATAACCTTGACGAAACCCTAGGTCAGCTTCCTTCATGCAAAGGTGAGGCGGTGGAGGGTAGTGTTCAAGTTACCTCAACCAAAATCGCTTGAGCCCGTCTAGAAGACTTAGCATCCACGCATACAGGAGCCGTTGCAGCAGCGAATGCCTTGAATACAAGCCGAGCATCCCGCCTGGCGAATAGCAAGTTCAAACTCGTCGCGAGAAACAAGCTTGCCGGGGATCTCAACTTCATGTTCGGGGAGAGTAGCAGCCATAGCGGTAGAGACCGAGGCAAATGTGAAGAAGATGATGGAAAGCTTCATTGTTGGAATAGTTCAAGGAGAGGAGAGGAGATAGAGGATAATGAGGAGACTGAACGTCTGTTAAGCGGGGGTTTCACCGGCCTTTTATAGATCAGATAGGTGGGATGCTGAGTCATTTTAAGCTATTAAGTGTAGCAGGAACTTCTTCCTGTAGATAATCAGATTAGATGATCAGATAACTCGTCTATCTTCGCGTGCCATACCAACCCATGCTCCAAAGAAGCGAGTTCCGTATCACGACCTATCATCTGCGAGAAATATATCAATCAGTGGAACATTACGTCACGTAAGCTTCCTTTAATGGGCCCTTGTCATAAATCTCACTGCCAAGTAAGCTACGGAAGCTGACCATTGCCCTCATGCGCGTCTTCCTCCGGGCCATCGCCGTCGTGACCCGGAGAAAAGCCCCAAGCTGGCTGGCAGCGTGATGAGTCCCACGTGTCAACGGTCGTTTGTAGAAGTGATACTAGTCAACTTGTGTTGATAAGCCCAGACATTTGCCGGGGGGTTTTGACCTATGTGCCCACCGAAGGACAGAGGCGCAAGAAGGCCAAAACTTGCCAACTTCACAATTACTTGGAGCTATTCCGAGCTTCTTTGGCACGCATGAGTCGGAAGTCTTCTGCAACGTATCGGGCCCTCGGATTCAGCCAATGTCGTGGCCAACCGACAAGTACAGGTACCTAAAGTATCCGAAATCTAGTACTCATTCGCGACAGGCCTAGGATCCTTCACCTGCCTTCCTGGGGCTAGCAACGATGGGTGCATGAGAAACATTTTTCAATTGGCTCAAGGTTTGGCACGGGATACTGTTGCATGCAAAATCACGTACGCTTCAACGGTGTTCAACGCCACGGTTATAAAGAATAAAGTTCACTGCCTGTTTACAGTTGGCTTGGTGATCTCAGGTCTACCGATCATATAAAAGCAAACGCGGGGCATTCATGCGCTGTGTACATATGTACATTATAGTCTCTTTTCCAGTGTCGATGTTCGTCCTCGGAATGCGCAATACAAATATTGCAGCTTCACACATGCTGAGTTCCCCTATCAATAGATTCCACCCCATCAGCCAAGTCCTTGCAGCTCAACACAAACCCTCAGCCCCCTTCGCAGTTATACTCGGTGCACTTCTTGGTAAACTCGGGACTCGTAGTCGCGCAAGCATCACTGAGCATCAAGCAATCCCAGCCCTTGGTGTATGCGTCTCGAATGGTACCAGCGACACACTGATCCGTGTTCTCTCCAGCAAACAGTAAAGTTCTGATATCTCGCTTGCGAAGTGCGTCTTCAATGCCCGTTCCTCCCCAGAACCCTGAAAGTCGGTTCCTATTGATGTGAATGTCTTGCGGCTCTGCGGTTCTCTTCAGGCTTGGATGGAACTCGGTGTTCCATTCCTCTGAACACACCCGTAGCACCAGTATCTCGAAGACCTAAACTATTTATGCATATCAATCCCATTCTTCAAGACATTTCTAACCTCCAACTATACAAGTTTCACACATAGTTAGTTCCACAGGAGATGTCTTACTATACACGACCAATCATGTGTACAGAGGTTGTTGATACCTGGGAGTGCACAGTATGCCGCAAGGACTTCAAGTCAAGGAAAGACTTCAAGATGTGCAGAGTTGGGAGAAAACATACCAAATTCGGTGCTTGCGGGAAGTATAACATCCAGCATGAATACTGGAAGGACAAGTGCGGTGCTTAAGCAAAGAAGAAGTAAGGCAGCCCGGAAAGAGTTTGCTTAAGGACGGAGTTAGAATTATAACGTGATAAATATTGATCTTTGTTGTTACGGTTGGCAAAGGATACACTGTGATTGAAGGTTGAGTTGGGATAACATGAGGTAGACCGCGGGTCATCACCTATCATTTGCCTGGGTGCTTGCGTAAAGTGCATAAATATTTCTTTTATACAGCCTCCCCTTAATGATATCAAAGTAAGTACGTCAAGGTCATGTACTCAGCTGATCAGAGAGCAAGCCACGGGGTATGACACCTGCTCATACTGACGGTATGGAACATTTGCACATGGATATTCACGCATGCACAATACGATTTCAAGGTATATAAGTTCTCGCCCTCAGCGTAGTATACCCCAGACTTTCCAAGAATACTCCCAACCCAATAAAGATAAATCGAGAAAACACACAGCAGACATCTACCATGTGCACCGAAGTCGTCAACAACTTTGAATGCCACAAATGCGGCAAGGATCACAGAACGGAGAGAGATTACAAAATGTGCAGTAAGGGTCGCAGTAAGAACAAATGGGGCGCCTGTGGGAAGTCATCGGTGGAGCGACACAATATTCCGGAGACTTGCCCGGCTTGTGTCAAGAAGGCGAAGAAGAGAGGCTAGCCAGAGCACCATGCGTGTTGTTGAAGGTGCATATTGAGCTTGTCGAAGGAGAGATTTTCCCCAGGCTAGACAATGGTTGTTAATTGACAAATAAAACTTTTCTATATATGCGATGTGATTAGTTTGTACATGAATTATCTATATCGCAAGCACGCAGCTGCAACCGAGACGTCTGATCCGCAGTCTTTTTTCGTGTATGTTCCATGCCGCATGGAAAATTGTCTTTCCCTTCGGTAGTCTGTAAGATCTTCCCCATCAATAGACATTGTGGCAGAGCTTCCTCATACTATTGCTGTCTTCTCTCCTCGTCAAGAAGTGGTCTTGGTTCAGCAGGAGCTTTCTTTTGAAGGCTGACCCAGATAGCTGAACCAATGATGAGAGCACTGCCGATGAAGCTCGTGATTGGAGGAGTAGTTCCCCAGACGATTCGCTCGATGATCAGCGCGAAGACCATTTGGACGTACTGTCACTAAGTTAGTACTGGTCGCGAATGTGTTGGCAAGCAGGAACTTACGATAAGATTGGTGGCTCGACCAGCCTTTTCCCGCTGAAGACCTTCTGTGAGGAGAAGCTGGAGCAGAAAGCCCGAGATACCAATCGAGAGAAGTAGACACCTAATCATATGAGCAGTGGGCTAAGGTTACGGACGAAATTACATACCATTCAGCGATAGTCTTCGGAATCTCAAACTGAAGATCAGGGTGAATCATGATGATGAGGAATGAACTCACGGTCGCAAGCACAGCGAAGTAGTTAACACTGACGAGTGAATGAGCCCGCTTACCGATCACGCGGATAGTCGCATACGCCGTGGCTGCTGCAAAGGAACCAAAGATCGCGCAAAGAATAGCAATGGTGCGTTCTTGTGGTGTAGCCTTTACCGGTGGCAAGATACCACCGTCAGCAGTGAAATCCGAGTCTACGGAACGGGATTCCAATTCCGATAATGTTCGCCAGCTTTCGGGGAAGAGGAAGGCTGGGCGGGCGACGAAGAGAACACCTGCGAAGGCGATAAAGCCTGCGGTTGCTTCTTTGATGGTGAATGGTTCCTAGATGCCGAGTTAGATGAAATTGTGTTAGAGCGTTGAGAAAAGACTTACGCGCAGCGCGACCCATGCAATGAAGGCAGTGAGGGTCGGGACAAGGAAAGTGATGACTGTTGCATCAGATATGTCAAGATACGACAGTGAGTCTAAACCAGCACATTAGTAAAATCCTCTCCTCAAACCAGTCATGAAAAAATCCTCACAGTAAAGCCCAAAAAGCCCAGCTGATCCCGCAAAGCCTCTCAACACCAACAAACCCCTAACCTCCTTCGGCCCAAAAGGAAAATTCGGTACTTTTTTAACCCACATATAAACAGAGCCAATCAACGCAGTAGCCAGCATTCGGACGAATATGATCTGCAAAGCGTGGAACTTTGTTTCAAACCCCGTTTCAAGAAGCCGCGTTGTCATAGACATCTGATTTTGTTAGTGTGACCGTTTCATCGGGTACGGGAGTGGCTTGCTTACGATTGAGGCGAATAATTGGGCGACTAGGACGTAGAATAGACCGATGTTTCGGGAGTAAAAGTTTTGTAACTTTTCTAAAACTGTTGACTCGGAGTCTGGGCTTGTTTCTGAGGATGTTTCTGAAGAGTCTTCCCTGTTGACAGCCGCTGGAGCCAACAGAGATGAAGCCTCTGAGTCTCCATGTTGATTGGCCTGTGTCTTGTTCTGAGATTGAGGCATTTTTAAAGGTGTGCTGTGAATGAAATAAGTCTACGGCCAGCGCAGTTAGTGGTCCCCAGGCAATCAACTCAGGTTAAAATTCACAGCCCGTGTGATAGAAGCATAATAAGCTTAACGAAGAGAACTGAAGGATTTTCTCCAGTTGGTCCCGTGAGCCGGTGGCGCTGAGCCAACTAAATACTTAGCTGAGATTGGACAGTTACGGACCCCACGAAAGGGGGTTTTCCACCAATCACGGCTATGATCGATAAGTGAAACCCGGGTCATTAATTCTTCCGTTGTCTTGGCTGTCCTTAATCTCTGTCGTGAGAAGTTCAATCTGCCACTTTGTTTATATTGGTATAATATTATCGAATGCTTAAATTTTTGGTTAACTTGTACTTAGCTTGGTTAGACAGGAGCTCTGTAATTATTAAATCGATAGGAAAAGGCTATTTAAGAAACATGAAACCCAAAGTGTATAATTACTAGACAAACAGTTGTCCCCTAATTGACAAGCACAAACATTGCAACACCAGCAAAACTCAACATTAGTGACAACGAGGCTCTCTCAATAGCGCCGCTATTATCATTCGAACCTCCACTCCCTGCAGTAGCTGTTACCGTAGTAGTACTCTCCTCTCCAGTTCCAGCCGGGACCTGAAGCTCATCCGTCGGCCGATCCTGCGCTGACGCTCCCTCCTCAGAACTTGTTGTTTCAGCCGGCGTAAATGACAAGACGCACTCGGCATCAAGAGCAAGAGTATCACCGACATCGTTGGTGACTTCCATTTCAGGGCAGGAGAACGTCGCATCTTCGCCTTGGACCGTGATGGTCTTTGTGCCAGTTTCAGTCTCGGTCTCGGTCTCCCATTCGGTTCTTGTAACAGTTGTATAGGGTGTGCATGAAGCCTGTCTTGCCAGGAGACCGTGTCCTCTGTTGACGTGGGCAGGTGCTGTTGCGGCATCACGGCGAAGACGAGCAGCGGCATTGTCAGTGGTGGTAGCTTCAGGAGGCTCGTAGTGCAGAGTACATCCCTCATCAAGCTCAAGTGTTGCACCTTCATCGTTGGTAGCTGTCATGGGCACACATGTAAACTCGGGAGCGTTGCCAGTGTCAGGCTCGATGTCAGTTGTAACGCGGACCGTCTTCATCTTAGTTGTGGTGACTGTGTTCGTCGACTTGATGGTCTTAGTGGCAGCAGGGCATAGCTTGCAGTAGCCATCGGAGGCACAGTAACCATTCGATCGACAGCACTCTTTGTCGCAGCATGTAGTCCCCTTCAAGCACGATCCATTCTCGCAGCACTTTTGAGTCGAGGGGTTGGCACAAGATCCAGTTGAACAACACTCACTGGACTTTGGACAGGCCCAGACAGTTCCAGGTCCGGTACAGCAAGTGGTCGTTCGTGGGTTATAACACTTGCTATTACCACAGCGCTTCTGGCCGGATGGACAACACCCTCCACCTGGCATGCAGTCATATCCCTTGGGGCAGTTCCTACCGATACCTCCGCAACAAACCGAGGTGTTCGGGTTATAGCATCCAGAAGAGCCACACTTGGTCTCACCGCTGCTGCAGCAACCTCCACTGACACAGGTCTGACCTTTGAGACAAGCGGTACCGCTACTGCAACAAATCTGTGATGATGGATCATAACATCGGCCTGCGCCGCATTGTTTGGCATTACCTCGACAGCACCCGCTGGAGACGCAGGTGCTACCTTCAGGACAGCATCCGAGGCCGCTTGAGCATGGATCTAAGATCTTATCAGCGACGGCGTACTACGGAATTTTGGGTGTTGACATACAGTATCCTGCGTCGACACACTGCCGTTGTCTGGGCTGTAAACCAAAGGCTTGTGGTTCTGGGATTCCTCCGATCCACTCAGTGAATTCAGAGATGGAGTCGGGGAGTACGATGTCTTTCAGTTTGGCATCGGCCAGTGACACCATGTCAGGTAACTTGTTCAGCTGGAAGGTGTCGTGGAAGAGCTGACTGCCACTCGCCGCACCTTTGCCTACCCAGAGGCCAAGGGGTGCAATCTGATAGAACCGCATGCTGGGCAGAATGCCGGATTCAAACTTGAAGAAAAGAATAAACGTCAGTCAAGCCTGAAAGCCCCTCCCGACAGCGAGGCTGGGCCGTGGCACTCAAGAGTCATTTATAACACGCCGCCAACGCATTACCCCTCTTCTGTATCGGGTTTTGTGGTGTCATGATCTTCTAGCTGGCGAGGATCTCCCCTGACCGTCAACCTTGCCAAGAGCAATCAGGCTGAGAAATGAAAAGAGTGCAGCCTTTATCTCGCTGTGCTATGCCGAAACTGAATAGAGGCTGGGACGGACAATTAACCTTAAGTGACTGGAATGTCCGGGCGTGCATTAGCCGTTGTGAATAGCGCTTTGTGGCGTCCATAGCCTGCAGCTTGGTGATGATCAGGCAGAATACTCATCATGCCACCAAGGCCTTGTCCCATTCTTTCAAGTTATTTACTGTTAAACCTTAAACTTATGTCTATTACGATGATCAAGGAGCAGAAGGCCAAGTTTTGCTCCGCATTCTCGAGTCATTTCGCTGATTGTTTGATGATCGCTGGTGCCGATCCTCAGCCGCACGATGCACGAGCCCCAACAGGTAAAGTCACTGAACAGGGGATCGTGTCAAGGCTGAAGCTTTGCGTTATAGTGCTTACGCCCGATTACAGTTGTTGGTCGGATTAACGGTCCGCAGGATCAGTAATTCGTCCAATTATTACAAACAGTACCGCGTGATGGAGTTGATGTGTGCACTAGACTAATAATGAGAGAAGGATTTTCCACCTCTAAGATAACGAAATACAGCAAATGTGCAGGAGAAAATGGAAGAGATATTTATCAGATTTCGGATATCGGTGATGCGAGGTGGGATAAGAACTTGGCACAGGACCCTGGTAATTGAAGACCGTTGGAAGTGATGTGTCACAAGCACCAGTGACATGTTTCTCGACGTGCAGGGTAATCATGTCGATCGAGAGACAGAGGCCTAGGAAATCGCGCAATGGATTCCGCATCTGGCCTCCAAGGCAAGTGAGCATATCTGAGCCAATGATAAATGTGCCTCTTTTCCTCTACTGTCTCTTATTTATTATGCCACGGCTGGGCACAATGATGATGACACGCGGCGTTGTCACATAGATAGCTAGTATGGTTTATGGTCTTACTGCACCTAGACATTTGCCTCGAAGAATGTCATCGCATAGAGCGCCGCCATGGCGTATGGCACCAATCGTGTATATAAGCATTTCTTCCGATGATGCCTTGTAGTCTAGGTACAATTAGCGGCTAGGCTGCCGGCAGTGGCAGCGGCATTAGTGGAGGCGTCAATCGAGCCAACGTCAAGCCATAAATCAGTCGGGACGGGAGGTATTAGCTCAAGGCGGATGGGGTATACAGGAGCATCAGACACACTTGTAGTATACGGGGCTGCGCCCAGGGGGACTATAACTGACCCTACAAACAGCGCTAAACGTTAAATCAGTTGGCAGTACTCCAATTCCGGTAAGAATACCACTTTCACCGGCAATTAAAGAATGTTAAAAAATGCGAAAGAATTATCTTCGGCCACTGTAAAGTCTTGGGAACAAGCAATATTATTTTGACTGATGTCTTATTCCTGGAACAAGTCTTCGTACAAGTGGACAGAACTTATCCCCCCCAAGAAGGCCGTCAACCTTGTAGACAGCATCAACCGCTCCCCGCTACTTAGGATGACCAGGGAGAGTTGAACATGTAGCATCGATTAAGAAAATAGTATTGATTCTAAAAAGCAAAATGTCACAATGGACCAAACAGTACCATCTTCTTGTGAACTGTGAACGCCACGAATGTGAAGACGCTGAAGGTCAATAAGGCAGATGACGATTGTGTACGAGAGCATTGTTCTTGGCGAGATAAGATAGCCAGGGCCCGATAAGGTAGAAATCAGTGAGAGTCGTGCACCATCGTTGCTGAGTTTAGGCGTAGCCCACAGACATACACTCTGGAGGTCTATGTGCTGCTTGTACTTTTAATGCTGCTATAAGCTTAAGTGCTGTTGAGCCTTTGCTTGTATTACCAAGAGGTTATTCGCCACTCTTCTATCTACATACCCTCTAACTTAAACCTGAAGACGGCAAGTTCAAGGTGGATTGAACTTTGCCCATCCAATAGTAGAAGCAGGATTTCTTACATGCTCGGCTCTTGGGTAGCTAGGACCATAATCTCGTGTTAGTGGGGCCGGGAATCGTATCAACTGTAGATCAGATAGCAGTGTGCCCGAAAGTGGTCGGTTCATCGGCAACGCCAGATTTCCGGCCAAAACAAATTCAGCTAAGATGAACGTGGGCAGGTCTATTTCAGCATGATTATGATGTTGAATACGAGGCTTGGCATAACCTATTGCTTCTTTGGGATTGCACTTAAACAATATGGGGATGGCTAAGGATTGGCGCGGATTCTTTTTTCTGCGCTAGAACCCTTATGATATCATTAATTCACGGCTGTTTGATCATAGAACTCTAATTATACGAGAGGTTGGGCAGAGTGGGCAGCTGAGTGACGGATCCTCGGGTCAAAGATAAACGAGAGGGAGGTATAAAATGCAATTTGAATACCTTCAGACCGGACCAACTCCATCATCCTCATCAGCACCAGCCTCTCTACTTCTCAGGCAAACATTCAACTCTTCCATCCCCCAAGACTCTATCCACTGCATCGGTCTTTCGCGCCCAGAGTTCAACATGAACAAGCTTATCATCGCCCTGGCCGTGGCTTCCGCAGTCTCTGCTGCCCCTCTATCCCGCCGCGATGAGTGCCAGGATGCCTATAAATCTTGCATTGCCGCGGGAACCCCAGAGGTTGCATGCTCATGCACTCTAACTGCCTGCGTGGGCGAAGATAATGCGCGCAACCGCGAGTATTGCGCTTCTGCTACAGCATCGCTTGCCCAGCCAACCAAAACCGAGATTCCCGGCGGATGCAATCCTGCCCATCCCGGCTCGTGCCCTTCATCGTACTTTACCAACAAGTATACTGCCCCAGCCGAGACCTTCACTTCCATTCCAGGCATTCCTGGTGGTTGTAACCCTGCTCACCCCGGATCTTGCCCATCAAGCTATTTTACCTACCCCGTGGGCTCCAAGACTGCGGTGCAACCCGCTCCCGTGCCCGCCCCTACCGGCGACTGCACTGAGGGTATCACCTACCCCAGCCCTGAGCCCGTTGATGGCAAGACTTGGACCATTAAGGATCTTACTCGCTACTGCGGCGAGGATAACGAAGGCTGTGATTATAACTTCGAGATCGCACCTGGTGCAGATGGAAAGACCGAGCGGTGTACTATCATCCGTATGCCCGGTAAAGATGCTGCCACCGAGAGCTGGTCTAACGAGCCCTGCACTGATGGCTCTGAATTTACTGTCTCTTGGGGCTATGTAACTGAACCTGCCCCTGCTTTTGCTGTCATCACAGTTGTCAAGGGTAAGGAACTTGCCTGGTTTGGTGTTCCTGACGTCAACGGCCAGAAGGTCACAACTACCCCATCCAATCCTTTTGGCTCTGGACAGTTCGGTGACCTTGGTCCCGAACAGGTTTACACTTACTAAATAGTTTTACATGCGAGGACGAGGAAGGATATGCGAAATACGGCTCATGACTCAATTAATGTAATCAACCCACTCATTTAGTAATGTTACGATCAATATGTAGATTTCATTCTTGCAACTAGAAACATCAATAGAGATATATTAAGATTCATAAGCTCTTATCTTTCACTAAAATAGCCCAGCTAGGTGATCTCCCCCATCACTTCTTCTTGTTTTCCGAGTACAAGAACCCGCTTAATGTTTGACATTAATTGTACGGCCATAGTACGACACACCGCTGGTTTTATCTTTGGTTGAAGGTCTCCAGTATCGTGGTTGGTGAGCTCAATGGTCTAAATAAGTCCTTTCTTGAACCAAATGTTGCGACCTCCTGGGGGACATGGAGTATTTGTATTGGTCAACAGCTGCTCTACAGCAGATTCTATTACTGTCTTTATAGAAAGACATCACTGTGAACGAAAAGGTACCAGGTCTGCTAGGCCTTGGAAACATGACTCTGATAGGTATAATAATAGTTGTGAAACTACGGCCCTACTATTGACGGTCAAGCGGTCGAAGAGAGCTTGAATAGAAGAGATATGGCGGTTTGAGGTTGCTCGACCATTCAGTGTAATTAGCAAGGTCCGTGAAGAAGTAGGATCTGACCTAGTTGGGCCTGGGCAGGCCGAAGGATTGCTGCAATAAATAGCTAAGTAACCTTGTAGAGGATTTCGTAGAAGTAATCTGATAAACAAAATTAAAAAAGCGGCGACCTTTAATATGATTCTCAAAAGAAGGCCTACATTTGAACTCTGGTTATTATGCTCACTGGAGGCTTGGTCTCTAGTGCTGATCTGGCTTTCACATGTCCAACATATTGCTTTCCTAACAATCAAAGCGTCGGAGCAGTTTCCCCGCAAATCCCTTCGACTCGACTAACCCTTCCAAATCTAGATGGAATATGCGCACGGAGCTATGTAGACCTGGGACTTTCGGCATTCGAAGACCGGCAGTTCTGCGGAAGGCGGAGAGAGTTTTGACTACCATGTCATGAGAAGACGGGATAATACGACGCTGTAAGCTCATTAGCCAACCATATTCTGCGTACTTGTGTTTAGGCTCAATCGGAAGGGCAAGCAGCCGCTCGGAGTTAGTATTACCTATATCTTTGTCAAGCATGTAAGTGGTCAAGAAACGAAAGTTACTGGCTAGTTGGTGCGTAGGTTTGTCCGCTTGATGTCGCATGGCATAGATTTTGGATATTCGCAATTGACCATAACACAGCAACTTTTAACATCAATGCGAACATTTAAACCTCAGACTATCCTTTATCAAGTTTCCTTTGATATCAGTTCTTCAGAAATAATACTGGTCTTGTTTCCAGGTGCTGCTTCTCGTAACGATCACGCCAGTCAATTGAACGCCGATGAGCAACCTAGCCTTGCATAATGCAGCCCAACTATCAAGTGGCTCCCGACGTATGCCTTTGATGACCGAGATCGCTGTTTTGTACTTTACTAACTATATCTAGGGGACGCGGATGTGGCTTCTCCATATCGGCAATCTCGTGGTAGATGAAGCCTTTTTTGTCCCCTTTGTCAGTCCTCCATTTCCAAGGTCACAGACCATCACCCAGTTGACATGAGCAGGGGAACGTATGTACCGCCAGCCATCCAATTTCAGAGAACAAGAGAAGAGATTTAGTCATGATCTCTGTCCTTATCGAACACCCCGAAGATGGCCTCTTACTGTACGAAACAGGTGCAGGCAAGGATTACCCAGAGGTATGGGGGCCTCAACTCGCCGACATCTTTGCTCGGGGAGAGCATAGCGAAGACTTGGAGCTCGACGCAGCTATCAAGAAGACTGGTCATGACATCAAGGACGTCAAAGGTGTCATTATTGGACACTTGCACTTGGATCATGCAGGTGGTCTCGAATACTTCAGAGGTACTGATGTGCCTATTTATGTTCATGAGATAGAGCTCAAAAATGCTTTTTACAGCGTTGCTAGCAAGGTAGATATTGGTATGTTCACCATTGAACATCCGTCACATCAAACTAACCAGTTTTCGCAGGAGTTTACTTACCAACCTATCTCAAATTTGACATGAACTGGACGCCCCTCTACGGCGACAGTATCCTCATCGCACGCGGTATCACAGTGCACTTATGCCCCGGGCATACTCCGGGACTCTGCATCATGCAGGTCAACTTGAAAGAAAGCGGTACCTGGATCCTTACCTCAGATCTGTACATCGTGCAGGAGAATTATGATAATCTCAGCACGCAGGGTTGGTTGACGAGAGATCATGCTGCTTGGTCTCAGTCTAATCAGCTGGTGCACATGTTGCAAAAGGCGACGGGGGCGACAGTCATTCTTGGACATGATCGAAATGTTTTGATGCGTCACAAGTTTGCTCCAGAGTACTACGAGTAGATAGTGGTTATCTTTGGTGGCGGATAATGGCGCTTTTAGGCGCTGGAAGATGAGAAAGCTTCTTCATTCTGTGGTGGTTGTAACGCTCAGTGTCAATCGATCATCTTTAGCATTCCTTTGACTTCTTGAAAGCCATAAGGCCTTGACTTGTATATAATTGTATATATATGATATACCAAGTGCATCTACTCCGGTCGCATATCTCTACGAGACCTCAGGCTCGGTGGTTGCAGCGTGGTCAAATGCTTGTCATTAAGACTAGCAGTTTATGTATGCCGATTATTATTACTTCTATCCTGTGTACAGCGAATCTAAAAGGTAAAATACTTGGAGATACCAGTGCTTAATATGTATAGCCCAGACATCTCCCAGGTTCATCAGCGACCTCAAGCAGCCTGACAATCATGGCACTCATAGCAATCCAGATCGCTCCACCAGAAGGAATACGGGACATTGAGATCAATACCCTCAGTACCAAGCTTATAAGTCGACAAAGCACACTGATTGCCCCACCCGCTGGTCGTATCGAGACCGAAAGCCTCGCAGTATCCCTCCTCGCGACATAGAAGGGCACAGTCCTCCATGGTGTTTTGACGTCTGTTGCTTTGGACAGTGCGTCCCCACCAGCCGCCCTTCTTGACACCAAAGGCGTTGCAGGTCCGCTGGACAGGAGGCTCGATGTCACCGTCGCTCTGGGGCCAGTGGTCCAGGATGCCGGGGAGGGAAACGGATTGAGTAGGGAGGCTATCGAGAGGTTGACAGAATCCGGGGGCAGCGATGCCAGTGGGGCAGGTCATGACGGTAGCTGTAGAGCTGGCAGACTCTGTGGTGGTGGTTGGGGGCTGCTGGACGGCGGCTGAAGAAGAAGTAGACTCAGCGGCTGGAGTGGTTCTCGTGTTGAAGGTGGTAGGTGTATCCGCGACAGCCTTGGTAGGAGCCTGGCATGTCATCTCGGGGAGAACAACATTATCGTTGGTAAGAAGACCATATGTTGAGAAACCCATGTTCTGTCCGCAAGCCCAGCAGCCGATATCAGAGAAGTAATCGCTACCTCCCTCATCGGTGATCTCATCGGTAGTACCGGCATACAATTTGCAGTTCCTCTGTGACAGGAGAGAAGTGTAAGAGTAAGATTGACAATCAGCGTACATGGCGCACATGTCTCTGCACTGATCTCCGCCGCCGCAAGGCTGGACAGTAAGAGTCGCGAATTCCTGAGCACAAGACTTGAGCGTTCCCTTACGACGGATACAGCCCTTGTTAGGAGTGCTGCCCATCTTGTTGATACAGATACTATCCTCGGGGAAACTAGGGCAGGGCTTGGAAATGATGCAACTGCGGTCATAAGAGGTGAACTGGGTACCTGTGTTACCAACGGGAACGTCGCTCAAGACAGAGGCAATGAGACGACATTCGTTGGCACAGTTGTTGCCATAGCTCCACTCGAAAGACTTGCAGTTCTCATCAGCGAGACAGAGGGCAGCGCAGTCTTCCTTCTGGTAGTTGCTGCTTGTGAAGCGGCTGTAGGCTCCGGCGCTGTTGTAAGGCTGCATACCGCATCCGCGACCGGCGATGGAGGATGTGCCAACGTTGGCGCAGACGCGGCTAACGGGGCCATCGGGCTTGATGGTCGAGGATTGGCGAGGGGAGGAGCTGCCGCTTGATGTACTGGCGCTTGTAACAGCTGACTCAGTGCTGGACTGCTTTTCTGTGTCGGATGTAGTAGTCCGGGCACCTGGAGTTTGAGCGCCGGGAGTCTGAGGGCCAGGCTGAGTAGTAGCTTGGGTGTTGCCTCCAGCGGAGGTTTGGCTGTCAATTGGACCGGGAGTGTTATTGCCAGTAGGAACAGTGTGAGGGCTGCCAGTAACTGGTGTATGATTGCCAGTAGGCTGAGTGTTGGGACTTCCAGTACCGGGTGTAGCAGAGTTAGAAGACGCATCTGAGCTCTCAGTATGGGTTGGAATGATTGGAGGCACAGATGTAGTTCCAACCTTGCTGGAGGTGGTTGTCTGAATAGCAGAAGATGAAGTGGTAGTGAAGATAGAGGCATCCGAATCACCAAGATCAAGAGGATGATCGTTAATGGTCGCAGGCGTAACCTGGTTAGACATGAAAAGAGAGTCAACATAAACCTGAGCAGACCCTCCAACCAGACAGTTCATAGAGATGGACAGAGGAGCAGAGCGTTGAGCAGCAGTAACCTGCTCAAGAGCCATACCCCACTGCACACTAGTTCCAAAGCTGATGATCCAAGTCTGGAAGAAGGTCTGGCTACCAAGCGAAGCAGTCAATTGGCAGAAGTTCAGCGACGGTGCAGTAACAACCAAGTAGAAGAAGCGGACGGTGTAAGGCCTAGTCAAGCTCAACTGATCGAGCGACTGCGCAACACCAGCAAAGCTTCCAAGATCACGCTTCCTGTCGCCACTAGCCTGCAGTGAAAGACAGCCCGAGTCTTTGCTTCCATCCCCCTTGTAACCTGGCCCAACGACGATGGTCGCATCACCATCGACAGTGAAGCCTGGGACGCCACCTTCAGGGGGAGCGACTGAGAAACCGCCACCGTCGACGACGCTCTTGATGACAACGGATCCGGCGGTCTCGGAAGCAGCTGCTGAAGTCGCGGTGTCGGAGGGGGTGAGGTCGGTTGTAGCGGAGCTGAGGTGAGAAGGGCGAGGCTTGCAGAGGCTTGCAGCAGCGAGATCAAAGCTGCCACTAAGGGCCAAAGCCGCAATGGCTACGACGGAGCGCATCGTCAAAGAGCGTGTAGGGAAAGATGAAAGAGTGGCTGTGAGGACGAACACTCACGAATAATACGGATACTCAAGAAAGGAAAAGCAACAGGCAAATTTCTGGGAATCAGTTTTATTATGCATAAACTAATTACCACATCGTCGGTTACACGGCAGATATGGGTATTGCGCTTTGCCCCTGACTTGTAAGCGGACAAACGATAGTTGCGTATAGCTCTCAAATAGCTCCGTTGTGTCGGATCTTAGGTCATTATTCAGCTCAGCCATGGAACCCATTGGAGGATAGTGGCCGATGGAAAAAAGGGTCTGGAGCAGAGATTTATGCTTAATCAAGTGTAGCGTCAGGGACTGTGGCTGTCATTTTCCAACGCGTTTCCTCTTCTGGAGTACGAGATGAAGACATCACTTTACAACAACAAGCAGTGGTTACAGTACTATAATTTGCATAAATGGAGGTTCTTTGTAGATCTAGTTGCTGATATTTTGCCATTAGTTACACAATTCATGTTGATAAACATGAGGTGGTGATATGCTTTTTGAACTGGTGATATCGTATCTGATCCACTCGCGGAAATCTAGAACTTTTAAAGTGCCGCGCTTGGTCAAATAGCGTCATCAATAACTCACCCATTCTGTCACTGGGCTGAAGGAGACCCCTGAAAATAAGAGAAAGTCCCATGTTATCGGTAATGATATTTCTCAAGCGCATGGTCTCCGAGAAGTGTGTCTGGAACCAACCGAACACGTGAACTTTGCTGCCGAAAACCTTGTGACAGCCCTGTAGGTCGTAATACCCTAGGGCTGAATCGTCATGGACCGCGGCAAATTTACTTCGTGCACACTTCTTAAACTTTGACATCCAAAGGGTGATGCATTAGACATTTGCCACATGGCAGATACTTTGATAAGGGAGCGCTCAATCAAAGCTTGACATTCTAGGAGCTGGCGTTATCTGTCTGGCAAGGGCGTCAGTTATGAAGTTAATCAGTTCAGCGAGCCATAGAATAGAAGGTCCCCGGCGCTTCACGAAAGTAATTCTTCAAGGAACGAATATGTATAGAAGAGAAGAGTGTAAGACTAATACAAGATTGCTACAAAATACATTTGGCCAAGTCATTGTAATTGTTACACTTTTTCAATCAGCCACAGACGAACCTACCATAAGGCAAATGCAAGTATAAATACTCTTGTCCAACACGAAGCCGAGAAAGAGACAACCAAAACCCGATCAACCATGACTCCTTGGAAAAGGCCTACCTCGGATGTAGAGGCCATCAACACGATCCAAGGCATAAAATCCCTCGCCGATGGTATCGCAGTCCTCAACGCCTCCCAGAGAAACGGCCTCCCATTACTGTACATCGACATTGAGCCAAGGAGTCTCGGCGGAAATGGAGAACTCAACCTTTTGACGATTCTGCTGTGCTACGGGCCAGAATTTCGACGACGTTTGTACCTCGTCGACATCAACGTCCTCGCAAATCAGGCATTTTCCACGCGAGGATATTACGGCGCCAGTTTACGAAACATCCTCAATTCTCCATCCTACCGAAAAGTCTTCTTTGACGTGCGTCATGCCTCTCATATTTTATACGGCCAGTATGGAATAAAGTTGCAGAGTGTTCATGACCTACAACTCATGGAGAACGCTTGTCGGTCAAAGGTAGACAAGAGAGAGCATGTGCAAACGTTCGAACCGTTGATTCAGAAGTTACTCGTCCACGGCAAATTCCGAAGAAGATGGTTCGTCGACAAGTTCAACGGAGAGTGGCTGTACAGACACGGCCCTGGAGCACCGCATAGAGTCTTTCAAAAACGCCCGGTTATCGCGTACATTCGATTATACTGCTGCAGAAATGTCCGATTCATGCCGGAGTTGTATTCGAAGATCTGTCGTACGACACCTCGGATTATGGATCTCGTGGCCCAAGAGTCGCAGAACCGAGTTGATGAGAGTCAGAAGGAGGAGTATAAACCTTTTGCTTCTGGGCGGTTGAGAAATCCTTGGACTGCTGAGGCGAATAAGAAGCTTGATTCTTTTGCGGAGATGAATCCTGATTTTTTCGATTTGAGATTGGGCAACGGTGTTCTGTGATAAAGGGTGATGAGAAATTGGATACACCAAGAGGGTCATAACAAGGGCTGCGAATACTGTGGACAAGCTGGTGGACAGCGCTATGATATTGGTTGTGCCAACAGAACCTGGCACTTGGGTAGGCCGTTTGATGTTCTTTGTCAGCCACCTCGAGGGACGTATCATGAAAGGCCTCACAGGACTTAGAAAAAGGTAATTGTAATATTCGCTCACACCTCGCAACATCGATTCCTTATCTTTAGAAGAAGGTTTCAAATCCCTCAACTGGTATCTAGCTTATTAAACCCCCCCGTCTGTCAGATAGAAGGGGTGGATAAGGGCAGCCTGGAAGCCAGCCCAGGTCTGTAATCACCTTCCCTAAAACAGGCTAAAAATACCATCCTAATATAGAATCACTGGTCTTTCTGCCACCACATTATATCCCATCCTCCCATGCGATCCTCACCTTCCATACCAGGCTTCCATCGCCAAACGCCAATCTTCTTGAAGCCCAGCTTCTCGTACAGTCCAGATCCTGCTGGAGTTGCTGACAACTCAATTGGGACACCTTCCTCTGCTGCCTTATTCATTCCCCATTTTACCAATTCCCTCGCAACACCGCGGCCTTGGTATCTTGGATCGACAGCGATGTCCATAATACCGTACATGGCGCAATCACCTGGGTCGGTGCCGAAGTAGCGTTTTGAAGATGGCAGGCGACAAGTGCGGGCCATGGTGGCGGCGTTAGAAGCTGATGTAAGAGGGTCTAGCATGTCTGCCATGTAGTCAACAGCTTCAAGGCCTCTGATATATGATTTGATTCCTATCATGTGTGTTAGGGCTTTGGATTCAAGACGGCAGGGGGATAATTGAAGGCATCGAAGGGGACTTGCTTTTTAGGAGAGGGTCTTTTGTCTCTGGCTCTTTTGCTTTCTCGTCGGCCTTCTCTTGATCTCGATACCAGATACACAATCCCATGAGCTCAGATTGTCCAGTCCAGCCCTCATCCCCCTCTTCAAGTTCAGCAACGATAGTTGTTCCGGTTGGGTCGTCCATCCCATGACGAACAATACTCTCTTTTGTTTTCAAATACTTTTTGGGATACTTCTTTCGACCAGGAAACATGTATGCATCTTGTTCATCGTCGATGTATGCAGCTGCCATGATGGCCCCCGCGGCGGGGATGTCATCTCTTGTCGCGATTCGTATGCGCATTGTTTTGCTTGGATTTAAAGAAAAGATCGGGATTCAAGCAGCTATACATATATAGCCCAGCTCAGACGGGATTTTAACGGCCCACCCGAGTATCTGACTCATTTTTGTTCCATATCCAAGTATACACAGGCCCATAGTGTCATGATGTATAGTTGCCCTCTTCTCTCATTGGACAGGGCGCTCTTGGTTGCCTGATGGAGATTAGTTCTTCAACAGAGAGTTGGTAGTGGATCTCATTAGTCAATGCAAATCAGCCCAAGCTTTGACATTGGAGGTTCCCGGCCCACAGACTATTTTTACGTCTGTGACGAGACGGAAAGCTGCCCAAGGCGACTCGAGTACTTCGTAGTCTTGACTCCAGAGGCTATCACTATAGTTTATATTGGAATAACTTCAACAATTCAGTCTACAGCTACAACATCTCTATGAAATCCTTGTCTATGCCGTCCCACCACTGCCATCTTTGTATATACCATGGATTCCTCGTCGAGGGCAAAGTCAGCGGTCAAGACAACATCAGGATCGCACAGAAAGGTCAATCTGCCTCTTTCGATCTCTGATTTGATGCAAGTGATGATTTGAGTCTCTTGAATAATAGTCTCCAGCAAAGGCCCGCAACTCCCGAATGGGCGAAAGCGTGGTAATACCACATCCAAAAGGTAGTTCACAACTCTAAGATCAGGTGCACATGTAGATAATGCGCCAAAGATCCACAAGGGGCCATTACCGTATATGTCGTGCTTGATAGAATTTTCTGGATCGAGGGTCTCTATGACGGATAATGCATCAACAATAAGTGGATGCAAGGGTAGCAAGGGGTCCGGAAAATTGTCGTCGAGTAGATAGAGGTCAAGTACTTCTCGCGAGGATATGATCCTACCCATCAGATAATTGAGATAATTCAACACATTTTCATGTTGCAGAAAAGTCCAGTGGAGAATATGTGGTGAAAAGCCACCTCGGCAATCAATATTACTGTTCGACGGCATATGAGGAATGGTCGGCTCTGCAATCCTTGGTAGTGCTTCTCGCCATACGCGAAGCTGCACTTCATTTTGATAAAGACTATCCAGGATTTGAGACTTGTGCATCTCTGTCAAGTGGTGGCCCTGTACTTCTGAAGCGTAAGGAAATCCGAATACCTTTGAGTACCATAGTCGCCAGTATTGAAGTGCGCAATGATCTTCGATCCCTTGCTTTTCTGAACATATCTGAAGGACTAGGCGGTTACGCAGCGCGAACGCGTCCGTAAGAAGAGCTTGCAGATTCCCCGTTCCATCGAGAACTCGACTGGACAACTGTGAGGTCTTCCTATCAGTTTCGCTGAACTTTTCCCTCTCAAGTGGCCTGAAAGGTAGCTGTCGGGTAAATTTCGTGTGGCGCAGTATAGCCCAGCTTCGCAAGATCAATGGTCCCCATGGTAGACTGATGATGTTCTCGAACCCCAAGCACACGATAGTGTCAGCGCCATCCAAGTGGGTAAAGTAAGATCCAGCGCTCCCAAAGTCCCACTCGAAGAGTGAAAGAAGGAGAACAGCAGTCAGGTACAGACCAACGGCGTCGCTACCCTCCAAGCTAGCATTGCTGAGCGTCTTGACGGCCGTAGCGTACAAAGAAATTGCCTGCTGCTTGTAAAAGCTTATGGTGGTCATTTGAGGGTTACTTGATGGTGTTGAGTCTCCAGGTGGGAATCCTTGGTTCATGAGATGCAGCTGGTGGAGGTTGGCAGCGGCAAGGGACATAATTGCTGGTCTTAGAAAAGGATGTAACCACAGATCCCCAGTTACATCATCTACGAACGGCGCCAAGGACGTCGAAATATCAGTGACAAAATGTCGTAAGAGTAAAGAATCTCGCCCATCTGAACCCAAGGGGAATGATGACCGAAATTGCAGGTTTCCCGGCAACGCTGGTGATCCTATCGCAGCTTTTGGAACAAGAGCTCTCTTTGTCGTACGGTGAGAATCGATACCCTTTGCTGCTGACTCGTGCTCTTTCGCATCATTTGCCCATCTCAACTTCACACCATAGCCTTCACACTTGAAGCCCAGCCGGACGCAGTTGGCACATTCTGGTCTAGCCTCATCGCACTAGAATGCTTAGCCTGGCCCAAATAGACAATTGCATGATTATGGATACGATACCTTGCGGCGTCTGGTGCGGCACGTATAACAGCCGGTTCGGGTACGATGAATAGTGGTCTTTTTCGGTTTATCTGGAGGCATACCGTGCATTTTCAAAGTTGCGGGAAAGCGTTTTCGGAAGCTTTTCATGATCTGGACAATACGGAAAACCTCACAAGGTATTATCGATAGCTGTTAGACCTCTTGAGTCATGTCGAATATGCGGTACTTGCAGGAAGGGTATCACACATGGCACCCTCTGCAAAGTTCCTCTCAACTAATGTGAAAAAGCTTGTCCACCCCGCCCGCCTTTGCTGCCTATTCGATCTATTTCATAGCTGTATTACATAACACAAGGCCCACCACAAACCGAGGTGTAATCACTGGACCTATAACGGCCCGTAAAAGGAGCAGCAGAATTGGATATTTGTGAATATAGACATCTACCAGCGACAATAAAGCATTCCATCTTCTCGTTGAAATGGCCAGATCAATGGGGGGTACTCGGGAATTTCTACCCTTTTTCTAAGAGAAGTGAGGGAGGAATTGCAAGTGGATCTTGTTCGGGAGGAGCCTTCTTACAAACTGCGAAAAACTGAGAAGAGTAAAGTTATAAAAGCAAGATTTCAGCTATAAAAGGCTTTGCTGGTGGAACATTTCCCCAGACTGGATTCTCAACCCTCAGCGTCATATATATCCAATCGAATACGCTAGCCATCAAGTCCAGCGACAGACACTTGTTCATGGTACTTTGACGACCACTCTCCCGGTAATCTCCTGTCGTTTCAAAGCTCCAACTACATCGCTCACTTCTTCAAACTCAAGGACTTTAACCTCCGGGACTATCGTCCCATCAAGGGCATGCTGCAAGAGGTCTTTCATCTGTTCCTCTGTGCCAACGGCAACGCCAGTAACTGTAAGTGCTGCATATCGAGTCAGTAATCGGCTGCAGTCAGGAACCAGGATAATTACTTACATCTTGCAGAGCATATTGTTGCAGAGAGTGGGATGTTAAAGTCATTCCTCGGCAGGCCAATCGTGACGATGATGCCCATATTTCGTACTAGACTCGGTGCTTGGATGAAAGCTTCTTGAGAGCCAGTCACCACCAAGACAGCTGAGGCTCCCTCTCCTGTTATCTCTTTGACCCTCCCCTCGATATTCTCGGTTAGAAAGTCGATGAAGTGCTCAGCACCACTGTCCAAGCTCAGCTTCCGTCTAGGCTCTCCAGTATCAACAGCAATGACCCGCAGACCATTCAACCTGCTAGCAATTTGAACACCCAAATGTCCAAGCCCACCGCCAGATCCAGATATGACAACCCAATCACCCTTCTCAGCATATCCCTTCAGCTTCGACACAGCACCAGCCATTGTCAACCCAGCACAAAGCAAAGGCGCAGCAACTTCACCGGGAAGCTCATCCGGAATCTCAGTAACATATCTCGTATCAGCGATCATGTACTCCTGCAAAGTGCCGGGGACATGCTTTCCGGTGTTGAGCTGTTTTGGGCAGTTGTTGGGATAGCCGCTCTTGCAAATAGTGCAGGTTCCGCAGGCGCTGTAGAGCCATTTCACACCGACTCGCTTGTTGAGCAGGCCTGCGTCGACGCCTTTACCTAGTTTTACGACTGTTCCTACACCTTCATGACCGACTATGGGGTTATAGGGACCCCATCCTGATAACGCACGGATTTCTGAGCCGCTGGGTCGAGTTAGTTCATGGATCTCATGGCAATGGCTGCGCTTACCAAAGACCAGTAAAATCTAGCTTTACAAGAATCTCGTTCTCACCAGGATTACCAACCGGGATATCCGATCGAATTACAATTCGGCCGTCATTTCCAGGGCTCTCGATTAAGGCTGCCTTCTGGATTGATGGGACAGTAGAGCTCATGGTGAAAATGACGTTGAGATGGTAGGTCCCGCCGGGCTTGAGCGGGTTTAAGTGCCACTGTAAATGCTGATCACAGGGGGGCGGGGCCTGGAGATTTAGTGGGCTTAGCAGCCGAACTAAAGTGCCGTTCCGTGAAGCTTGCCGATACACCTGCCGAACCCGGATCAACATTTCTGCGCGGAATGGATACAGATCTGCAGATTGAAGAGTCAAGAAATACATCATGAACTTTTTGACGATAATCGTATTTGATGATGATTATATCTCTGATGTTTTACTTGATACCATTCCTTTCAAGTAGCCCGTTCCTTGTGACTGTACCTTGAGCCTTCTGGCTGTCCTCAAGTATGTCCAGCGATGGGCTTGGCCTGATACAACTCCTCCAAATACTTGACCTCCTCATCACTCAGCTTCTTCCCCCTAGCACCAATAGCCTGTTCAATCCTCTCAACACTGCTGAACCCAATAATTGGACTCGTGATACGCTGATTGATCCAAGCCAGCGCAACATGCGCCATAGGCCAATCATGCTTCTCGGCAATCTCAACAACCCTCCCGATAATCCTCTGATCTACCTCCGATAACTCCCCAGACCCTTCCTTCTCCTCCTTACTCCTCTCCGTAGCTCCAAACTGCGCAGGCGGTCGTGCAAGATGTCCCCTACAAAGCGGTGCCCACGGAATAATCCCAACGCCCGTGTCGTTGCAGAAACGGATCATCTCGCGTTCTTCCTCGCGGTACAGGAGGTTATAGTGATTCTGCATGCTGATGAATTTAGTCCAGCCGTTCTTCTCAGCGACGAATTGCATGCGTGCGAATTGTGTTGCCCACATGCTGCTTGCGCCGATGTAGCGCACTTTTCCGGACTGCACGAGATCGTGGAGTGCTTTCATGGTTTCTTCGAGGGGCGTGTCGTCGTCGAAGCGGTGGATCTGGAGAAGGTCTATGTAGTCGGTGTCGAGACGTGCGAGGGATGCGTTGACTTGGTTGAAGATTGCGGCGCGGGAGAGGCCATATTGATTTTGGTAGTCTTTTGAGATGGCGAATTCGTCTTTAAAGTTGATGTGACGAGCGCCTCAGATGCGTCAGTATAAGTGAGCGAGACTGAGTGAGATGGTGCTTACCTGGCTCTTCACCTACACCCCAGCGGCATTTACTAAGGATGACAACCTTGTGGCGGGGAATGTTGAACTTCTTTAACGCTTTGCCAACGATCTCCTCCGACGCGCCATTGCTGTAAGTATTCGCGGTATCCCAAGTGTTCAAACCGCGATCATAAGCAGCTTTGAGAAGTCCCAAGGCCTAGAAAGCTATCAGCGACATGTCTCTGCTGCAAATTGGTGCCATACCTCATCCTCTCCAATGACCCAAGGAAGCACTCTCTTATCGCCAAAGCTCATGCATCCAAACACAGGGACCGAAATGCGCAGACCTGATTTACCCAGGTTGCGATACTCGCATTTCGAAGCCTCGACGGATTGTTTGAGATGAGGGGGGAGTTCTTTTGCAGACATTTTGACGTGAAGAGTGAGAGAGAAAGGTTGGGATTAAGAGGGAAATAAGGGAATATTAATGATCTGAGATGAAGTGAGATAGGGCGTGATAGGCGGATAAATAGAGAGCAATGTCATCATTATGTTGCGTGCTTTGGTACCCCGCTGCTGATGTTCGTTGATGCAGTGTTTTGATGAATTCAATTCGTCGTGATTGCAGATGTGCTTATCTTGTGCATGAAGCTATTCCCAGTCGGTACGCATCGCTTAGGCTATTCTCCCATTACAACACTGGTCGAAGTAATAATCATCTCTGACGTATGCCTCACAATTAACGTTGGCCGACATCAATTAATTATTCAGTGGATATTGTGCACAGAACTTCTTTACCACATGGAAACGCCAGCTCTGCAACGAATTAGACGCAAAGGATGACCGTCTCACCCCAAGATTGGTCCTCTCGCTTCAGCTAAGCCAATTATGCTTCCTATAGCTCCTTAGCTACTTGGCCACCGGCGTGTCGACCCTCAAACCGCTTAGCTCACACTTGTAGCGTCTACCAAACCCGTCCTGCCAGTCAAATCTTGCGGGGATTGATCACCATTCTGTGGGGAAGGCCGTCGGCAAATGCCATCGGATCCCGGGGGCAGGGAGCAGCTGACGTCTTGCTTTTCAATCCGAGGACTGCGAGTTGACAACTTTGATCCAACATTATCACGACCTTTGGCCCGATATCTTATCACCAGACCCTGTTTGTTACCTCGGTATTTTACTATTATTGGGAAACGCGAGGGAAAATGCAGTCCACGAAAACTATGAGGAAGCGAGTCTCGAGAGCTTGTAATTTATGTCGGGCGAGAAAAGTGCGGTGCATCATTGAGAATCCGGCTGGTCCTTGTGTCAATTGCAGACACAACGACAAGGTCTGCACATTCAAGCGCCGCCATGGAATAATGTACGTTACATCCTCACTCCAACACTTCCTTACTAACTGGATCAACAGATCAACGACTCCTTCACTACGACCAAACGAACCCCCGACGCCCCGATCCATCGAAGAAGCAACAACCACGACATCCGAACCCCGAAACATCCTCCCCGCAACACAGAAGCCATCGCCACCATCAGCCCCTACAACAATCGCGCAAACATCACAAGAAGCATCGAATTTCGCGCAAAATGCCGCTGGATCGCCAACGCATCCCGATTACGCATTTCTCCAAGTCCCTGATACAAAAGACCTGCTCCCGCAAGATTTAGCATTCCTCGTTAGTCAAGGATGTTTTGTGGTGCCGCAGCGCGCGGCGCTGGATGATTTTCTGCGACAGTATTTTCTGCATGTTCATCCGATGCTTCCGATACTGAATGAGAAGGATTTTTGGCTTTCGTATAATTCGGTGGATAATGATGTGGAGTATGAGATGCCGATGCTGGTGCTGCAGGGAATATTGTTCATTTCTTCTGGGGTAAGAGGCTCAATTGAGAAGACGGAGATAATGCTTACGGGTATAGTTTGTTTCGTCCGAAACGATTAAAATGCTGGGCTTTGCGGACGTACATCAAGCCAAACTCGCATTCTATCGTCGATCAAAGGTACTTCCCTCGCCTTGAGTATACAACATCTCTAATCAGAGCAGCTTCTCTATGACTTCAGCGTCGAAAAGTCTTGCATCGCCATAGCCCAAGCCTCCCTCCTCCTCGCCCACACACACCTCATCCCCCGCTGCATAGCAGGCAACAAGCCCCTCGGCTCAATCTGGCTCGGCATCGCCATATCCTACGCCCGCGTCGCCAAAGCCCACTGCTACTCCTCCCTCCGCCCCAACAAGGACACCGAAGTCGCCAAGGTCCAAAAACTGCGCAACACCCTCAAGCGCCTCTGGTGGTGCTGCATCATCTGCGACCGCCTCCTCCCCCTAACATCCCGCCAGAGCATAAAAATCACACCCTCAAACTTCAGCTTCTCATGCTCAAAGTTGGGAAGTGCGGATTTGTGCGATGAGCTGTATAATTCTGATGTGTACGACTCTACGACCAAGACGCTGCATGCTGAGTTGCTTTCGAGACTGGTGGATCTTTGTGTGGTGCTGACTGATGTTTTGACGGTTACGTCGGTGCTTTATAATAATCCGTCGTGGATGTTGTCGGGGAGGATGGAGGTTGGCAAGGATGCGAGTTTGTGTCAGATGGAGCTTGGTCGGTGGTATAGCTCATGGAGTGAGACCAAGACGACGTTGGATGAGAGGATGGCTGAGGAGATTTCTCCGGCGTCGTCGATTATCTTGTTCAAGAATCTCATTGAGATGTACTACCAGTGAGTTTGTCATGCGAAGATGAGGACTACAAAAGCTAACTTGAACAGCTCAGCGAGACTCTCAGTCTGCCATTACAACATTCTTCGATCAAGTTTATTACCGCCCTCTCAATCCGATACGCAACTCCGACGACAAAGTGAGGATCTTCAAGGCTCAGCATCACGCGTCACAGAATGTCTTCTCGAATTCGACCGCCTAGGGCTATCACGCTGGCTCCCAATGACTGCGTAAGTCATTCTTCAAATAACCTCAACTCATCACTAACAGTTTGCAGCATCGGATGCACAGCATTCCCGCTAGCACTTCAAATGATCGATGTCGAACTTCTCCGTCCCAAGAAACCTGCGTCACCAGAAGAAGGCGTCAAACTCACCCAAAAGGAACAACACGTCGAGAATATTCTCAAGCAAATGAAGAGCTACAAAAAGAAATATTACATCACAGACTGGGTCATGCGGGCTATTCGACATGTCGTTGAGCTTGCCAGACAACGATCACCGGCACCCATGGCTTCTGAGGATGAATCTTCACCAAGTAGCTGTCTCGATATGCTCAAAACACGACCGAGTTACTACTTACGACTCGTCATGACGCTTGATATGAGTATCAGCAACGGCAGACTCCCAGATGAATGCGACTTTCCTCCATCGTTACGAAAAGCAGGTCGGGGCCTGGGCTCCAGATCTCAAGCAACCTCCATGCCAACCGTCGACGAGCAATCAATGAAGCGTTTCTCCGCCATGAACAAACATCTCATCCCAGACAATCTAACAGACTTTATGGATCAAAACAACATCATGACTTCAAGCCTGCAAACTCAAGATCTACGAAACATCGACCAAGAAGCGTTCTTCAACAATAAACAGCCCTTCCCCGCTGATTTAACAGCAGCGTTATGCGAAATTACGAATATTCCACCGCTGGATTTTAGCGATATGTCTTTGATGGATTCAACACATTTTAACGACTTTGGCGGCGTTCCTTTTTGGCCTTATGATTTATTGGGGTCTCCGCCTGATCAGGCTGTTGGACGAGTTGATGAGGTTGGGATGAATGATATGTTTAACGGATTGATGGGGGATATGAATGATAAGAATTATGAAGGGAATGGTAAGGAGGGTGGAGCGAATGATATGGTTGTGGATTCTTTTTGAGCGAGACATGTATTCATATTGGGACGGACTATAAAAGCACTTGTTTTCTTTCAGCTGGCAGAATTGTCTTCGTGATTGTTCAGAATTGAATTGACTATCTGCAACTACCACTTCACCAACTCTTGAACCTTAACAGGCATACCACTCTTCATACTATGATTCGCCCCAACACCCACCAAAACCGCATTCCCTCCATCCCGAATATTAGCAGCCCTCTTGAAATTATCAACCTCACCCCCCAAAAGAACATCCTTCAACAGCACAGGGTCACCTCCTCCATGACCGCCCTCCTGCTTCACAACATCCACAACATACGGCTTATCAAACAGGGGATAAACAACAATCTTGGTCTGCTCGACACCACCCTGGATGTACTTCTCGTCCTCTCCCGAAGCGTCCTTCGTTACGGGATCGCCGAGGGGGTTGTACCCGCTCTCAACGACGTTGACTTCGATACGGCCCTTGCTGCCGTTGAAGACACAGCGATATCCTTCCCATGGGGCGTAGGCGTATGTGTTGTATGTCATGACGGCGCGGTTCTTGTACTTGATGATCATGGAGAGGTTATCCTCGATGGTGATACCCTCTGCAAAACAGTTCCTGTCTCGGATATAACCATCTTCATGCTCAGCGTCAAGATACAACTTCTTCATGCGTTCATTCTCATCAAGTTGGAACGCAAAAGGGTCGTTCTTCGCATTCTCATTGTTCTGATACCGTTCACCGAGATTCTTTTCCCCACGCCTCTCAGCGTTTTCTTTGCCGTAGAAACGAAGATCACCAAGGCAGTAAACAAGCTCAGGCTCAGTGTTGAGCCAGAAATGCACAAGGTCGAAATGGTGGATTGACTTGTGCATCTGAATGCCACCACTAGTTTCTTTATGTCGATGCCAACGTCGCATAAAATCTGCGCCGTGTGCACAGTCGAGAATCCAGTCCATGTGTACTGTTGAAATCTCGCCAATGACGCCAGAGTCGATGAGTTCTCGAACTTTAGTATGATGCGGCGCATACCGATAGTTGAAAAGAACACGGACTTGTTTCCCCGTCTTCTTCTCTGCGTCAATCATAGCTTGGAGTTTATGCTCATCGATAGTCATTGGTTTTTCCGTGATGGCATCGCAGCCTAGCTCCATTGCTCTAATGCAATAATGGTGATGGAAAAGATCAATTGTCGTGACGATGACAACATCGGCTTTCTGCTCTTTGACCATCTTGTCAAACTCTGTGTCCTTGTACGTTTGCACTTTTTCACCGCCGAGCTCGACGATGTGCTCGTTTGCTACGTCCATGCGAGTCTGGTTCGTATCGCAGATTCCAACAAGCTTGGCGACGTCTTTGAAGTCCTGGATGATAGCTTGGTAGTACATAGCCGAGCGAACGCCCATGCCAACAATGACATAGCGCTTAACCTGAGGAGTAGCCATGATGAAATAACAAAGTCCAAAATTCTGTGTATGAGTGACGATGAATGATGAACCCCTCATGGACACGAGGATGTATAAATACCCTGAAGAGGTAATCCGACGTCGGATTACTCAGAGTGAGTACCCCGCGTTGATTCGGGGGAGTATTTGCCGAACGAGGTACAACTGTCAGCATATGAGAGGTGGAGAGGGTGCTTGGCTGAAGTGCAGATCGGGCCTGATTTGGCCAGTTACATTGGAATATCAAGATTCGTGGCATTCGTCGTTTCAACTCGTTGGATGATTTGGGGATCGTTCAGAATTGTTTCCACTATAATTATGGTCGGTCGCTATTTTTGAGACCGAACTGGTTCAAAAACCTCACGATAGTAAGATCAACGATGGGTCTGAATGTCGTTCGCGGGGAGAAGACCGATTTGCATGATGCGGAGGTTGGATCTACGGATGGTATCGATGGTTTTTTGGAGATACCTAGGCTATGAAAACAGTACCGCAAACAGCCTCCAGGAAAATCTGGAGCTCTTCCAATTGATTTAGAATACAAATACAAATTCATCGTTGACCAAATCCGTCATATCGTCAAACGCATGATCTCCAACCGTCGCATCCTTCGCATTTTCGATATGCTGTCCTTCCGTCGCTTTAGATCTTCGAAGACGATCTGCTTCTTCAGGTGAGTATAAGCTGTAGTCCACAATCACTGCATCTTTTCCAGCCATGACGCGACGGCGGCTATGATCGCGATTGAGGTAGGTCAGGTACATAGTGGTGACTACGACGAGTCCAACAATTGCGATGTATAGGAGCAGATTCCAGTACAATCCTCGATGATACTCGGGAGCCTCGGATGGTTTGTAGAGAAGAGGGCCAATGATGTTTCCCAGGGATTGGCCGATGAAGAGGACAGATGAGTTACATTTGCCTTTGGTGTCACCAGCAGTGTTGGAGGACGACCATGAGTAGATGAGAGGAACTGTATAGCGTCAGTACGCGAGACATATAGTAGTAGGAAGAGACGTACTTATTCCTGGGAAGACAGAGATCATGTAGTATCCGCCAAGCAAAGTATTCCTGCCATCAGGCGTATGCGGCGTTGAGAGCATGATCATGCAGCCAACGATTGGGAAGAGAGCCAAAAAGGCAATAACTGGGCCCTTCTTATGGTACTTAGTCGCGACATAAGAGCCCCCAACTGTAGAGATGAACTGAACAACACCAAACGGAGCGTTGAAGAGGATGGCTTGGAACGAATCGAAGCCAAAGGACTTGATGAGAAGAGGGCCAAAAGAGCCGACGCCACCAGAGGGTACTCTGGAGAATATCTTGTTAGCTCCTATTTCACGCTAAGACTATGTTTCACTTACGAGATACTGAAAATGAGAGAGAACCAGAGCCAAGTCTTCAGGTCTCGCATGGTCTCCCAGAAATGGTCCCATCGCCATTGCCTCGACATGACGCCAGTCTGATTCATTCTCAGGCGTTCAATCGCGATAAGTTTATCGTGCTTATCGAGAAATTTGGCCTCTGCGGGAGAGTCGGGCATGTATGAGAACAGAACGGTGGAGAAGCAGACGGTGATGATTCCAAAGGCAACAAAGATGGTCTTATCATATCAGTAAACCGTCATGCAACAGAAAGGGCTGCTCTTGAACTTACCTGGTATGGTTTTAGTCCAAACGGTAACTGCGCAAGCCACCAAGTGGCCAAACTCCCAAACTAAACCCGTCAGTTCAATCCAATCCCATCATGTAGCTCTCAACTTACAACACCAGTAAATCCATTCATAGCATACCAATACGACATTCTAAGCGGCTGCTCCCTCCTCCTCCAAAACATCTGCGTAATAGCCACGAAACTTGGTGCAATACTAGCCTCAAAAGCACCCAGCCAGAAACGTGCGAAAAGCAAACTGCGGAAGGTATGCGCTGCCGCCATGAATGTGAGGGTAAGGCCCCAGAGGGTGACCATGCAGCTTGTGAGTTTTCCGATGGGCAGTTTGACGAGAAGCCATGCTAGCGGGAATTGCGCGATGAGTTGGGCGACGTAGACTATTGAGCTTAGCCATGAGAATTGGTTGCCTTTGAGGTTCGTGTCTTCGATGAGACCGAAGATGGATGCATATGCGATAGTTGCTTTGTCAAGACCTGCAGGGATCAATATTATTTCTCAATCGGTGATGTGAGATTTTACCTTGGAGGAAATAAACTGCTAGCATGAGAGGCAGAACAACCATATCAATCCGCCTCAACACGCGCGCATCATCTTCAGGCGTAACTTTAATCCTCCTCTCGGGCGAAACACCAAGTCTCCTCATCAAATCCGCCGCAGCACCGCTTGCTCCATCAGGATGGCTTCTCCCACGCGCTTCTTCTCCGTCTACGAGATCCATGAGAGGGTGCTGGTCGTGAGATGACGCGCCCGGGTCGGGCGATGTGGAGCCCAGGCCTCGCGCTGACATTTTGATGGAGCCAGGTTCAATTGAGGTAATTGAGTGAGAGAGGGATGGGTTTGAGAGAGAGGATAGGTTTATGTTGAGATTGAGTTCTTGGGGTGCAAGGGATGGTTAAGGGATGATGACTGCTGATCTTGGCCAATCATGGATGATTGAGCTGGGGATTTGACACGGGTTAGATAAGCAGACTGAAGCGCGATAAGATCTAGGGTAGCTGAACTTGAGAAGTTCATGATTGTAGGGATTGAAGCAACGCAGCATAAATGTCGTGTGAAGTCAATTGAAATTAATAAAAATTGAGCTCACGGCTTCCTGTAATAATTATAATTGAATCCGTTGGGTGGAGTCTATGATATGTCGTGGCGCACTTTGATCTCAAGAGCTTGGCCATTCTCTTCACTATGCTTACCGCTCACAGCTTACCGTTGAGTTCGGACCAGTTCATCCACGCGACACAACATTGCCATATTATTAGGAGCCATCTGCAACAAACTTGATATTCTCGATGCTGTGAGACACGAATCTCGTGAATGATGCACACAACGATATTATAGCATCATAGCAACGATTACCTGCATCGACATACGTGGATCACGATACTACGTCATCCGCCACCCCCACCTACAAGTTTCATAAAACAAACCAGGTTTCCTAGCTCATCAACCCATCAAGCCACATCTTCAATAAACCCCATCTTTTCCCAAAATCACTTTTTTATACTTCCCCTTATGAACGAAGCACTAGGATCAATCTTCTCCGGCGCAATACCAAGCCAATTCATGGGCGGCCAAAACAAGCCCGCCGACGGCGCGGGCCCCTCCGAGAGCAAATCCAACACCAAAGAGCGCATCGCCAAAGAAATCCACTCCCGCGTCGAAGAAGCAAAAGGCCTACAAGAAAAATCCCTCGAACTGCACGAAAAAGCCGATAAGGAAGAAGATCCCGAAGAAGCGGAGAACATACGGCATGAAGCACGAGAAATCGATAAAAAGGCTGCCAAGCTCATGAAGATCGCGGAGAGGCTGGAGAAAGGATGGATACAGGGCGGTGCTATGGGAACGGGGATAGGTGCGGGTGTAGCTAGTGGGCTGGGGCTCGGGGTAGGGGCGCTGTTGACGGGAGTTGTGGCGATTCCGACGGCGGGTTTGGGATTGCTTATTGGGGCGGGGACGGGGCTCGCGCATGGGTCTTGGGTGAAGTTTACGGATGCGTTTACGAAGGATGAGGCTGATGAGATTGTTAATGAGGCGACGGAGGAGGCGGAGAAGATTGCGAAGGGTTGAGGGAGATGTCTGAGATGAGCATGAACTGGGTTATGGAGGATCATCGTAAAGGAGAGGAAGGGTTTTACGACGCGTTAGGTTATTCAGATTGCATTTGGGTTTGCATATGGTTACAAGGTTACTGCTAGCCATCAATTTCATTCTTTCGTTGGTCTATCATTATGTCTCTCTTTCATGCCAGTCACTCATAGTAGCAGTATCGGCATCAGCCCTATCAGTGTTACCAAACAGCATGTCAAATGTCACATAAACCTATGCAACAATGCAAAGTCCCGCCTCTAAAGCATCTCCTGCGTGCTGATCATCTTCTGCTCTCCCCTCGGACAAATCCCGTTCCAGTCCAGACAGTCGGGCCCATGAATCCGCATCAGCGGAATCACCACCGCCAAGGCCCTTTATACAATTCCATCCTAGCGCAAGCACCCAAAACTCACATGAGTGGACACCTAAAAAAACCCAACCCATCATCAGCCCATTCCCCTGTGGGGGCTTTAACCCACTGACCAATCTCTGACACGATCAGATAAGATCTCAACGGTCTGATAATCAGCACCCTAGCATTTTTCCATCTCGCCAACCGCGGAGACCCCTCAAAATGGTTAAAGGGAAAGTCAAATACCGTATTTACGTACTTAGCTGCTTGGCACCAGTAATGGGATTTGTCAGGCATGCTTAAAAGCAAGGTTAAACGAAGAAGGGGTCCACGCCAAGACTAGCTATCAATCAGCTCTCTTTACTGTTAGGAGAAAGGATCATCGTGATGCGTGAGTGAATTAGGAAATAAGTGCCGTATGACTGAGGGGATTGTTTGACACATAAGATGCGGCCTTCCCAGAATTTTGAGGGAGATTAACCTGGCAATCTTTATCACTGACTCTGATTGCCGTAAGTCAGTAATGATGGCAGATAATTCGGAGCGAAAGAGTCAAGAGGTGGTGGAGGAGGAGATCTCAAGGCCTGGTTCCACGAATGAGGCTTTTAGGAAGCTATGGACGAAACGAACCCTTGGTTTTGCCATCGGATGGTAAGTTTATTGTGGCTTGATTGGAGTCTGGTGAAGCTAATGTTGGGCAGTATTCTTGTCATGTTCTTCTTCATGAACCTGACCGTCTATACAGGCAATGTCTACGAGCCGTATGCGACGAGTCACTTCAAGGCACATTCTCTTCTAGCGACTGGTGCCATTGTCAATGGTCTCGTACGCATCGTGTCGTACCCACTGCTCGCTAAGCTCGCCAATGTAGGATTCCAACAAAAATGGTGATTTGGACCATCGCTAATCAAGTCTGCAGTATTTTGGACGTCCCCAGAGCTTTGCTGGTGCTGCTATCTGCATGGCCATCGGCAACGCCATGTACGCAGGCTGTTCCAACGTCGACACCTTCTTAGTACGCACTCCTCACCCCATTTACCTTATCAATCTAACAAAAGTCAGGCAGGTGGAATCTTTGACGTCTTCGGCGATACATGGTGGAACATCATCCAGCAGATCTTCGTCGCCGACATAACAACCCTCGTCAACCGTGGTATAATCTTCACCCTTCCCGAATCCCTCTCCGCGATCCCCACCCTCTACGGCGGAACTTATCTCGGCGAACACATGCTCCTGCACTCAAGCTGGAGATGGGGTTATGGTATGTGGGCTATCATTCTACCCGTCACTGCTATTCCGACGATTGGTATCATGATCTGGATGAATCGCCGGGCTAAGCGCATTGGTCTGATCACGGAGAAGATCTCGTTCATGCATGGTGCTGAGCCTGGTGTTGTTGGGAAGGTTAAGCATGTTGCTACGCAGCTTGATCTTATTGGCGCTCTTCTCCTCATTGGTGGTTTGGCTATGACGCTGTTGCCGATGACGATTGCGGGAAGGAATAATACCGATCGATGGAGTAGGCCTTCGTCTATCGTTCTCATCATCGTTGGTGTTTTGACCTTCATCGCTTTCCTGGTTTGGGACGGAAAGTTCGCGTCGAACCCGATTATTCCTTACCGAACGATCCGCGAGCGCAACGTCATTGTCGCATGCGCATCATGTATCGTCATCGCCATGGCTGATAGTATCTACCGACCTTTCCTTTCGAGCTTCCTCCAAGTTGCGGGTCATTACTCTCCTGGAGCTGCAACACGTGTGGATAACGCCCAGCGCGTCGCATACAACATCGGTGCACTCGTCGCTGGTCTCTCACTGAAGTTCGCCAAGAACACAAAGCCATTTATCATGCTTGGAGTTGTCTTGATCATCCTCGCCTGTGGTCTTCCAATCTACCTTACCAACATTTCCGGCACCCACATCGCCAGCGAAGCTGCATTCATCACCTCCAAGTCCCTTCTTGGAGTTGGCCGTGGTTTCACCCAGGTCCCACTTCAAGTTTCACTCCAGGCCGTCCTTGAAAACGAGCAAGTCGGCATTGCAACAGCCGTCTTCCTCTCATCGCTCGGCTTTGGCTCCAACCTTGGAGTAACCATCAGCGGCGCCATCTGGAACTCTGTCCTCCCCCGAAAGCTCAAAGCGTACTTCGGAGAGGAGGAAGGCGGCAAGATCTTTGGTTCTATCGTGGTTGCGCGTGCATACGAAGCTGGAACTACTGATAGAAATGCCGTTGATGAATGCTACCGCCAGACTCAGCAGACCCTGGCCATTGGATCAGTCTGTGTATCAGGACTTCTCCTGGTGATGGTTTATCTTGTTCGCAATGTTAAGCTTGGAGCTGAGGATGAGAAGAGAGCGGCACAGGCTGACAAGGAGCTTGCTTGGGCTATCAAGCATAAGGAGGCTCAAGAGGATGCCCCCGTTGAACTCGAGAGTGGAAGGCGTTAAAGTAACCCACCACTAAGTTTGGCGTCTGATTGGGCGACTAGAACCTAGCATGAACTCATGAGTGCAAAAGTGATTAGAAGAAGTCCACATTGGACTACTGTAGTATATATAAGGCTTATCGGTTAAAAGAAGGGAAATATCGTATTTATCTGTATATGACACAATTTCTATCCCTGTGCGTGCTCATCCAACATACTAAGTTTCATACCGAATAACCAACAAAAACGCCAAGATGCAATCCCCATACCCATGTATTCCTACTGCTTCCCAGCCGAGATCATCGAATCATGACTCAAGATCCCCACAAGCGTGTCCCTCTTAATACACTTCTCAAATGAAAAGCTACTCGCCAGATCCTCCAACTCCTCCTTGCTCTTATCCCTAAACAACTCCGCCAACTCCCATCCCACATACTCACTCATCAAACACTCTCTAATAACCCGCTCAAACTGTCGTTCGAAAGTCCAGATCTTGGGATATCTCGTATCTCTGTACTTCTCCAGCACTTCTTCCTTCAAGCCTTGGATGAATGGTTCGTAGAGGTGCTTGACGCCGTCTTTGTTGACGACGCCCCAGAAATCAAGACCGAGACGCTGTTTCTTGGCGATGAAGGGCGCGATGAGGCGCATATAGGGGGACTCGGGATCGACGTATACCATGCCTTGGTAGCCGACATCTTTATACAACCAGATAGACCAGTTGACATCTGTTTCTCTGTAAATAGCCAACTGCTCTTGTAGCAAATTAAAGCGCTTGGCGTTGGTCTTGATGGCGTCGTCACCCTCTTTATGCTCATTCTGATAAACAGGACCAAACTCTCCATTCCAAATAGGCACGTTCTTCTCCCTCATGAACTGCACCTTGCGCTCAAAGCTCTTCCTCAGCTTAGTGTTTTGTTCGTCTGTACCTTCGTACTGCTCTCCAAGAGGAAACCCGTAGAAGCTGTAATCGTGACAGGCGTACACAGCGTTGGGAAGAGGGGTTTGGGGAAAGGCGCGGAAGTCCATTGCGTAGGTGTTTCCGTCGATGAAGATCATGTGATCGGGATCGATGGCGCGGACTTCTTTCTCGGTGCGTTCGTACCATTTTACGAGCTTGGCGCCGTATTGGCCTGATGAGGTCTTGGTTTCGTCGGCGGGTTCGTTGAGGAGGTTGTAGCCTGCGATGACGGGGTTTCCCTTGTAGTGAGCTGCAAGAGCCTTCCATAGCTGAATAGCTCTGTCTTGATGGTCTTTGAAGTCCCAGAACGCCGCGCGTGAAAGCCCAGAATCGCTATGCCAATCTTGGTTCTGACCACCAGGAACGGCATGTAGATCAAGGACAGCGTAAAGGTTATGTCTTCCGCAAATATCCACACAGCGATCTAACCAATCGAAACCAGATTTCTTGAGATAATCTGGATCCATGTCATCGATAAAATGACGATAATTGAACGGGATGCGGATACAGTTTAGACCCAACGACGCAAAGTAAGCGGCATCAGAGTCTGTGAAGAAGTGGTATAAAAGTCTGTCAAAGAAGAAGTTTGCCTTTTCTTCACCGATGACTTCAGCCATTTGTTGTCTGTGTTGGTGTTCGTGGCCTGCGTAGCCGGTGATGAAGTTCTCCATATTGAGCATGCCACCGATGGCAGCGCCCTTGAGGATGACGGTGTTGCCGGAGGGGTCGACGATGCGACTACCCTCGGTATGAAGCATTTTACATGTTGATGGTTTTTGGGGGACGGCTTTGGGGACGGCTTCGTAGGAGCCGGAGTTGTCTGCTGTTGCGACCATGGTAGAGAGTGTGAGATGTTGGTTGAAGAAAGAGGAAATCAGACAATGAAGAGTGAATAGGCGACGAAGTCGCTAATGCGAGTGATGCTCTGTGAGGTCTGCTTGTTTCTGAAAGTCATTACAGCCTTCACCTAAATAGTCCGTACACCCAAAGTGGGGTGTTTTCTTACGAGCGACACTCCCCGATGGGATCCGCCACGACACCACCAAGAACCATTCCCCCGGAATCCCCATAATTCACCAAGACCATTATTCGTAAAAACACGGGGAAGTACGCTTTAACAAATTTATTAGTGTACATCACAAGTTAAACGCTCAGCCCATGTAAAACCTCCTCCAAGAAATTCCGATGGTTCGACAATCCCGGGACATCATCTTCCCACGCCCTCAAAACCTGCATAATCCTCTCACACGCATCCCTCCACCCCGCGGGCATTCCCGATCCCAAGAGCCGCGCTGCAAGCAACACCGTCGCCGATCGGACTAAAGCTCGAATCATGAGCCACGTCCCGTGATGACGATGTAAAAAGCCCGCTTCGTTGATCTCAACATTAAGAACGTGATACTCTAAGCCCTTTTCTACAAACTGTCGCCCGGGAATGGGTGTAGTTACGCCGCGCTCTAAGGCAGCGAGATGCGCCATTACGAAAGGCCAGTAGAGACGTTCGAAGAAGTTTACCAAGTGCCCGCGGAGGACGAAACAGCATACGTTGTCTTCGAGGGGGGTCGAGGCGATGGAGAGTTCGGGGGGGAGACTTTCGGCCCATTCGTTGGCTTGGGTTTCGTAGGCGGGGATGAGGAGGGAGAGTTGTTTGAGGAAGTCGAGGTTTGATGATGATGCGCGATGAAGTTCGAGGATGTCGTTGCATGTTCGGCTTGAGAGACGTCGGAGGGATATTTCGGAGAGGTAGAATAGCCAGGCTGTGTGTTGGCGACTTGATGCTGTGGTCTTGGTGGACTCCAAGGGGTGAGGAGGGGTTGGGAAGAATGGTGGATATAGCACGCTTGAAGAATATGGCATGCTAAAGTCTGGGAGTGATAGCTCTCCTCGTAATTCTCTCTCAGACTTCCAAGCAGACCAATATACAGCTTCTTGCTGGGTCTCACCCAATTCTGGTCTCGCTAGATCTGACCCATCCATTGCACTAAGAGACTGCGCTCTCTGCAGGAACGGCAACGTCTGACATGTCGCTAAAGCCTGCGAGAAATACCGCCAAGCCTCGAATGGTCTGAACGTGCTCATCAAAAACACACCCGAAAGAAAGAAACACTGCGCCCCAATAATATCCGATCTCGCCATCAACGTCCCAATCCTCTTCTGCGCCGCCTGAAACAGCGCCTGAGCCTCCAAATACGGCGTCGAATCAGCCCTCAGATGAAAACTCGCATCAAGCGGCGTCGCAATCTTTCCCAGCGCACAGATAATCAAGGTCAAGCATGACCCAGGCGACCAATCGATCCCATCGATGACCACGTTGAGAACAACTTTTCTAGCAGCTGCTTCTTCGAGAATTGGGTTTTTGCAGTGCACGTGATCGAAGAAGTTGTCGAGAAGTGCTTTTACGCCTTGTGTGTCGAGATCTGCAATGTCGGCTAGCGATGTGCAGCCGGGGGAATAAGATGGGGATGGTTGTGGTGGATCGGGGTGGAGAGTTGTGTGGGATGACATGTCGCGTGAGAGTACGGACCAGAGGAGCAGGCTTTCCATCTTCTCGGGGAGAATGCTTCGCAGGGGGATGTCGCCAAGACTCTCTGGGGATAACTGCGTAGGGGACTCCTCGGGTAACAGTTCATGTCCAACATCTTGATTGGTGGTGTCAGGCTTTGGCTCGCGAATCAACTTCTCCAATTCATCCAAACGTTCCAAGATCTTGAGACTCGCAGGGTCAAATGCCGAGAGATCAACCGGGGATTGAATGCACGTCGCCCCAACACTGACGCAGTATGAACAAGCAGGCTTTTGGTTATCGCACTTTGTCTTCCTAGCCCGACACACTTGACATGCCGTGTTGGCTCGTTTGCGGGGATAAAACGCTGTACCCCTTGGCGCTGGTCTCTTCCCCGGCCGACGATCCGCTTCAGCTGACATTTCTGATGTTTGCGGGGACATGATGAAGGGTGCAGAAACGTGGAGGAGGAGAAACGAATGTGGATGTCCACGTCGGGGAATATCGCCCCTTATACCTCTTGACTCGTGACGCCGTAAAGTGGGCTCTCATCGGGGAATGTCGCTCGTATCAGCCAAACTGGGGTAAGCTCAGCTTTTCACCATCCCCAGATTTTCGGTCTCCCCACAAACCCCAGACTGGTCTAGACCGTGTTAGCTAAAGCCAATTCTTTTTTGCGCATGATTTTTGTGCTTCTTTTCTTGTCATGCCATGTCACACTTGACAACCAGTATGAGTATGGCCTGTCTTTAACCGGAAACTATTGATGATACTACGCTCATGACTTGGTTATGCAGCTGTATATAAGACTCGGCAGTTGACCCCATCTTTATCACCCAGCATCCATCATCAGTTTCCACTTTATCTTATCAAGAGTCTACTGTTTCAATCATGGAGACGTCGAATACAACCGGCAAAGCAGATCTTGAACTCCAGGCCAAGGTCTCTGGCACTGAGTTCATTGATGCCAAGAGCCATGCTGTCGAGGCAGACCGTCAGGCTGAGCATCAGTTGACGCTCAAGCAATGCTTTAAGCAACATCCGGCTATTGTTTGGTGGTGCTTTTACTGGTCAATCGCAGCTGTAGGCTGGTAAGACGAATACCTGCATTGTCATCAAGATCCCGATAGCTAATCACTCTGTTATAGGGGCTTCGATGCTCAGATCAACGGTGCCATGATCTCCGTCGCCGCCTTCCGACGTGACTTTGGGTACGCCCGATATCCGACCTCCCTTCTCACCACCACTAACAATTCTCAGATACGTCGAAAACGGCGAAGCTATCCTCCCCGCCGACTGGCAAACCGCCTTCAACTGCATCAGCTCCGTCGGCGGCTTCTTCGGCGGCTTCATGTGTTCCTGGATCTGCGATTACGTCGGCCGAAAGAACTCTCTCGTCATGGCACTACTCCTCGCGACAGGCGGTACGATCGGAGAATGCATGTCCAACACCAACGTCGCATTCCTCATGTCCAAACTCATCATTGGTCTTGGATTGGGTTTCTTTTTGACGCTTGCCCCTTTGGCGACGTCGGAGATTTCGCCTGTGGTGTTTCGTGGTATTGCTACTGCGGGCGTTAACCTTGGAATCGCGATTGGTCAGTTGGTTTCAAATGGTGTTATCAAGGCTTTTGGTGAGAGGACGGATCATTGGGCTTGGAGGGGTGCGCTGGCTACGCAGGGTATCTTTATTGTTATCCTTGCTGCTGGTCTGCCCTTCGCTCCCGAGACTCCATGGTATCTTGTTCGCAAGGGTAAGATTGAGGAGGCGAAGAAGTCACTCATCCAGCTCTACGGATCTGGTGTTGACATTGACGCCAAGCTGGCTACGATCAAGGAGACCATCGCCGAGGAACAAGCTGCCTCGGCCGAAGAAGCTTCTTGGATCCAGTGCTTCAAGGGAACCGACCTCATCCGTACTATGATCAGCATGGGTGTCTTTGTCTGCCAACACTTCGTCGGTATCATTTTCGTTCTCGGATACTCAACCTACTTCTTTCAACTTGCCGGTCTTGAGACCTCTCGCAGCTTCGATCTCGGCGTTGGCGTCACAGCATGCGGTGTTCTCGGCAACATCTGTAGTTGGTTTGTCGTCAACTCTTTCGGTCGTCGCAAGATCTTCCTCTCCGGCATGGGAGCTCTCACAGTCCTCCTATTCCTCATCGGTATCATGGATGTAGTCCCTACGTCAGCTGCCAAGTGGGTGCAAGCCGCATGCACAGTCATCTACGCTTACGTCTACTTCGCCACTGTCGGAGCCATGGCTTTCGCTGTTCTTGGCGAGACAGCCTCGCTCAACCTCAAGGCCAAGACGATGGCGCTTGCCACTGCCACACAATCTGTTATGGGTATCGCCATGAACTTTGCCATTCCGTACATGGTCAACCCTGATGAGGGTAATCTCAAGGGCAAGGTTGGCTTCATCTTTGGTGGTCTTGGTTTGATTGGCTTTATTTGGAGTTGGGTTTATGTTCCTGAGCTCAAGGGACGACGATATGATGAGATTGACCACATGTTTCACAACAAGGTCAGCCCTCGACAGATGGGAACCTATAAGCTGTAAAGGAGTGGCCTGTGATGAAACACGGAGAGGGTTATGGCGATGGTTTGTGCTTTGTATTTATATCAACAAGATCTGCGGATGGTAGTAATTGGCAATGAGTCATATTCTGTTGCAATTGGATCTATAATATCTGTAACGGACCGAAAGCCTGCTTATAGTATCGATTTTACACTTTAATGACCGCCTAGCATCATTCGGTGAAGGTTCTTGTATGACGGCCTATAAATAGACCACCCGGATAAGCGCCGCAGCAATTCTTAGGATCTTATCATCCTTCCATGACACACATTGAGCTTGCTGTGCCTCCTGTCAGCACGAAAGCTGCCAATAACACCGTTGAGGACAGAAAAGCCTTCTCATGATGAAATCTATCTCAAAACCTAGGGTATTAGGATATGTGGTCCTAGCTTAGTTCCAACATACCTATAACTACCTACCGTCTGTCCATAGTAGTATATCCTATTATCTTGAACTGCTAGTAACTCTCTATGTCTCTCAACGTGATTTCCGACCGTCGTTCGCGGTCGCCATTATGCAAAACATGCTTCATCTTCTTTACTGTGCCACATAATCTCTCAACTCAACAACCCCCACTCTCCCACATCTCTAAGCTCGTAACATCATTCCAGTTTACCAAATGTGCGTTCTGCACACACGTTGTGCAGCAGATGAAGGATGCACGTATCAGATCTGAATTTCCATTGACTTTCAATATCCACAAGAGACATTGGAACCTCCCGAAACCAGTTTGGAGAGTGTCTACGACACTGGCGAACAACATATACGGCAAATCTGTAGACTACGCCTGCTTCCTGTAAAGTGTCTGAGCTCCAAGTTATTACTATTCCATGGCAATAAAACCAACAGTATGATGCAGATGTCTGGAAGTCTTTAGAGTTTCCAAGGCAAGAGGTCGCGTCTAATGAATTCGGAATCAGTTGCTCGACCGAATCGGCAACGAGCCGTAATCTAGTTCAGAAATGGCACAGGGATTGCTTGGAGAAGCACCAGGCGTGCGAATCTTCCAAGGCCTGGGTTCCTACAAGGCTAGTCAAGATCTATGATACCCACTTCCGCGTCATCAGACACGTGGATCATGACTCTGAACCATATTCTTATGTCGCGCTGAGCCACTGTTGGGGGCGAGCTAGTATCCTGAAGCTGACTGCAGCAACCAAGAATGACCTCTTCCAAGGCACGCCTATCTCCAGACTCCCTAAAACCTTTCGAGATGCTATTACTGTATGTCGCTGGCTAGGCTATCCATGTATATGGATCGACTCGCTCTGTATTACACAAGATTCTAATGAAGACTGGACGACTGAAGCACACATGATGACTGACGTCTATGGGAACTCTGCGCTGACGATTGTGGCTGCACACGCACGCGATGGCACGGAAGGTCTGTTCTGCAATCGCCCTCCGCTGGGCACTAAAGCACCTATCATCGACTGTTCATGGGGGCCTAATTCGAAACCTGAGCCATACTGCCTCGTAGATCACCGTTTATGGATCAGTAGCGTTGAGAACAGTCACCTATCCTCAAGGGCCTGGGCAGTTCAAGAGCGCTTTCTCTCAACAAAACGCCTATATTTCACAGAGCATCAGGTATTCTATCGCTGTGCCACCCACGAAGTCTGCGAGTCTTTTTCAGCGGGTGAAACGCCTTCGCAGCTCATTGAGAATACGGCTCTACAATCCGTCGAAAGAAACCTGGAGCCCAGGGAGAAGTGGGTTCGAGCTGCGGAGGTTTACTCAAGAGCATGTCTTACAAAGGACACGGATAAAATCGTTGCTATCGCTGGTATAGCAGAGAACCTGCGCGCTGCTTTGGGGGGACGAGTATCTGGTTGGCCTATGGAGCGGTAATCTGGTCCACGAACTGCTGTGGCGATCATCTTCAAATGGTGGTGACCAGTCGAGACCGGATCCTTGCCTCGCTCCGACTTGGTCGTGGATTGCAGTCAAAGGAGTTGGCGTGAACATCAACTCGACAATTTGCAGCTCAGGATGTCATCATCACATCAATATCATCCACGCCTCAGTCGACCTTGTTGATCCTTCGCGGCCAACTGGGGATATACACCAAGGCTCAGGGATCGTTCAAATTCGCGGTTCTCTCAAACAAGTGTACTGGTCTCCGCGTAAATACTCCGATGGAGACTGGCGCAAGTATCAAATCACGTTTGAGGACGAACAGAAGGGTGCATTGACTACTACACACCCGGATTATCTCGAGGACTCTTTAACGGATCGGAGAATTTTCTTGCTACCAGTACTATCAACGGAAGAGGGGCAGAGTATTGAGTGTCTTGTTCTTACACCTGTTATTGAACAGGCCCGGATATACGAGCGCGTTAGACACTAGACCATGAGCAGTGACAATAGAGGAGACTGGTACCTGTTCAGACAGAGAAAAAAGGGGAATGATTTCGTTCCGTGGTGGGGGAGCTGGCTTGGTTATAGCGATTGGGAAAGAATCCCAAAAGCTGATTTGTGCATAATTTAAACAAGAACTAGGGAAAGTCAGGTAAGTTTTAATTCTTAATGTATGTGGATGCTATGGTAGTTTGACGAGGACAGTTCTTCTTAGCCCGTACCAACAGACCTTCTTAGTAAACAAGCCAAACCAAGAGCCAAACGGCAACTGTTTCAAGAGCCCCAGACAGTGGTTGTTCCACTGGTCACAGTGACTGCATCCGGTGTAATCACGCTCGTAGCCACATCAGTCTGCACCGTGGTGTAATACTGAGTAACCGTGAAATACTCCGCATTCGTGACAACAACGGTATTATAATCCGTCTCAGCCACAGTATCAACATTCGTAAAGAATAGCGTGTTGTAGTTCGTAGCCTCAACAACATTAGTATTAGTCACTATAACAGTGTTGAAGTTCGTAACCGTGACAGTAACGGGTTTTGTAACCGTCGCGCTTCTTCGATTCGTTTGAGTCACAGTCTCAGAGCCTGTTTTCGTGGTCTTACTAGAGCTGGTAGAAGTACTAGTCTTTCGGTCTGTGACAAACGTGCTCCTCAGCTTGTTGACGGAGAAAGTATTTGTTCTAGTCTGTGTAGTTGTGATGGTTCTGGAGGCTTTGGCAGTGATGGTTACGGTCGTGGGGGCAGAGGGACTGGGGATTAGGCATGAACAGGCACTGCTGATGTCGCTGGGAGCTTTGCTGGGTAGATAATCGGGTACTTGCACCGCCTTCAATGCTCGCTTAGCAGGCTTAAGGAGGGTTAGTATTACTTGGGATGAATGTCAAGTTCGATGTTGAGACTTACCTTGTTGGCGGAACCACATAGCATGTCGTACCATGTCCAAGGAGCTGAAGCATCTGGTGTAACCACAGCACTCCTAGAATCGAAGTTAGTACTGGAAAAAAGCCAATATCATGCCCAGCACTGGTGAGGATTGTGTTGACTTACACAGTGCCATTATAACAGTCGCACACGTTGGAGTTGAATCTGAAGCTGGCCGCTTCCGAATCGCTCAAGCAAAAGTCCCGGCATACGCTGAAGCTGGGATCTTTGATGGATTGACCGGATCCTCCACTCTAATAGTTGTTATCATCTCCATAACCAACGACGTTGCAGTGGACCTTCGCTAAGGGTCTGTTAGTGCGGGTCAAGCGGTATTGGTCGGAGGGGAAAAACTTACTACTAGGAACATACACTGTAGGAGTTGGTGCTCTATAATGACTGTTAGTAACACATAATATTTCAACGTCACAGTTGCAAAGACTCACGTAACACTAATTGAATCTTCGTTAGTATACCTTCTCTTGCGGATAATATTTGGGAAGTACTTACAAAGTAGAAACTGTAGTTGTGATGGTAGTCAGAACATCGACGGTGGAAGCGTCGGTCACATCCGTTGTAACCGTTGTATAAACATCGACAGTAACAGTCGTAGTGGCCCCTTTAGTAATCCTCTGAGTCGCCTGCTCAACATCCGTCACAGCCACCTGAACTGCCTTTGTATTGGTGATTCGATTCGTCGCCATGTTCGTAAGTGTCTTGGTCGTAACATCAGTAACAAGAGCAGTGCTTGTCTGAGTTACGGTAGTTAAATCGGTCTTTGTCGTAGTAGTGATGGTTACAAGAAATGTGGTGGTTCGGACTGTAGTGACGCCGATCAGAGTAGTCGTAGTGGCTGTGACTCTCAAGGAAGTACTACGGATAACGGGAGTAATGGTAGTTGACACGGTGCTTTGGATATAGGTTGAGCAAAATGCGGATCCATTGGCTTGATTTTTCTTAAAGGCTTGGTTGTTGGGATCACTGGCCTTGCAGACTAGAAAGGGTGGGCTGTTAGTTGACTTTCGCTGGATATTAGGTCTAGATACCTGCTCTTGGATTAAGGAGGTTTCTCTTATCGAGCATCAAATCAGAAAGTTGGCCTGCTGGTAGCGCGCTCACTATGCTGATAAACAACAGCGTCAGAACTTTCTTGAAGGAAACCATTTTCGATTAATATACGTGAAAGCCTATTGCGTAGAAGGAAGTGTTGGACGACTTAATCAGACCCATTAAGTATACGATACCATTTAGCTTTTCTCATACCCTAGCTTGGGATATTTTGCTCGTATATCATAAGCTTCATTAGATCAATGAACCCAACGGTCTGGTTCAGTTCTAGCCTATAATAAAGGAATTATCCTGGCTTAGCACTCGCTCAAGTGGCGTGACCTTGACCTGACTTAAGACAATAGTTGACATGTCAGGAATGTTGAGGCGTTGACTAGGTCATATCTAGTAATTCTGGTAGAGCTAGAATGGCTTCTGACGAGGTGGAGTCGGGTGACAGAGGTTTCTATTCTAACACGATGGAAAGCCTGTAAATCTGGGGGTTCTAGCGCGCTTCTAGTTACAAAGTTCCTTGTCCTTACTGAACGGTAAAGTTCTAGCTTTGTTCCTGTCACCTGGTGAACCGGATCAGATTGGTCCTGACTTCATAGACAAGTCGCTTGGAAACAAGGCGGATATTGTTGCTAACAATGAAGGATGCACTGAAATATAATATTTACTTTTGACTCTTAGAGATAGATATAACAGAACGGAGAACCGCTCATGGTGTCAAGCGCATCATCGATGGTAATCTCAGCTGCATTAACCCCCATATTCAGAGGATCAGACTTCAAAGCGTATCGACTAGGAGGTCTGTTCCCGATAGTGATAGTACCAGCAATATCCCTGGCCTGCTTGGGATGCAGAGCCTGCCAGATCCAGTACACGCGATCAACCATAGCATGATGAAGAAAGAAAACAGGCTCGTTAGACGAAGAGTAGAGGTCAGAGGAGTCACCACCAATGGCAAAATGACCAGCGCCGTGCAAGCCCAGGAATCGATCTGGAAATCGACCTTGAAACTCGTCCTGCATGATTTGAATGCTGCGTGAAGCATCGCCGAGCGTGACGTTGTATAAGTTAGGGAGAGTCATCCACTTATCAATGGTGTAACGACTGAGATCTCGACGTAGACAGCGAGGGTTATATTCGAGAGGTGTAGCGGTGGCTTCCATTCCGTCCATGCCAGGAGATGGGGGTCCAAGGTTAGCGGTTGCGCCGGCGAAGGGACCTTTCTTGATACAGCCACCTCCGTTACCGCTGGGAAGGAAAATGAGTCCTGTGCCAGAAACAGAGCCGTTGTGCTTGAAGAGCTCTCCATCGCCGCTCATACTGGTCTCGGAACCGTCAAAGAGGGGGTTAGTTGCAAAGTCGCCAGTCTCAAACCAATTCCAGTACTACAGTAAATCATAAGCTTGGAATTCTTGATCGTCGGCTATCACCAAGATTCACTCACCGGCTGGGTGCCTTTGTAGCCGCACTCATCTCGCAGAGCTTTTTCATATGCCCAAGTATAGTAGCGATGCCAGGTGAAGAAGTTTCCCTGAAAAGGATTGTCAGATTCAATGCCATTGACAACTCATGAAGAACAAGAACTGACTGTTGCATGGATAGTGCGAGTCTGGTTGATATGCACAGCGACAAAATCGTCATATCTGGTACGTGCACCAGGTGCGAAAGAAGGGTCTGCCTTGGATGGTTTCTTTCGCAGACATAGAACTGCATTGATATAAGCCTTTCTCTCTTTCTTTGATAGGGCTTTCCTGTACTAGTTGTTAGCGACGGTTCAATGCATCTAGGACGTAAACTTACCAATCCCGGCGCACGTTGGCATTGGCGATTGTGCACTTCTTGCGGCTTGTCGGTGCCTGGGCATTCTCTAGCGCACTGGTTGCCTTGCTGTTGAGATCTAGCATGAGATCGCCGGCCGATTGAGTCGGTGAGGTCGCAACCAGCGACGAGGCGCTCAGCAAAGCAGCAAGGATTCCAAAAGAAATCTGCATGGTTTCGGAACTCGCTTTTGTCCTTGGTTTCCGTGTTAGATAAGAAATGAGAAAGAAAGGCAGACAATGCGGTGAGATTGGATGTGCGGGATAGACTACTTAACAGATAAGCAAGCGGAAAATTATAGTCGAATTTGTATTAGTGCCTACCCCGTATAATTGATGGGATAGAGAAGAACCTCAAGAGCCCTTGTCGGAGCCAAGCCGGAGCAAGTTCTGTTCGTAGAATATCGCCCCGGTAAATTGTTCATCATTGCTGGATGGGGATTTGACAAGCCCTTGGCTCTGCAGCCCTAGGGCGCAGGGTCTTACAGGCTACACAATACTTACCAGGTTTCTTATCCAGGCACAATTGAGGCTAAAGAATACAGATTATATGGAAGGAAGAACTATTTCTCGGCATGGATTTACTGCTTTTCATGGAAGGTATTCCGCGAGGCCTTGACAGTTTATGAGGAACACGCGAGTGAAGAGCAACGTGTTAGCTGGCGATTTAACCGGATGCCCCTGGACATATGCATCTAAGATTTTAGGGTACCCAATCACTGGCCGTTGTTGATTCGCAAATTCATGCCAATAACGGGGTAGCTCAATCTATTCGCATCCAAACAGCCTTTTGTCCGCTATTCTCGTATATGCACCCTGCAATGCTGACCATATGTTTGCTCCGTTTAAGGGTCTTTATGAAAGATAGCAAGCTGCTGCTCAGCCCGGACTAGTGAAGCTTCCCAGGCCACCCGTGCGGTTGAAGGCGCCGGTGGACATGTGTGGTGTTATTTATAGCCATCCGTTCATTACCTACTGTTCCTTCGAAAACCCAAATCGTAAGCCAATGGGAGAAAGTTACAGGCAGTTCCTAAACCAGTGACGCAGCTCGCGTCTCTCAATGTAACTCGGAACCTCAGAATTAAGCTTAAATATATTTTTAGACTCCCCACGTATCTTCTGACGAAAAATTGATTGCTGAAGAGGTAGGGCAGTTAGGAAAAGTGTCTATATGCAGCTACAGTTGTTCAAGACTGTAGGTTAATTGAAACCACACGCGCTGCATCTAATACACTAGCTAGATGCAGAACTCGGTTTTACTTGGTCACTGAAGGAACACCATATCTTGGGGCCTCCGTGAACTTCAAGCAGGTAGCGGCAGAGTTAGATCAACGGCCACTTTGAATCTTGACACTGCTGTAGTGGTAGAAGCTTGGTGGAGCTACGTTTCCGTTGGTCCAGATAATGAAATTAATAATACTAGTATTGAATCAACGTCGCATACATGTCTGAGCTTTTGGGTCAATTTCTCTATGTCCTCTCGGGCCGATTTGCCTGCCTATTAAGCCCTTATGTCCAATCATCTATCTTCAGACATCGTTATTTTCTGATCACCCAACGCCCCGTGCAAGATCTAGGACTCTCAAGACTTCTGCTTACAGACACAATCAACTCCTAGGTCTCTGCGTGCCTTTTTAACATTATAGGTTTACTATTGTTTAACTGTCTTCTCAACAAGAAGGCGTCGTGCTCTCCAGAGACATGGAAGTCACTGGAACCTGGTGTTGAACAATAACCTGACCCTCTTAATTCAGTATAAGGATCTATTCGCAGCTCACTCTTTGTATTCGGAGCTAAAGACTTTAAGAGATTTAGATGACAATTTAGATCCAATATTTAGGTCAACTCTTACTGGCCAGCCTTACGATGATACCCTTGAGAAGTGGGTTCATCAAGCACGTTCCCCTGGCACGGAGGACTGTGGGTCAGCGTTGAAGAATTCAGCCCCATAAGGACGGAGGTGATAGCCTCATATAGCCAAATAATTGTTTCAAGGGTTACATTGTTCCGAGTAAGCGAGAGGGCAAACGAATATTAATCATGTGATTGAAGGAATAAACAAATCAATCAACCGCTGTTTAAAAACCTCTTGTTCTTTCGCCTTTCTCCGCCAATCCCCGGTGTGATATTGTTAAGCTTGAAACGCGATGGCGGACGCTACTTGGTCAGCCCTTCAGGGCACTTTAACGTCAATGACAGCTCGAGACTGGATAGTGGCTTTGATATCGGCGTGGCTTGCATTTAAAGTTCTGCAGGCATTGTATAATGTCTCGCCTCTTCACCCGCTTAGCAAGATCCCTGGTCCGAAACTTGCCGCGGCAACATATCTGCCCGAATTCTACTACGATGTGATCCTCGTCGGTCGCTATACCCATGCTATCAAGCAGATGCACGAGAAATATGGTAAGCACATTTCAGCAAGTCGAAGCAAAAGATTCTAATGCGCTCTTAGGTCCTATTGTCCGCATTAACCCCAATGAGCTGCACTGCGCTGATATGTCCTTCTCGGATGAGATCTACGCCGTTGGCGGTCGCAAACGCGATAAGCCCTTCCACCAAGTGAATGGCTCAGCAGCCGGTACAGGAAACGCTTTTGGTACCCCTGATCACGATCTCCATCGCGCCAGACGTGCACCAGTAGCCAAGTTCTTCTCACGAGCCATGATTGCACGTCTCGAACAAGAAGTTCACGACCTGGCACAAACTCTCTGCAACAAGCTTTTGGCTGAGAACAAGGATGAAAAAGAACGTAAACCGTTCGAAATCGCTCATGCATACAGTTGTTTCACATCTGATGCCATTTCAAGCTACTGCTTCGGTGAAGCTTTTGGATTATTATCTCGCAACCAGTGGCAGCCAAACTACCGTGAAGCTACTCTCGCGGTACTTAAGCCAGTCTTTTTCTTCCGCTTCTTTCCGATTCTTGTTTCTAGCGTGAAGCTGGGTAAATATCTTGTCGACTACTTACCAGCTGATACCGCGCTTCTCATTCGAACTCTACAAATCGATATTCCTTCGCGCGTTCAAAAGACGAAGAACGACTTGGATTCTGGTATTGTTTACGATCGACCGACTATTTTTGCAGATCTGCTTCAATCTGAGCTTGATGACAGTGAGAAGAAGCAAGATCGTCTGGTTGAGGAGGCTGTCACTATCGTCAACGCTGGAACTGAGACGACGAGCTGGGCATTGGCTGTGATAACATACTTCCTCTTGTCACAGCCTGAAATTCTGGCCAAGCTACAAGATGAACTGAAGCAGGTTGTTGACGATCCATGCCATTTGCCTTCATGGACGACACTGGAGCACCTTCCATATCTTGGAGCTGTCATCAATGAGGGTCTACGTCTATCCTATGGTGTTTCGAGCCGCACAGCTCGCGTGCCAACAACAGAAGACCTAGTTTACAGGGGAGAATTTAACAAGAAGCCGATGAGCTTGGTGTTGCCTCGAGGTTATGCAATCGGTATGTCGGCGGCCATTGCACACCACGATGAGTCTGTTTTCCCTGACTCGTATGCGTTCGTGCCTGAACGATGGATCGATGAGGACAATAAGATCAGAAAAGACCTGGAGAGGTCAATGATTGCATTTTCAAAAGGCAGCCGTGGATGTCTTGGTAAAAAGTAAGATAAACGTTGTTCCTTCAACTCAGAGTTTTACTAACATATTCTTAGTCTCGCATTGTGCGAGTTGTACCTCTCTCTTGCAGCTTTGGTTTTGAGAGTGATGCCCTATATGCGTCTGTACGAGACGACGGATCGGGATATTCGCTACGATCATGACATGTTCATTCCGATGACGGAGAGCGGAAGTAAGGGAGTCAGAGTAATTATTGAGAGCTAGATTATGCCTTCTTCCTAATACGAATTACTTTATCATGATTGTTTGCTCTAGTCCGTACCTCGCGCTATCCTACCCGATATGTACTAGCCTCCTTTTGCAGGGAATACCAGAGTGGGCAATCCGGAGTTCACTAAACTTCACAGCCACTCGTATTTGTCGCTATTTTATCGCTTCTCAACTTGGATCAACTGAGCTGCCGATGATCAGCTGCCGAAAGTGCCGAGAAGACCTTTTAGAGATATCATGCTATCTTCCTAACACATAAAGGGAATTCCAGATGGAGTTCCTTGTGAGGCATCAGCCAATCTGATATGACTATCTGCTGAAGCTTATGCCACCAGGCCTCCGGCTCGAATGACTAACCCATTCTGCTCTAGCTCGCTGACACCCTCAGCTGTTACAGGATCGACAACATATATCTATATAAACCGTCTGACAGCAGCATTTATAGCCCGCTGGTAACATAGCAAAAGGGCATGATCTATATGTCTTGAGTATAGCTACAAAGATGAGTTCTCACAGTCAATCATACCCTGATGGGCCTCCGCCATACTCAACCCTTGCTGCTGCAACTTCAGCACCAACTTTCTCTGTGGATAGCCAACCTCGTATTCTACCTATCCCAACACTTGAGCAACCTACACTTCATCCATCAAAGAAGCCCATCGCCATCCCAGCAACAAGCTCCAAGCTCGGCTCTCCCTTCCTGCGAGCCTTCCCACCTATCCTCGAAGACCAATACCATCTTCCTCGGGAAGTCTTCCTCAGATTTCTTGATGACCTCAACCGTGCGGCCGTCGCTAGTCCGCCAGTCCAGATACTGGGAATGGTAGGCGGCATCGTGTCAATGATGCCGCTACACACCGCACAGATCGTTGGTAATTCGGTTAATGCGGCAGCTACTCTTTCGACGTACGCCATCAGTAAATCTCGAAGTGAGCTTTGCATCAGTACCGCGAACAAAGAACTCTTTATACCTAGAGGTCTCAAGGCTGAGTTTGCAAAGTTGGATGCAGTTGCTCGTTATGCCAAGATACCCATCTTGGATGGCAATGGCAAGATCGAGAAGAATAGTATGGTTCTTGGACCATGCAACGATGTTTCGGCTCAGTCTTCACTCACTGTGCAGCAACGCAGACTTCAGGCCCTTGAGCCATGGATTGCACCACTAGAGCTTACGCCCTTACCTGAGTTACATGTACCGGATAACTTTGTAAGCAAAATGCATGCTTCAACAAGTGAGCGACAACGAAAGAAGGAGGAAAAGAAGATGACCAAAGATAGAGCCAAGACGCATGAGGATTGGACTGAAGATTCAAGAAAGGCTCGAAAAGACTATGAGAAGGATATGCGCAAGATAGAAGAGGAGTTTGCGAAGACTCAAAGAAAACATGCAGATGAGCCCCGCAAGTTGGAGAAAGAGTTGAAGAAGCTGGATAAGGAAAGAGAAAAGTGTCAAAAAGAGTATGAGAAGGAAATGAGAAAGGTTGATAAAGATAGACGGAAGGATGATAAGGAAGAGGAGGGTGTGAGAAAGGTGCTATGGCTGCTTATCAGGCCAATAGGTAATGAGCCTATGGAATAATAAGCACGGAACGCCCTGGTGCAAAGGACACTAGAGATGTGATCAAATTCCACAAATAGATAGACTGCTTGTGCATAAAGTCATAAATATCATTTCAATCCGCTGCGCCTATGTTTTACATGCAATTTGTTTCTTTTCCAGTCCCTTTATCGTCGCGCCAATCCAACATCCAAGCCCATGGGCTTCCTCAAGAATCCCTCCCTGGTCTCCATAATATCCTGTCTCAAGCGAACATCATATCGCTTAATCCAAGTGGTAGCAATAAGTCTCATCTGCATCTCAGCCAAATTCCTTCCAACACAAGATCTAGGTCCATAGCTGAAGGGGATGAAAGCAGTCTTCTGCTTATCGGTCAAGTTCTCCCAACGCTCAGGCTTGAACTCATCAGCGTCAGGACCCCAGATTTCAGTAGAGTGGTGGATCGTATAAGTGGGAACGCTGAGAATAGTACCGGGGCCAAAGTATCGTCCGTGGAGAGTAACGCCCTTGTGGTTAGGGGGGATCTCACGGGGAAGACCGATACCAGAGGGGGAGTGAATGCGCAGAGTCTCGTTGATGCAGTATCCCAGGTAGGGAAGATGCTTGACGGATTCGTAATCAGGAATGGCAACGTCCTCAGGAACAACAGCAGAAATCTCCTCATAAAGCTTCTGCATGACACCAGGAGTTCTAACAACATGATACAACAGTGCACAAGAAGAGTTTGAAGTAGTATCACTTCCAGCGATGAGTTGCGTAAGAGCTTCAGCGGTGAGTTCATCACGACCAAGAGGTTCGCCCTTTTCATCGCGACCCTGCATAAGACGAGCCAGTAGATCCTTGCGGGTAGAATCACCGCCGCGCTCGAGACGCTCGCTGACGCGGGCGATGGCGATACCGGCGAGGTTCTCGACGGCTTGGAGACCTTGGCTGAAAAAGGGGTCGGGGAAATACTTGGCGTAGGGCTTGAGTTGGGGGAGGCAGCCGAGAGTTGCGGAGACTTCGCCGCGGCGGTTCATGATCTCGACAGCTGGGGCGTAGATGGTGGGACTGGTGGGGGAGGCCTTGACTTCAGCGATGTCGGCACCAGTTGAGAGCATGCCTATGAATGTTAGCAATATGCTGAACAAGTCGATGCATAAACTTACCGAAGGGCTTTCCAAAAGCGAGATCAGCGATGATGTCGAAGGCAAGAAAGTTGACTACACAAGGTCAGTATGTTTCGTTTCAAGGGTCGATTTGATAGCTACTTACACCAGTTCAGACAGTCAACGCTTCCATAGCCATCAGCATCCTTGTTGCTGGCAATACGATCCCACTGGTTGATGAAGATATCGAGGTTCTGTCGGATATAAGGCTCAAACTCCAAAACAGACTTGGGCGCAAAAGTGTGCGACACGAGCTTTCTCTTGCGAGAGTGCTCAGCTCTGTTGCGAGTGTTGAAGAGACCCCGACGAATAGAGACAAAGGTATCATAAAAGTCACTAATTTGTTAGTTCTGCGCCCCCAATACTATAGTACCAGATTAGACTTACGCCTTCAAGAAACCGTTTCCATGACCGTAGATAGTGTTGATAGCATCTGCATCTGCAACACTAACATGGTTTGGCGCAATGCGAACCAAAACACCCAGCTTCTTATGGACCTGATCAACAATCTCGTAGCGCTTTCCACGACGACATGTAGATAATAACCAAAGGTTGGTGAACTGCGCCGGGAAAGGAGCGGGGATACCGCGGAGATTGGAGTTGCTGATCCATGGGAGGATGTACCAGGCTACGAGAGCCACGGCGAGGGCGAGTGGTGCCCAGGGGGAGATCAAGAGTTCTGTAATAGCCATGATTCTGAGACTTGATCAGAGGAGATATTGGAGAATGAGGTAGGGATGGTTGAGGAGTAGGAGGTGAGTATTTGTATCAAGATAGAACTACTAGGTCGGATAGTAGGATGCCCCAGATTTACCCCAGATGTGAGGGTTCATGAGCTCCGAGGAAGCCTTTCTCTGTTGGGAATAGTGCGGTTTGCTCCTCGGCACTTCAACTGTATGGCCTATGATTGGTCAATGGAAGCTTTCCTTGTATGCCATTGGACAGAATCTGGTCATAGCTCGATAGATGTGGCCTGGGATATCTATTCAATGATTGCAGACGATGTAATTTCTGTGCTTTAATGCTATTAAATCTATTGATCCCGTAATTTCGTCGTAATGACCAGTGCAGAAGCCGATCTCCAGTGCGATTGTTTCCCTTCGCCATTTGATCTGCTGCTGAAAGTTCGGCAATTCAGCGCATCCGATTGGCTCCTGTTCCGAGGAACTGGTCGGCAAATGGGCACGGAAGCCGGGCCTCGCAGAGAACGATAGACCATATTGATTGTACATTCACACTCACGCGACGAGACTAAAATGATAAGGGAAAATAGCAATAAGACATGTATTAAAGTACCAAAGAAATAGACTATTATTACATGATAGGGAAAACCGGGCGAACCGATAAAAAACCCTATCCTTTCATCATTCTGCCCCCAGTGATAAACCAGCGTCCCTTAATTCCAGCCTTGGTCGACTTTAGTTCACAGCCATGTACCAAAGATCTTGATGTAAATGATCTTGACAACCTGGACCTCTACAGCATAAAGCAACAACTCAGCAGCCAGAAATCCAACAAAAGTCGGCGCTGGTTGAGCAAAGCTGAACGCGGGTCTGAAAGCCGGGATCCAGGGTAGGACGAAACCAATAGCCATAATCGACGCTGTGGAGAAAACAAGGATCGGTGCTGCGCGACTCTGGATGATAGGAAATTTGGCTGTGCGTAGCAAGTGGACAATCAGAGTCTGGGTGAGAAGACTATTGCAGGTATCAGTGGTGCGACTTGAAGAGTGTGACGGGAGCTTACCCTTGCAGGAACCAATGTGTTTGTGCCAGTTTGACATTGTCGGCGGTAGTTCTAATGCCGTAGAAGAACCAGTTGAGAGAAAAAGTGCACATGTCGATGACTGAGCTTGTAGGACCAAGGACAACGATGAACTTGAGGATATCTGCTGCTTGTTAGATATGCCCATAGAGAGAGACAAGGAAACCTACCCCTTGCGTTCCATCGTCGCGGTTGGGTCAGATACTCTTCGTCAACGCGATCCCAAGGGATGGCGATCTGACTGATATCATACAGAAGATTCTGAGCGAGAAGTTGAATGCTGGTCATCTATACCCAAGTGAGCATACTCCCTGCAAGGTCTGATAAGTTACTCACTGGTGTAAAAGGCAGCCAGGCACTAGCCGCCAGAATACTAAAAACATTACCAAAATTGGACGAAGCCACCATCTTGATATACTTGATAGTATTCCCATGCGTAATCCTTCCCAGAATCACACTCCTCACAATAATCGACAATCCCTTCTCCGTCAAGATCAAATCGGCACAATCCTTCGCGACTCCCGCTCCAGAGTCAACCGAGATCCCAACATCTGCATCTCGAAGCGCACCGCAGTCGTTAATGCCGTCGCCGAGCATACCAACGCAGTTGCCGGCTTTTTGAAGAGCCAAGACAATTAGACTTTTCTGCTTGGGCGTTACTTTGGCGAAAACGCTGCATCGTTCGACGGCGAGGTCGAATTCATCAGAATCTTCGAGCAGGGCGAGTTCGGGACCGGAGATGGCTTCGGCGTCGTCGTCCATTGTTTCGGAGTGCTGGAGGAGTTCAAGGGAGCGGCAAATGTTGAGGGCGACGGGGAGGGAGTCGCCGGTCAAGACTTTTACTTGGACGCCGAGCTCAGTGAGGCTTGCGATGGCGTCTTTTGCATCGTCTTTGGGTGGATCGGAGAAACTGATCATTCCTTCGAGCGTCATATTTGTCTCGAGTAGATCGAGCTCATTGACGTAAGACTTGCCGAGGATGCGGGATGCGACGAGAAGAACGCGATATCCTTCCATGTTCTTTTGCATGGCGAGTTGTCTCCATCGGGCTTGCATCTCAGTGCTGAGATACTCACTCTTGCCAGCTGAGCGCATGGATGAGCAGCGAGTGAGGACTTCGTCGAATGCGCCTTTGACGATGAGGAGGTATTGGCCTGTAATGCCGCGGACAATGCAGCCGGATCGACGGCGCTCAAAGTCGAATGGAATGACGCGGACTTGTTCGTAGTGGGCTACACCGACTTCATCGCCGTTGGGGAGGTGATAATTGAGAATAGCCCTGTCCATGTTGTTGCCACTGTTACCTTGGATTTGCGAGTCGACCTTTGCGAGTTCCATGATGTTGAGGTTGTCCTCTCCTTCAGCATTAGAGTACCTGTGCACCGAGAGCTCGTCCTTGGTCAAAGTTCCTGTCTGTCTCATCGTTAGTACTCAGGCAAGTCACAGAAACGGGATGTATACCTTGTCACTACACAGAACAGTCATCGCACCGAGGTTCTGGACCGAATCAAGACGCTTGACGATTGCCTGCTTCTTGGAAAGCTGATGAGCGGCTCGCGCGAGATTGGCATTGACGATGGCGGGCAGCATCTCTGGGACAAGACCGACTGCGACACTGATACTGAAAAGCGCCGCGTTCTTCCAGTCTCCGGTGACCTTGCCGGAAATGCACAGAACCTGGACGAGGATTAGTTGAAGTAGGCGAATCGGTTCGGGAATTACTTACGATAGGAACCATGACGACCATGAAGCCGATAAGCATCCACGTAACGTTGAGAATGCCCTTCTGGAAGGCGTTGGGCTGTCGCTTCTTCTCAACCTCCTTGACCATGGTAGCGATCATAGCATCTACACATATTAGCCACATCCCTTGTCAGACATTGAGATAACCCACCATCACCCGTTCGAAGAACAAGTCCAACACCATGACCGGAGACAATATTTGTCCCCATAAGCGCAACATTTCCAAAGTCAAAAATCGAGAAAGCCTCTTTCGCATCATGAGGTCCCGCATCCTTACCCACAGGTTCACTCTCACCCGTCCAAGCAGATTGACTAATCCTCAGGTACGATGACTCAAGGATGAGACAATCAGCAGGAACGATTGCACCAGGAACTAGAATGACGATATCACCAGGGACGAGGTCAGTCTCGAGAACCGTGCCCTCTGTCCAGGAGAGTTGAAGCTCGTCGGTGTAGGTTGCTGGTCGACGGACTCGAATCTTGGGAATGATGGCGGATTGAAGACGAAAGATGGCGACGCCGCTTTGGAATTCTTGCCAGAAGCGCACAGCGACGGAAATAACGATCATGACCATGAGAACAGCAAATCCTTCCTAATACCTCGTTAGTCCCCATCGCCATAACTTTATCGTCAGTACAACACTCACCCAGCTAGGATCCGGCATCGCCACATTAAGAATCGCCAAAAACATCAACAGAATATTAAACGGATTCGGAATAACACTCAAAAAAAGCATAAACCAAGACTGCGGCTTCCTCGAAGAAACAACATTCTGCCCATGAATGCGTAGCCTCGCAGTAGCTTCAGCCTCAGAAATGCCATCGCTGCTCGACACCAAGTGCGCAAGTGCCGTATCAGGCGTCATAGACGCGATCCAGCGAAGAATATCTTCTGGCGTGCTCTTGGATGCCCTGTCTGGGTTTAGTTGCCATGACGCGGTTCGTGCGCGGGATTTGCCGTTGCGTAGGCCAAGTCGGCCGAGGATGTTAGTGTCGCGGCGGGCCATGGTGTTGACATCGGTTGATCAAACATTCGATTTTTCGTTTTCGATACTCTGCACCCAATCTGAACTGTCAGTTCAACGCCATCTTACGGGAAAGGCAAGATCAGGTTCGTACAAAACTTAAGGTGGATCAAAGTCTGCTGCCTCAGACTTGGCGATTCCTCTGAAGAGGAGAAGTCCCAGCGAGTTCTCCAGATTTGCGAAAGGTAGGTAAACGGCAACAAAAGAGTCGTTCATCGAATTGAACAGAATAATTTATTGTACTGTAAGTAAAGTAAAGTAAAGTAAAGCTTTGTGCAGAAAGTTGGGAGGGGGATCAGCGATATATACAAATCATGAACTTGTAAACTTTCTCCTGATTAGAGCCTTAAAATGACACACTAACTAAAGAAAATGATAAACGAAAATCCTTTCCAAACTAACATGGCCAAGAAACAAAAGCATGTGTTATTGTTTGTGGGGTGACTCATGCCGAGAGTATCCATCTAATAGCCTCTCGTATAAAACGTGCCGAATACCCTTGGCGACAAGACTTATAAAACCGGGCAGGGCAGGAAATATCTCATAGCCAAGCGCCAAGTTACTATCAAGGTACCTGCATACAAGAGCCGAGTTCCGAATGGCAAGAAGAACTATATGAAATGTGGTCATGTTGTGCAATACGGAACTTGGCGAGACATTGAGAGCATCGCCTGATACAGAGTCATGTAACTCCATGACTTGTTCCTCACCAAATTGACCTTCTCCGAAAAGAAACTTTTCTCATAAAATCTTAAATGGTGTTGTGTTGTCAAATTACAAAAAACACAGCCCAGCGGACAATGCCGTGATTAACATTTTGGCGATCAGGCACTGCCGCACTGTTGCACAGCCCCGTTGAGCTAAATTACCGACCTCCCTTTTTCGCATTTGCGCCTTTTTATCTTTTGATGATTTCATGAACGGCACGTCAAGATCCGAAGTTGGATGTGTTTTTATAAGAGTAGTTTGGTGAGGCTTGGGTCTAGACTCTGGGCGATGTCGAGAGGACGCGTAAGCCCGCTAAGAGCATAAGGGGAAGCGAATCGTGTTATACCCGGCGTGTATGCCTGTATACATACATAAATTCTCCGTATAGACCAAGATCGAGATTGATGCGGTGTATAGTTGTTGAGGCTTATGGCCAAAGAGCTTCCTTCTTCCAGGTGTTTCGGGCCGGATCGAAGACGTAGTTCAATCGCTGATGCAGACGATCACTAGAAGCCTGCCAGAACTCAACCGTCTGCGGCGCCACGGCATATACCACCCAACCCCCAGAACTTGGCTCTTGTCCCTCAATCTCATGACTTTTCACGGCTTCCGCCATCTTAGCTTCCAGTCCATGCGGGTCATTAAGTGGTTCGCTCTGCCTCGACACCTTGGCAGTGATCTTGGCCATAGCCGATCGAGCCGTCCAATCCTGCTCACACTCACCTCTGGGCAGAGCGTTTGCTTTACCGCGTAGACGGACCTGACGTCCGATTTTGGGCCAGTAGAATGTAAGTGCGACGTTGTTGTTTGCTGAGATCTGGCGGCCTTTGGGGCTGTTGGCTTTGATGGCGAAGTGCCAGCCGCGGTGATCGACGTTCTTGAGGATTAGAACACGGGCATCGGGGAAGCCTTGTTCATCGACTGTCGAGAGCGTGACAGCATGCGGCTCTGGGATGTTGGCTGAGATGGCCTCGTCGAGCCATGCCTCAAATGCTTGGTGAGGGGTTTCGGGGAACGAAGCGAACTCTGCCTTTGGGTGTGATGCTCCTTCTAGAACAGGAAGCGCACGAAGCTTGGCTTGGAGTCCGCTACTTGTCATTGTGCCAGGTCTTGAACTTGTTTTTAGTCAAGTGAAAGAGATCAAGCTGGAAGGGCACGGATATTTAAGAAGAGCTGAGATGTTGAGTGTGACTCGCACAATCTGATTGTGGAAGTATCATGGCTGATCACCTAATCCATATCTGATTCATTATGATCCGGTATCGGATTTCGACAGCCTCATGAATTGACACAGTCTTCAGCAAGATGATGCATCAAAAGACTTCTATAGCGCATTTTCTTAGGATAGGTAGGCCGAGGTCTTTGTATTAAATTGGCCGAGTAACGGTATGCCTGAGTCTGATCGGCATTGAACTACATATGAATTTTAGTCACACAGCCCTCAAGCATTCATCATCTGACGAATACTATAACGCAAGATAAAAAAAGTTAACATTGAGCATTTATCCTTTATCCTACTTCCAATATTGGCTCGGTGAGTAACCAGAGTGACGTAAATAGAAATTATACCCGCGTAGTGAGCGACTTGACGGGTAAACACACCTACAGATTAAACATCACTAAAGTGAGATCAAGTCATTGATCAACGATTGGGGATCCTCTTTGAGAAAGATACTATCATTCATCCGTTTTTATTTTTTGGTTTCTCATTTATGTAGAGCTGTGGGTTGGTGCGCTTCCAAAGCATGAGCTTGATAGACATTGAATAAGCTATCTCGGCATTCCGCGACAAGGACAAGTCCGAGGCTGGATATGATCCTCCAAGTTCAGTCGCGGATCCAACGATGCTTCATCCTCGTAAGAAGCTTTATATTCACTGGTTCACAAGCTTGCGAAGAGAAGACTCAACCTGACTCTCCTTATCGCCCAATCGTCCAACTTCTTTGCCCTGAATATCCCATTAGTTCACATCCAAAACCAAACCCACTTATTAAGCTTACATTCTGGACCTTGACGACAGTAGGAACGCCATTGATGTTGTAAGGTGCATTGCGATACTTGTTCTTAGGAGTACCCCGCCACTCCTCACGCGAACCCACGCGGACGATGTAAGCGGTAGGATCAGAAGCGCCGCCAAAAACAGCGTTCAGCGCGGGGAGGGCATCACGGCAGTCAGGACACCATGAGGGCTCACCGGAGGCGAAATAGACGACGTAGTGAGTGTCGGTGGAGGTAGGTGGGGTGTTGGCGTCGATGAGAGGCATTTTGGCTGTGTGTCTGGTGATGATCTTTTGAAGGTGGATGGAGAGAAATTGTGAAAGGAAATGGGTACTTGGTGCAGGATTGAAGGATTAAATGGATGGGAGTTGAAGCTTAATCGGCGTGATATGTCAGCGAAGATTCTCGAGCGAGATGCAGAGTCGCAAAAACTTAAGCTCGCCTCTTGATGACTAAGACAGTGCGTGGCTTCACTGACACATGGCAATAGGTTCGAAAGTGGCGGCAAATCACAGTGCGCACTTATTATTCTGGTACGTGTACAAGCCTGACAGTTCACTCTCACAAGTCTTTGTTGAATGTCCCCCGGTTGATGAAACCTTGTGCATTCAAATTTCTAACATTTCGCTATCTTGTTGAACATCGCCGTGCCCTCGGTTACGCAAACTGGCACAGTGAAGTGAGCGGGGCTCATCGTATGACGAAAAGTCTGAATGAATGTCGTGACTGATGGGTCTTTCTGGACGTGTCTTCACACAATCTGCTCGGTTTTTAAAAGGTTTCACTACATCAAGTCAGATCACCCCTTGATCCAAGCCACAAAGGGTTTGAAAGAAAAGAAAACCGCATAAAAAAACATCTTGCATTTCAGAGACATGTTCATTCATTCCGTCAGTGCAGCAGCTGCTCAGCAAACTGCCCACGATCTACATGGTATATCATAACTCATAATCCATCACTTAAGGAGTTTCCAAGAACCAGTCTCAGCCCAGATTCTTGCATACCACTGATGCAGCTCTGTGATCCACGGAGGCATAGGTCCCTTGTTGCCCGCAACCTTGCCCTCGCTGGAGAACAAAACGCTCTTGAGGCGCAACTCAACTTCCTCATGCGCCTTGTCGATGGTAGCGCTGATCTGGAAGAGACCATCAGATGGGCGCAGGGGCTGGTTGCGCGGTGAGTCGCCGCAGCGCACGGTGATGGACGTGGGAGTCTTCTCAACGACTTCGAAATGATCAGTGATAATGGCGCCTTTGTCGTAGGTGCTTGTGGCGAGTTGCTCAGGGTCCCAGAGCTGATGTTCAGTCTCAGGACCGCGGTATTTCAATTGAGCATATCGACGCTGAATAGCGAAGCCTAAATCGGTGAGCGATAACTCGAACTCATTGAGATGAAAGGTTACTTACCCCAACCGCTCCAAACTCCACGACAGAACTCAAGCGTCAAGTCATTGTTATTCTGAAGCAATTCCGGACGAATCTTGCTAAAGGGAATGCGCTTGATCACGACATCTTGAGTGGTAGGGTTACCGTTTGGATTGGCCCTTCTGAAGAGTCGGGACGACCAGATGGGGTCGTTGGCGGGGAGCGGGGAGATGACGGGGTTCTGAGAAGCGAGGTACGCGGCGGCTGTGGATGTGCCCAACAGGCCGGTAAAGACTGTTTTTCTGGCCAAGCGGAAGATGCCCATCGTGAGTGAGTGGTGTTAATGGGTAGAGTGAGGTGAAATGAAGATTTGAGGTTGAGAGAGATAAGAAGCGCGTTTAATTTTCGGGTGGATAATTCATGCTTGTGGGTGGATAGTTACCCACTTTTTGATTGGTCGGGAGGGAATGCATCATGCGACCAGCTGCATTATTGTGCATAAAAGTGGCTGGGAATAGCATCAAATCATATGCTTCAATGCAGTAACTTATCATGCATTTCACCATCATATCATGGGTGGGTTTTGAGAAGAAACCGGGACTTTTATTTCACTATCAATCGTCGAAATGTCTCCTAGCTAGTAGCCAAACCAAGATGATTTTATGCTCAGCCCTGATCTACTCCCAATTGCCCTTCTCATCAAACTTGACCAAGTTCCCACTCAGCAGCGCATGCTGAAGCGCCCGACCAATATTCATAACCTGCATTCCTCCCTCAATGGGCAAAGGCACCGGCTTATCCTTGAGAACAGCGTCCGCAAACTCATTGGCCTCCAGCGCAAAAGCATCCTCAAATCGCTGCCAATACTCAGGCTGAACCTCATGACGAATTCCAAGCTTGTCCGCAAGAACCACATTATTAGCCTTGGGAACAGCATTGACTGAAATCTTGCCAGACTTTCCAGTGATTTCGGTGCAGACATCGTGACCGTGGGCTTGGGTTCGAGAGCAGTAGAAGTAAGCGATCTTGCCGCCCCAGAATTCGACTACACCGACTGCATTGTCGACGTCGTTGAGGTCCTTGAGTTCAGGGTGGTGCTGAAGAGTACCGGTTGCCCAGCATGCTTTGGGGGTTGGGTTGCCGAGGTACCAGAGAGATAAATCGATGTCGTGAATGGCGCAGTCGACGAAAATGCCACCGTTGCGAGACGCGTAACGGACAAAAAAGCCAGTTTCGTCGAGAAGATCACAGGTATTGGAGCGAACCATGAAGGGCTCACCAATGGCCTTATCTTCATAGATCTTGGTTGCTGCGTCACGGTATGAGGCATCGAAACGACGAGAGAAACCGGCCATGACCTTGAGACGAGGGTTCCTCCTCGCTGCGTCAACGACAGTTTGAGCCTATCACCAGGGATCAGCAAAGTCTCAGTATAGAACAAATGAGGCGACACATACCTCGGCCATGTCAGTGCTCAACGGCTTCTCACAAAGGACGTGCAGTCCCTTGTCAATGGCAGCGAGAGACTGGCTGGAGTGCACATCGGTGCTCGTAGAAACCCAAACAGCTTGAAGTCCCGGATGGTTGAGCATCTCATCGTAGTTATCATAAACAGAGATGTTGAACTCTTTGTACTCTTCGTTCTCCTTAGCCCACTTGACTTCGTGCTCCATGGAGCTGCATACGGCAACTACCCTAGCACGAGGTACCCTATACAGAAGAGTATGGACGTACAACTCTCTCCTGTAAAAATTCTTTCTTGGCACGCACTGTTAGTGCGGTGCTAGGAGCGGGATTTTCTGCAGGCCACGCGACCACACAAAAACTGCGGGGA